ACACCAAAAGCATTTTTCGCCCTTTCATTGTCATAGATTGTACAAATTAGGGTCTTAGATCCTCTTACACATAGAACTGATTGCGTTGGAATGCAAGACACACCAAGCAGGGAGTACTCTAGTTTATTCGTAAGAACGGGGCACTTAAATTTTTTGGCAACGCCAATAATTGCTTCCATAGAATCGTATTCGCAGACAAAATATTTGATGTCCATTTCTTCTAGAACTTGTTTCTGAATATCTTTGACGAAAAGCGGTTGGAAATGACACACCAAGTTCATCTTTGTGACAGTTCGATCATAGATTATATTTTCGTGAATTTCCCTCCTTTTGTCTATGTTCGATTTAATGGCGCCTCTAAATATAAAATGGCATTTGACATGACTGTTTAGGAAAATACTGAGTTTGTTAGTGATGAAATCCGCATACTTATCGCAATCAGGTCCCAAGATGTACTGGCACTCGCTTTTCCTGTAGGTGTCCTTGAAGAAACTGTCTCCATCCACCACGAGGTCACAGTCTGACAAAGTATGTGGTGAGCAGAAATTCTTATCCTTGATACACTGCCGTAGTAATGTAAACTTCATCTTTGAATCTGAAAACGATAAAGAGGTTAATTAAAGATCTGATCTGAGGATACAAGTATAAACCTATGTGTATATTTAGCGTATACACTGGGGCTAATTAAAGTACAATTACAAAAATAATCGTATATTTAATTTCCGTGTGTAAGAGGTTGGTAGTGGAGTGACATTAACAATGGTTGCGGGTGACCGCGGTATGCTAACTAAATGCGCCTAATAAAATGTTCTTAGCAAATTGTTTCCTGATGACCGATGTATCAAGTTTTTGCAGGTGTGAGGCACGCCGCAACACTATGTATTAAAATATCAACACTTTTGGGGTGACTGATACAGTATCAGTATCATACAATGCACAGCCGAAACGAAGGTTCTTTTAGTACTTAGGTAAGGAAGAGTTTTTTAGTATAAGAGCGTCACAGAAAACCAGTCGACCAGTTCGTACGGCAATCCCGTTTTCTCCCGTTTCCGTAGAATTTACAGGATTTTTATGCCTTAAGAACCTATTGATTACTTGCTCAACCCAGTCGAAATGTATCGACATTTGTTAGAATCATTTGGAGTTAACAGATAATTGTGGTTCGACCGGAGTGATACCACGGCCTCGCAGAAAACCGACGTGAAGCAACGCTCTTAATACTTATATATAAATCTCGTGTCACAATGTTTGTCCTCAATGGACTCCTAAACGACTTAACCAATTATAATAAACTTCGCACACCATGTGTAGTTCGATCCAACTTGAGAGATAGGATAGTTTAAATCTCAAATTATAGTCGCAATTTTAATTTATAACTAATTATTTGTCTGTTATTATTTGACAGTCACAATTATCTGTTAACTCCAAATGATTTTAACAGATGTCGATACCTTTCGACTGGGTTGAGTAAGTAATCAATAGGTTCTTAAGGCATAAAAGTCCTGAAAATTCTACCTGACAATAATAAACACAACAAAAAAAAAGATCAGCCAAATCGGTCTAGCCGTTCTCAAGTTATGGCGTGACAACGAGAAACGGGTTTTATTTTTATATATATAAGAGAAGAAGATTTACATACCTTAATAATATTCCAAAACTCGAAACTTGTTCTCAAAATACAAAGTAAAATAACTAATGGAAACTCGCAAAACACTGAACCGCACTGATTCCGAATTCGAACTAAAATGACGCAAAAGATTTGTTTATTACTGTTTTATACACAGCCAGCTATACCTATTTATAAGAACACGTATGGCCCGCCATGGTTATTAAAGAAATACGAAAAAGAAAAGTCCCTACCATAGTCAAACATTAACGTTCCTTTTCACTTGACTTGTCTAAAATGATGTAAATATACATAAAATGGTACCGGTAACGTGGCCTAAAAAAATAAAATCAGTATGAAAATAATCCTACAAACAATACTTACTAAGGATATATCAATATAAACTGTGCATTACTTGTGGTACGCAATATTTTTTATTAAACCCAACCTATACATAAAGTGATGAATAAAAATGTAACTACTTTTTTATTGCTTCCCATATTTTTAACATACTTAATTCAATACAAATAAATATATTGTATTAATAATAGTGCTAGAGATACCAACTTATTTTTTGGTGATTGAAATGAAATATCCGAACGTAGCAATAAGCTACGACTGTGACATTTTTGCCTGTCGCTAAGAATTTGTGACATCTCTGTTTTTGTTTTGATTGCTCGATTCCGCCAAATTTTAAATAATTTGTCTGATAAATCTAAGAAAATATGTCAACAATCTGACAATATCATGTTTTTCGATTCATATAAACCTACTGATAAAATCATTGATGGAACAAGAGAAGAGAGGTGAGCGGGAAGCTATCGAAAAATTCGATATCAAGTTAAAATCCAAGCCGAAGGACGGTGTCATACTACAGCTGCATCACACGGTTCGAGGTTCAAATGGAGAATGTCGCAGAATTCGGTTCACCGCGGGCATGTTCGACGACGCCCATGACAAGCTCGCATGCGCCGACAACGCAGGCAACATCTTTATACTTGACTTTTCCGACCTAAAATTCTGGAAATTACCTGGAGTTGGGCCGTGCACTGCCTTACAATTCATACCGGCCAAACAAGATACGCTGATCGTTGCTTCCGCAAAGAAATATGAGATGAACTTCTTAGACACTGAAACTGGACAAGTATCTCTGACACTGACAGGCCACACCGCACCAGTAAGACACATTTCCTTCTCTAACAATGTTAAAACAAACAATCTGTTGACTGCTAGTCCAGTTGAAGCCATACTATGGGAACTACGTAACTATACCAAATACTTCACCTTGAACACATTCCTAGGTGCTCAGATCCAACAAATAATGTTTTCTCCTGCGGGTGACTACCTTGTAGCATGCTTTCAAAACGACACTGTACAAATTTGGAAACATGAGAGCATGAAATCTGTCAAGCAAATAATACCAAGTGAGCTGAAGCACATGAAAAGTATTGCATTTACTATGAACGGCCGTGCTATGGCCATGGCCGGGCTTGCGCCCATGTTGATTCTGTTTAGTATGGACACTTGGAAGGCCCTCAAAACAATAGACATGTCAAAATACAACATCAGTGGTGCCCACCAACTGGCTTTCATCCCGCAGTTATTTGATGGAGGAGCAAACAAGATCCTTGCCATCTTAAGCAGTGACTGTGTGCTGTATTTACTGGATTTAGAATCATTAACTGTTATCCATATGATACACCCAGAATCATCTGGTATTCGTAAATTTGTTGTTAGCCCATCAGGAAAATATTTTCTGTGCATTCTCCAACTTGGTGAAGTTAATATCTACAATTGTTCATATGTAATGGATTCAGCTCAGAACTGTCAAAATTGTGTTGTAGAAACTATGAGAAAGGAAATGCCAGGTACCTCCACCCATAAGTGTCCCTCTCAGATGCAAACTAACTCAAAATCTCAAATTGAACAAAAGATGCGTGTTTGTATGGATAGCGCTAGGCTAAGGAGAATACTCATGCAATATGGTGAGTATCCTGACAAGTTCCGCTCGATCATCTGGAGGTCACTGCTAGATACTCCTCGGAATAAAATTGCATATGCAGGTCTCATCGATAAAGGTATCCATCCAGCCTACAAGGACATAGAGAAACAGTTTACCATACATAGTGCAGTTACACTTAAAAATCTGAAACGTCTACTGTCCTGTCTTGCCCACTGGTGTCCCTTATTTGGAGTTATGAAGTTCTTGCCTGGTTTTGTGTTTCCGTTTGTAAAAGTCCTTCAAAAAGATCCTCTTTTACTTTTTGAGTCTGTGGCCAGTGTGTTATGCAATTATTGTCAACTGTGGTTTGAGTATGCCCCTTTTCCCCCAATTAGTGTTTTGGCCATTGTTGAGAACATTCTGGCTGAACATGACCAGCCATTACTGAATCATTTCTGTGAAGTCGGCATCACAAGTCAAACCTATGCTCTAAAAATATTAGAAACGGCTTTCAGTGAAGTACTAACTTGCTCTGAATGGCTGATATTATGGGATCACATACTTAGTAATGAGCCAGCTTTCATTCTAATGGCAGTAGTTTCATACAATATTGTGCAAAGAAATGCACTAAAGAGGCTAAAGACACATGAACAACTTGAAAATTTCTTCCATATGCAAAACCCTATTGATAAAAAAACATTTCTGAAGAAAGCCTATGTACTATTGAATGAAACTCCAGAAGATATACATCCTAGAAGATTTTACACACCTTTTGTATCACTAGAGAAAGGAGAATGTTATCAGCAATTCACAGGATATCCAAAAGCAACAATTTGCCTTAAACTAGCGAAAAAAGACAGAACCAAAAGTTTAAAGAGTGACAAGTACACTTTAAAAGAATTAACTACTAGAAGTCAAGAGAAAGAAATTCAAGAAAGAGCACAGGTTGAGGACCTAGATTCTGATCATCAATCTGAGCACAGCGAAGAAGAAAGTGTTCATGAAGTTTGTATTGAAAAACACAGGAGGACCAGAAAGAAAAGTCACGATGCGGCACAAAACAATGGTGACTTCACTACGAAAGAAACGAGAGAAGAGTTGATCGAAAGTATAATATATCCTGCTACAATACATCTACAGAGAAACAAAAGTGGAGAATTTAAAGCTCTTAAAAAGGATAAAGAACCAAATAAGCATTCACGGTCAAAAACAAAGAAAAAGTCGTCTGAAAATAAGAACGAAACTTTAGAGAAAGAAGTAGAGAAATTGTTGAGAACATATACTAATTCCGATTTATCTGATACTTGATGTATCCAATTGTTGTGTTAAAAATACATATTATAATATAGGATGGTAACAAAATAACATAGTATATTTAAATAGTAGTTTATTGTATCACTTGCCCGCTAACTAGTTAGTTCTGGATTAAACTTTATATAAATTAAATATTTTTTATTCTTTTTTAGCAGGTCTTGGTATAGTTGACTTTACATGGCTGAACTTCTTTCGTGATGAGCTAAGGCCGGGGCTTGCTTCTGGGTTCGCTCGGGGCGTACGTACTGGAGTTACTATTTTTGGTTTGAATAGACCTGTAAAATGATTAAAAGTAATTAATAGACTCTTATTCTGTTTTAAGGTAAACAAAAAAGAATTCTAGTTTTTACATTATCATTATATGTAACTCGTAGACTTTTTTAATATAGATAACTTACTGTTCAGTTTACTTCGAGCATCAGGCTTGTCTATTTTAACACTGGGAGATTCTTTCTTCGATTTAAAAAGATTGGGCGATATACGGCGTAATCTCGATGTAATCTTGCTTTCTTTAGCAACTGTCGATTTAGGGGCAAGATTTGATGTTGAAACGCTTTCAAATCTCTTCAGCCTATTGAAGTCCTCTTTGGCAACACCCATTGCAGATAAATTTGGACTCGATGCAAATTGAGCTTTGGATGCATCTGGACACTGAAACATGGAAAAATATATTATGATTCGTTCTTACAAAGCATAATTTGTTTTTACATAGGCTGACTGTCTGAAATGTTGGTACCTATATCAGGGAAACTTTAGACCTGAAGCATGCATGGTATAAAACACCGCATCCACCACGTGGGTGTTCCATAACAGTGAAAAGTGGCGTTACTGTTCTCGAGGAATAAGTCACCTTATACCTTAAGTAATGAAATCTTAGAGACGTCCAGCGTCAGCGAGGACATCGAAGAATCGTGTTTGCCGTCTTCCACATATTCCCTAATCACGCATACTAGCTTGTTATGCAAATCCTCTGCCGCCTTTTCTGCAGCTATCAAGTTGTCCAATAAAGTGTTTTGAGAAGTGTGTATTGGACTGAAAAATATAAATTATACCTTAGTTCGAGTCAAAACATCAACTTAATAAATTAAAGGATTGGTAACTGTCGAAATCCCTAATTACAACAAGCATATGAGTATGTACCTACTCATATGCTTGTTAGGGTGCTTGCATATCCCAATATGGGAGATAGCAATGACTATAATGTTTATATGATAATTACCTTGAAGTTTTATTTCGCCTGCGGACGCTGCCAGGAGTAGAAGATAGCGTGTACGTGCTCTGTCTACGACACATAATTTGCTGAAACGACAAATATTTGCTTTTATATGTCTACTATAGGGCTAACTATATAAATACTTATCATTTGCCCTCCCTCCTATAATTCCATATGCATTTAACCAGGGTCTTTGTTTAAAGATGCCACAAAGTACTTACCTATGTAAAGATGGAACCATATTAAGTGGCGCTCTAGTTCCTGCATCATTATCTCATAGAACAAAGACTTTATGTTTGTATGTGTGTAGATTTTTTTTTAAAGGGGGGAAAATCATCGAATGACTGCTCCCGCCTGGGTGAGGCGGGAGGGAGTGTTAGACTGTTACTGACTAAAAACCACCCCGCTCCTACTCCTGCACGTCGAGCCGGAGCCCCGGTTACCCGTTAGGTTCTCCGCGACTATGTGTATAGATAAGTACCTACTCACCTTCTTTTCTTTGTTTCCATCAGCAGAAACATCAGCATGTTCTACCTTGTGCAATGGCCCGGGCTCTGGGATCTGGTCGTTATTTTTCTTAGCTGCTGTTAACGTGTCTAAAGATCGATAGCGAGTTGGTGTGTCAGTTTTCAAGGGAAAGTCCCTAAAAATAAAATTGATATGGTGCAGTAAAATGTATGGAAGTCCCTACTTATATACTTTTATTCACGCATTCTGATGCGGATTAAACCAAAGAGTATAATAAATATAGAGGAACTAGAGAGCGTCCTGGGAAGAACCTCAGGTTACCTCTTTTTATTTGACACCGGCGTCACTACGGGCACGCGTGTCTCGCGATGTCATGACGCCTCTCTGTAACCTGGCACCCTAGGCACTTGGTCAGTTTACCTTAATAATACGGCTCTGCACGCATTCCAAACTAACATTTTTACGTCATATATCACCACCCCGTTAAGACAATAGGGTAGTTTCCTAAATTTTATTTTAATGTCCGTCTGGTATATTAAAACTTAAGACACGTATTTTTTCTTTTCTCACAAAGTTAACTTTACTTTCGACGATGTATTAATTTGAAATATCGTGTGACGTCACAGCGTGTCACGTTTTATAGCACGTTATGACATAACCACCTCCCACTCCTAAACTTGGCGCCATTTTATCTAAGTATTGCAATGTAATACGAGAAAATAAAAAAATACGTGTCTAATGTGTTTTCATCATCTAACTGACGGACTAATTAGATTTTTAATTTTGATATCCTGGAAACTACCCAATTTACAAATATACCTAAGTTATACCTACTAACCGTTTTTCAGGAGTGTTCAGTTCAACCATACTAGACGATCTATTAGCTATGGCCTCTTTGCCCATCTCAGCATCCGATTCATTGTGTTGCTTGATGCATCTAATCATCTCGTGAAGTTCCTTCGAAAGACGTTCACGATGACTCTTTGGTAACGACCCAAGTAGGGAGCATCCGAATTCCTAAAACAAAAATAGTGCCTAGGTATAGCCAGGTTAAGTATCTTGCTGTACAGTGATTAGTATCGAAGAAGACCTTTATTCAACAGGGGACGTCTTTCGTTTTGTTTTGATCACACGTCGCCATACTCACAATATCGAAGAAAGGATTATAGTGCCTACCTATAATATCCATCTTGAATACCCTTTCTACATTACCTTATCTAAATGTTTCCCCCCGGTCATGCCAGACACCTGCCAGATCCCACTGGTCTGCTGGCTCGCAGTGGTGGGACAGGAACAAGACAGGCTGGCACTCTCCAACACCACGTGGAGACCAGATGACTAGAAATGAAAACATAAAATGGTCTAAATACATAGGTAGATATTGACTAATAGATACTACACAACAAAACAGTAGGTATTTTTTTTATGACATAAGCCGGTAAACGAGCAGACGGATCACCTGATGGTAAGCAATCGGCGTCGCCCCTGGACACCTGGAACACCAGAGGCGTTACAAGTGCGTTACCGGCCTTTTGGGGATTAGGAGCTTGAGGATCGTTGGATTCAGAAATTGAGGAGATTGGGGAAGGGGAGGATAATTGGGCCTCCGGTAACCTCACTCACACGACGAAACACAATGCAAGCGTTGCTTCAACTCGGTTTTCTGTGAGGCCGTGGTATCACTCCGGTTGAGTCGGCCCATTCGTGCCGAAGCATGGCTCTCCCATACTTAAAGGTATTGTTCCTACTTAACATAGATATTATCTTTCTGATTTCCATAGATAGGTAGGTATTAAGTAGGTACGTACATGATATGGGTGGCTGAATGTTAAGGGGTTCCCCGTTTTAACAAACATGTAAGAGTCCGAAAGATTGGGATCTACCCAAGAGAAATATTCTAAATTATATACTGGATAAGCTTACCGTCATAACACCACGCCTTTCAATCCCAGAAGGGATAGGTAGAGCAGGGGACCACATACCCAGGTTCAAGGCAATACAATAAACACTTTTCACCAGATATTTTTTGAGTCCTATGTAGTTAGGAGCTGACAATAGGCTCATTGCCATAGATCTGCAACTAACCATCCCACTGCTAAGAAAAGGCATTTTCTCACATGCTTGCTCAACTGGGATTGGCGATATCAAACATTTATTAAAAAAATACAAGGCTCTAAGATTCCTCACGATGTTTTCTTTTACTTTACCGTATGTATAAATATAGCTGTATTATTTTACCTGACAATTGATAACAACACTCCTGACGCCTCCATCCTGGCTGAGGTTACCGTCGCTCGTATCCATGGACTTGACGCTGAACCCGAGGCATTGTAACAGGGCACACAGTTCCACCACATCTGTGTAAGCTTCCTATAAAGGTTATATCACGGCTTTTATTCCCCGGGGTAGATCATAGTGCACATAACAGTGAAGTATTTCTCTGTCTAACCGACTTCAAAAAGATGATTATGTTCGTGAACGGACGCCGTCAACTGGGACTTGTCAGCTCCAGACTGTATTATCGTCATTACGGTTATTTTCTTTTTTGATCACTTTGACTGGATTTTTGTTTTACATTGTTCTCGCACAATCCAAACAGCAAAACTATGTAACTAGTAAATTGTATTGTGAACCTGATTGAAAAAGAGTAACCTATGGAGTTTCTTGCTCGTTCTTCTCCATAGGAATTTACACCTTCGAATGAGCAAATAACTTCACTCTTAATTTTTTTTGTTGACATTCAAAAGTGTCATTCTGGCTTAATTGAATAAATGATTTTGACTTTGACTTTGATGCTTTCAATTTGACCTGTATGTTTTTGTGTGCGCGGTTATCTGAACAGATTATGATGCGTTTTCAGAAAAATGTTTGTTACACATAGAAGCATTTAGTTAATAATTAACCGACTTCAAAAAAAGAGAGTTGAAGTCGGTGTTTTTAAACGGAATTTGATAAGAGAATTATTGCGTATGTATTCCATGCTCTATACTTGAACCAGCTACCTTGACAAAATAAGAGCTAATAGAAAGAATATAAGAACCTAATAATTTAGGTAAGTTACTACTTAACTAAAGCTAAAAATAATATAGGTACCTATCTACAGCTACATAAATTCAAGAGAACTGTATAAATGTTAAAATTGGAACTTAATAAAAATCCAATAATCTAATTGTTGATATGTTTTACTACTAATTTACTGTATGTATAATAAATAGTGGTTAGTTAATAGGCACTTACGTTATTGACGACAGTCTGCGACATGGTATTTAATAAATAAATTAATAATTAAATCGAATTACAGAGAAATCAACACTGAAAAACTTGCAAGATTTTATTTTGAAACTGCTTCGTCAGTACCGCACTTGAAAATAAATATTCGTCTTAACTTGACAGATAAATAATTTAATTTAAAAACTACAAATACCTTCATATAATGCATAACCTGAAGCATTTACAAAGGTCGAAACCGTAATAAATTCTTTAATAAAAACACCAAATGTGGTCAAAATTCTATTAACCCCTCGAGCGTCCTTATGAGCTCATAAGAAAAAATGCTCCATGCTGCTTTCTCTTTTATAAAATCTATTATTAATGTTTTGTTTTTATTTTGACTGCATTTGTTTTATTTCTATTGTAATGATCCTTGTTTTCGTGTGCCAATGGCCAAATAAATGCATTTTCTTGCATGCATAAGGATAAGGAAATGCATAAGGAACGCGGACGCTCGACGGGTTAAAATTTGGTTGATACAATCCTTTTTGTATTTAATTTCAAACGTCAAATATGTACAATCTTTTGAAAAAAATGCGCAGATTGTGTCATGGAAATGTTTGTCAATGATAAATCTTATGTTTTAAACAAGCCGTTGAAGTTGAAAGAGTACACTTTGCAAAAAGATCAGCCTGCAAGTGGCAAATAATTTGGCTAGAAAATCATTAGTACATATATCTATACAGACTTCGCGGTTGAATATGTACACCGTAGATAATAATCATTTTTAACCTACTTCAAAAAAGGAGGAGGTTCTCAACTCGACCTTATATTTGCTTTTTTTCTTGTAATGTATGACTGTTATGTATCTACGACTAAAATGTAATATGTCTATGACTATGATACCAACGTAAATATTGTATTGTAATTGTGAAAATTATTATGGTGACTTTAATTTGAAATTTTTATACTTTGCACGCTTGCTCGCAGGCAGAATACAATGACTTTGAGGCTGTAAGATCTTCCTTTGTAAATATGTATTCTTGCAAATAAATGACTTTGAATTTGAAAGTGTTAGGGCTGTTTTGAGATTCCGCAACGGCGTCCTGGATTTCCATCACGTTAAAAAAAAAGTACACATTACCATAGAATAATCCATACTGTTTTTGTTTATCAAACTTCTAAAATAGAGTTATTAGAACGCCAACATCTAGATTCAAAAATTTGAATTTTCAAAGAGTACTAAGTCATTAAACAAATTATTTTTCAATAAAAAACAAACTAAATGTTACAATAAATTTTATTAGAAATTATTCAAATACAATATCTAAGTATGTTATAGGACAACATTACGCACCAATTTGTATCTAACCAAATTGTGTGCACAATGAAAATCCGTTACAATTCAAATGCATTCCATTGCAAAATCAAAATGGCGTAAGAACCAATGAATGTTACATTGGAAAATGCACTTAAATACTAATTTTTAAGGCATTGATTTAGTTGTAAGTCATGTAGCGTGGCGTCGCTGAGAACTTGGCGTATGACTTGATGACTTTGTTGACTGCCTCCAAGAAGTCCTTCTCAGTGGCGACCTTACGACGGGCGCGGATCGCGAACATACCCGCTTCAGTGCATACCGACCTGGAAAACAAATTCAATTGTAAGTTGGTATATTTTACGTACCTTCCTGCACTATGACTAGTAGAAAATGCTGATACTATTAACCTCCTTATACAATTGTATCAAACATAAATATTTTTTTATTAGTATTTAGTGATCTATAAATAAATATTAAAACAAAATTTACTATTTTTGTTTATTTTCTAATGTCTTAACACATTTCCCCAAATAAAAGCACTGTTTACCAGTTATGTTATAACTGAAGTCTCATGATAGTTATTATAAAAACAGATTATATTATATTATGAGTTCAATGTAATAAGGGATGACGCTATTGCCATATAATAGACACAATTCCAGAGACCATGTTATTTACCTGAGAAATTTTTGAAAAGTCGACAATTCCTCAGTAATAAATTACACTTTGCCGAGACCCCTTGCAACCAATGAGGCAGTTTATTTTATTTATTTATTTATCTATTTATGCACAACACACAGACAGTACACAGGAGAACACATATATAAATAAATTGGAGGTACATAGGTACTACATATTCCCGTAGGAATCTCTTCCTGCAGTCCTTCGACAGGAAAAACAGTCATAGAATTTTAAGCTACACATAGGTAAATTAAAACATACCTAATTTCAGCACCAGTAGAGTTAGGACATAGTCTAGCCAGTAGATCAAATCTGATGTCTCTCTCCACGCTCATGGACCTTGCGTGAATCCTAAAGATGTGAGCTCTGCCTTCCAGGTCTGGTAGTCCAAATTCCACCTTACGATCTAGACGACCTGGACGCATGAGGGCAGGGTCCAGAGTATCAGGTCTGTTTGTCGCCATCAACACCTGGGAAGAAATGGAATATGTTTTTTTTGCAAATCAGTTAAAAGATATGAAAATTAATTCAACAAATGGGAAAGTTTTTTTTTATAATTTCGTATAGATTTATAACAGTTGAGTTTTAAGTTTTGACTGAGTCATCATCCTTTTCGAAATAACTGAATTAAATCTATGAACTTTGAATAATTAGCTTTCCAAACATACCTTGATGTTACCACGAGGATCGAAACCGTCGAGCTGGTTGATGAGCTCCAACATAGTTCTCTGGACCTCATTGTCGCCACCAGCGCCATCGTCAAACCTAGACGAATCATATTTTTTAATTATTTTTTATAGCAAAACTACACTAACACTTCTGTACACTTATAGCCGATAGTCTATAATAATTATAACGAATCAATATAAAAAAGTTTTCAAATCGTAAAACCAAATTATTTAATTGAATTATTATTTTTAGAGGAATTAGAAAAAAGTGATACATTATATATTTACTAGCTTTTACCCGCAGCTTCGCTCGCGTCACAAAAGGATAAAAAGTAGCCTATGTGACATATACCAATATACACAGCGCCATCTATACCAATAATTTCGTTTTCCCTCGAGAATATCAAATGATTCCGGGATAAAAAGTACCCTATTATTTAATCCAGACTTCTAAATTTACGTCTACATAAATTCAAAGCAATCAGTTTAGTAGTTACGGCGTGAAAGTGGAACAAACAAACAGACTCACTTACCGATTTATAATATTAGTAAGGATGGAATACAAGAGACAATCTTACCTAGCGCCACCGATGGCATCAATTTCATCGAAGAATATGAGACAGGCCTTCTTGCTGCGAGCCATCTCGAACAACTCGCGCACCATACGAGCTCCCTCTCCTACGTACTTCTGTACCAGCTCCGAACCTAAACAAATATTGTAATGATAATAGAACTCATTGGTTAAAATCTTGTAGTATCATCGGATATGAGAGAAGGCAAATAAAATCAAAATATGCTTATGTACAGACTACTATAGAGTGCTTAGTCATCATCAACATCAACAGCCTATAAATGCCCACTGCTGAGCAAAGCCTCTTCTGACACGGAGAAAGTTTGACCATTAATCACCACGCTTGCTCAATGCGGGTTGGCGATTACAGACTTATAATTACCTACTACACTACCTCAAAATATTATGATAGGAAATAAAATGATGATGATTTTTAAATGTATAGCGACATGTAGCTCTGTCAATAAACTTAATTTGACAAAGTTGTTCATCGCTAATATTAATATAGGGGAGGCGTATCAGAAACTTGTCTAAGCTTATGGACAAATTTCTTTCTTAACTCCCCAAATCACTAAGAAAATATTAAAATTTATTTGTCACACAAATCTACAATTTGTTTCATGCGGGAATCGAACCTGTGACACGTTACGTGGCAGTCAGTAGTGCGCGCTAAACGTGAACGTTGACCTTAAAATATGATTTGAATATAGCTATGTGATGTATCTTTTATTGAAAACTTTGCTTGCGCGATCTAGATACCTCTGACATCTGTCATTGTTATAAATGTCATCGCGTAGTGGCTGAAAAGCCAGGGTGAAACCCTGGTGAAACCCAGGGTGAAACCCTGGCTTTTTAGCCACGTGAGACGAGATTATTCACCATTTTCATAATGATTTTTAATATTTTCTCATTACGAGTAATGTGGAGTACTTGTAATGACGACATTATATGGCAAAAATTCTAGATACTATGTTTAGTTGTAATAAAAACTTACCAATAACTCTGATAAAGCACGCGTCAGTTCTGTTGGCGACTGCTCTGGCGCACAGCGTCTTGCCAGTACCGGGGGGGCCGAACAACAACACACCCTTAGGAGGCTCAATACCGAGCTTCACGAACTTCTCAGGCTGCAAATAACGAATAAATTATTAAAGTTATCTTAACAAAGCACACATTAAAAAAATTTATGAAGGACTTGACTTGATTTCTTACTCAGATGTAAACAGGTACAGGTAAATAAACAAATGATTTTTGGTTGATAAGGTCGCTTTCACTTCTTTAAGTAGTTAATTACGAGCAAAAAATAAAGAAACAAAATACATATTTTATTTTGAACTTATAAGATTATATTACACTAGCTACTTCCGCACGATTTCAACCGCTCTGCCCGGCTCCTAATGGTCATAGCGTGATGTTTTATAGCCTGTAGCTTTCCTCGATAAATGCACTATCTATCACAAAAAGAATTATTAAAATCGGACGAGTAATTCCAGAGATTGGCGCGTTCACACAATCAAACTCATGAGCTTTATAAGACACGAATGTTAGACGAAAGATCGACACTGATGAACTAAATAAAAATAGACGTAGGCTTTTTTTTTAAGCGGGGAGAATCATCGAATGACTGCTCCCGCCTTGGTGAGGCAGAAGGGAGTGTCAGACTCTTACTGACTAAAAACCACCCCGTTCCTTCTCCTGCACGTCGAGCCGGAGCCCCGGTTACCCGTTAGGTTCTCCGCGACTCCGAAATAGACATAGGCTGCCTCTGCCTCTATCATTCTGTATGCTTACTTAAAATAATATAACCTTAAATACGAACTTACATGTAACAATGGAGTCTCCACGACTTCCCTGAGCTTCTCAATCTGTTCCTTACACCCTCCTACATCACTGTATGTCACATCAGGTTTCTCTTCAACCTGCATCATCGTTACCGTTGGGTCGATCTTGGGTGGCAATGGAATATGAATCTGATATTTGTTGCGGTCCACACTAGTAAGAATAAGAATAAGTTATTTAAGTGCTTATCCTAATTATAAAGATTATCATTATACTAAGTAATGTTGTGGTTTCTTGTTATTATTATTTTTATTTTGTTTCCGAGATTTACAGTTTTAAAAAGTGACAAAAAGCATTTATTTATCATTATTTATTTTATTCAGACGGGCAGTTGAAACACCCAATTTATATGGCTATATCGTATTTAATTCAATAGATGTTTTGAACATTTTTACTTCGATATTTTATTCTAACACATTTCCAATGAAAGGACACAAAAATTATTAGATAAAAATGCAAAAAGAGTATAAGATCATAAATTTCTACTTTCATCTACAACTACATAATAAAAATGTGATTCAAGGAAATAATCTGATATGAAGCTCAATCATATAAGACTTCTACAATGAACCGTTGTATGCTCTCGGAGTGGTTTATATGAGCTGCTAATGTTTATAACAACTATTAATGAATAGCCCTCCTTTTATATAAAAAAATAGTAGACTAGTGAAATTATTTATGGACCTTATGTCTTTGTCTATGGATATTTAAAAAGCTTGTTCTGTATTAGCTGTTATATAGAATATAGATTGTCATATTGAAAAAAAAAAATAAAAAAAAACTAAAAAGCACAAAAAATTGTTTTCCGATATTTTTGTTGTAAGATCCATAGATATTTTCACTACATTTATTTACAAAAATTTACTGAAAAAGCTTTCAAACTAATAGTGGCAATTGGCAAGTATACTAGAAAGCATTAGCAACTCATATAACTCAGCGAGGCATTTAGTTTATATGGCAAAATCAGAAAAAAAATAATACACTAACATAAACAATAAAAATGGAAATAAAGATAGCTATAACTAATAGCCATAGGTCTTCCCTGAATTCCACTATGACACTGAAAAACAAAATTACACAATTTTGATGCCAAACAAACTACTGCTTATATATTATAAATATTAAAAGAAATTGAAACTCACCCAACCCTCATGCCCTCCTCGATATCAGTGGGAGCAACAGAGTCAGCGAGATCTACAACGAACTTAGCAAACTGCTTCACATTGATTATATACTTCGGATCATTTGAGTCCGCATTGATGATTTTTGTGCATCTTGCTACCTGTTTGAAATCAAATATTATAGTAAGAAAACTGGTTAGGTTATAAAGTATCTCAAGACAAATAATGGTATGGAGATGATGCTAGTCAAAAATTTGTTTCAAATTATGGAGACTTGGACAAAATATGGTGCATGCATTAATGTCATTGACCAAATTGTATGTTAATCAACATACGCCTAGTCCAGTAGTAGTACAAGATAGTAATCTTGATTATTTCGTTCAATACAAAACAAAAAATATGATTCACTTTAACTTAATTATCATATAAGTTAACATGTTGGTCTAAATTCTAATTTGAATATGTTGTCAATATAGGAACTGTACCTGTAAGGGCTGTTCATTCTGAAGTGTTTGCTTGTCCGCTGCAAGATCCCAAAGGGCAGGTGGAGCTAAACCAGTATCGGATTCCTTAATTCCAGTCAGTTCATTCACTCTCTTCATCACAGTCTGTATACCATCTTCGACCTCCTTGATGATTTTAGTATATTGTCCCTGGCCCTACAACACAAATAAAATCATCAAAAAAATGCCAGTCATCAACACCACTTCTTTACTTTCAAAAACTTGTTAAATCCACTCACATAAGATTTGAGAAGTGCTATATCTCCTTCGTCGAGGGCTGCAATAAATAATGTATGATGTATATAGTTATTTTTTCTGAAAATACAACAAACTCATGGAATGAGTACAGCTAAAACAAAGGATTATTACTTACATTTGATTTCTTTTTCTGGTTCCTCTGGCGCATCCTTGAGTTTACGCATATCATCTCCTAAATGGTCTGGCATTTTCGGTTACTAAAACAGATATTTTTCTAAAATAATCTCTAACGAATCAAGCAGACGATTTTTCGTCCGTCATCAAATCAATGTTTCCACCGTTTCTTTGTACGCACTACGCTTTTAATTTACGTCAGAAGTTCAGACTAATGTCTGTGACAATACGTATCTATCGTGGTTACAACGTCGCCATTTTTTGCGTGTATTGGAACGGTGAACAAAACTTTCTGTTCCACGCAGTACTGACGTAAACTAAAATAAAAATAAGAAATGTTGTTTCTATTTTAATGGAACATAAAATATATGATTCGGTTTTATACCTGATTTATTGACTAAAATTATAGTTTGCTCAATTAAGATGGTTGTGGTAAATGATTGCACTGTCAATAAAATGTTTTAAAATATCTTCCCTGGAAAGCTTGTAAAACTAATCATGCTAACGATGACAAGCAAATTTAACAACACGTTCATATTAAGGAAATACATTTGAACTTAATAAAATAAAGTTTTTGATTATTTACTGAGTTAAAACCGAATATCAAACAAAAACTTCATTTGCTTCTTGAAAGATAGTAACGCATTAAAATATCTGAACTAAAAGTCATCACCTTTTTCTTAAAAGATCAAATGCATGAATGCATTGACAAATGTTGTATACTGAGCGCCACCTGACAGCTAATTTCAGTACTAAAATTTTGTATTCGTAGTGCTGAATGGAGAATCACATTTTTTTGTGTTTTCCATGAACATAGTCTTCTGAATTAGCGAATATTTTCTTTTAGGTAAGTGTGAAAAACTATGAATCAGAATTTTGTTCGAATAGGATATAATTTAGAAGAAAAGAAATGGCTGCTTCTATTCGTCCCTCCGGTTATGACCCAAAACCTTATGTCAAAGCCCGGTTTCATTTAACATTTTCATTGTATTACGCGCTTTTTTACATTTAATCAGCAACGTTTATTATACATTGGATAATAGCTTTATTCGACTGAACGTGCGTATAAAAATATAGGCGGTAAGTTAGCATGACCGAATGCGTGATGTCCCCGGTATGCGATTGGCATTCGATTCTAGTTTTTCAACAAAAATCTTGGTTTTTATCTTAACGTTATCTTTTATGTTATCGATCAGTCGTAGATCATCTTATTTCGAAAATAATGTGTGAATTCCATGGCGTGACATTGCCATGTTTTGCATTCTTAGGAAAGTGAGTATTGCAACGTTCTTTGTTTTAAAATTATTTATTAATTTACGCAACGCGTCTTTGTGTTCTTGTGGCGTTCTGTAAAAAACAATACGTATTGTTTGTTACATCAGTAGTTTATTAATTTTGTTTAGTGGATTCTTATCAGAAAATGTGTATTGATAACCTTATTTGTTTAACCTTACATTTGGTAATATTTAGTAGTTCTATAACTATTGGCCTCTGGTCCATACAGTTCTGACCATCTGGTGCGTATTTTTAAATGAATAATTTGTATCACTATCATCACTGTACATAATCTTGATTATTTCCATTATCATTTACCAATAAGATATTATAGACATGTATGATTGATTGATTTGTGCATGATTTATGATTTGAATTAATCCTAATATTCAATTTATTCCATTGTAAATATTATTATCATTCCAATTGCCCAACTAATGTGCCATTGTATTAAAACTTGATCAATGAATTTTTATTTCTTAATCTGATTCATTGGTCTTACAAAGCAGATAGTTTACTGTTTACTCTATCATGTTGATTCAGATGTTGCTATCAATATAATGATATTTATAAAAGTGGGTCATGATTATGTCAAATCACTACCAATCTACAAATAAACTAGTCTAAATAGTGCATCATATAAACATCTGTATACAAATATAAGAAGCATGTATATGTCAATGTTGTTGCTAAAATTTACTATAGATGCGTCACAAAGTGTTTGTATGTACATTACACTTCACGTGGGATGCTTTCTATAAATAACCATTGACAACATAGACTAATGAAAGCACAACACAGTTTCTGTTCAAAGAGTTTTTATTATCAATTTAATTTTAAATATTGCAATTAATTTATCATAGTGATGTGACATGGACAATAAATTTTGTGATAGTTATTGTTTTTGGCAAGATATCTGTAGTGTGACAATGTATTTGATAAATATCTGTGAATGTACTGTGGACTTGTGTTTTTTGCATTGTAATGTTTGGTTTTAGGAACTTTTTCTTCAAGGTAACTAGGTAACATCATTGTGTTCATAATTTTGTTATTAAAATTGACAGCAAAATCAAATGAACATTAGAAAATTGTCTCAATTATAGAAAATTTCAATCTTTGTTAAATATAAATTTTAAGGACTTACTGACTTACTTATCTTATGCATAAAATCAACAATGGTACATTATAATAATCCAGATATTTTCCACAAAACACCCAATTGGTTATGGTTAGTTGAACAAATAGGTTTATCATCAGAGTGCATGTAATCAGCAATCATTAGTCACTGATATGGAATGGCTAATGCTCAAGTTATAGGCCATTTAGGACAAGTGCTGATACAATGTTTAGATCTGTTGCTAACTCCCATACTGGCATACATACTTACAATAAATAATTATTTAAGAAAATAGTTCAAAACTACATTATTTATGTCACGAAATACATTGTTTCTACATACTTTGCCAGTTAACTTAATCCGTGATTAAATGTCTGGCAAAAGAGGATCTGTTCTCTATGAAAAAAAAAGAAAGTACTTTGTTTTACAGGTCATTGAACCAGGTCTGAACAAAAACAAAGAAATTAAATTATTACTCATAATGCTTTATTACTCTTTAAAAACATAATTTAGATAATGTCTTTGTATATTTGTATTTTCTTTTTCGCGCGAAACTATCGTCGGTCGTATGTTTCGATTGCCTCGCCTCTCGTATGGTGGCCTGGTGTCTAGTGTAATTAAAGATCATAACGCAATAAGCGTTCGAACTTCACATATAGATATTTTATTCTTGTATTTTACTAATTCGAAATTCAATTATTTTAATTACAATAAGGGTGTGATCGAACTGCCGCCATTTCGAAATATATTTGAAATAATTTTACAAGACTACCCTATTTTATGCAAATACATTTTCAATTCTTGTTTTGACATGAGAACTTAACTCAGAACTTATTATTTTTTAATTCTAACTAATTCTATTCTTATCTTCTTATTTCATTTTTCTATTTAGTTGTAACTAAATTCTAATTCCAATGTATACAAAGTTAAGTGATAGCAAAATGGTGTTTGATCTCAACTGTTTTAAGAAGTTATTTGACTGCAAGGTACCTATAATCCATAGGCATTTTGGCTTTTTTATAGACATTACCTGGTACATAGTAAAATAAGTACTGGCACTTAAAGGAATCTAATTTAGCCAATTGTTACTGCAACCATAGTGTAAAATTTGAAAATGGAAGGAGAATGATTAAGTTTAAAAAACATTTCTTTTTTTTTTCATGTAGTGCTGCTGGCGAGTCGGCGAGATGCACACAGCCACTGCAGATGGACAGTTCCGGAGTACCAACGGTGCCACACACGGACGTGACAAGGTTGCCATATTGGATGCTGGTTCTCAATATGGAAAGGTAATAAATATTCAATGTGACTTGCGATTCAACACCGATCTCGTGATTTGATGAGTTTTAAGGAAAGCAAATGAAGATATACCTTTCAAATGTATAAATAAATAATAGTCTACTACTACCTCCCTGTTCGCTTAGACTTAAGTGTGAGTGCGTAGCAATTATTCTCAGGATCAATTTTTATTATGGTCAGAGAAAAGTAAAGGCCACTTTAAAGTTAACACTTCCGCCAACCAATGAATAAAAGGCGTGATGTTACCTACTGAGTAATATATAATTTGTATAGATTAGGAAAGTTACATAAACTAATCAATTAAAAATGCCCCCAAGAATATGTTATCACGTTTATCAAGGAAGCTCAGGTCAATGTCAGCTAATCAATTGTGCCAAGAAATATTTCATAATGATTTGGGCGACCTATATCATTGTATTAAAATTGTTATAGTCATGTTTGCCTAACTTTTTTAATTAGTTTCGTAATAATTAGGTTAATTACTAATTAATGGAAGAATTGAGATCAAGAGGTCCACATAACTTCTGTTTACTCCAAAGGACACTATTTATACTGCACGGTTGGCGCGCAACTTGTAGATGATTCGATTCCCGCACTAAGTCACCTTTGGTGTTATCCACAAATTGTTGTTCCTGGTCTGGGTGTGATGTGTATGTGAACTTGCATGTTTGGAAACGCACCCACGACACAGGAGATAACCCTAATTTAGGGCAATGTTTTTTAAAGAAAGATACTATTTTCACAAAGGTTTTAGACGCCTGCTTCTCATTCATGAGAGTGTGGGCTCGAAACCTACCAATAACAAGTACCAATGTGATTTTTTCCGAGTTATATGTACTTTCTTAGATTATCTAGGCACCACTGACAAACGGCAAAGAACAACATCGTGAGGAAATCTGCGCTTAATAATTTGTAATTATAAGTTTGAAACCGCCAACCCGCATTGAGCAAGCATGGTGATTAATGATTAATCTTCTCCGAGCAAGAAGTCTTTGTCCTTAGTGGTCGCATATAGGCTGTTGATGACTATTTTCTCCACTGTTTAGGCTTACTATTGTCATTCGCAGTGTAATAAAAATGGTGAACTTAGGTACTGAATATTACGTGGGACTTCACTGAGGATTTTTTTACTCTGTTGATCCACAGAACAAAATCTACTTAGCAGTACTTATTTGTAAATCACTAACTTTAAAAAGAACAAATAGTATTTGCCTTATCATGGCAAAGATTTTAACAAAGAAAACAAATTAAAATTGATATGGAACTTTAACTTGATTAAATGCCATTGTTCTCTATAGTTGGTTCGGTAACACTTGTGGGTTTTCAGATTATTTCATTTATGTTATGTTGAAAAGTTTGTAAGTTTATGTTGAGAATAATTTCTAGTGTAACCATTTTATCCAATGATTGAGTTTCTAAAAAATATGGCAACCGATTAAAAGTAAAAGTAATGTGATAGCCGGAGAGGCGGAGAGCCATACCATAGCTATACTAATCCTTTGGGTCTTAACATCCTTAATTACTTTGTCCTGTGTTGTACTGATGCCAACTAATCTATCACCTTCTAGTTAAACTAATAATAGTACATTTTTATTACATAAAGAACAGAGACCCAGAACAAATCACAAAATATTCATTCTGTACAAGAATCGAACTCGCAAGACCTTGCACAATTGCTAAAGTTGTGATATAAAAATGACTAGGTACATTGAATTAAATCATTACCATTCTAAAATTAATTTCGTAACCTTCGCAGGTAATAGATCGTCGTATCCGTGAGCTATGTGTGGAGTCGGACATCTTGCCGCTGGACACGCCAGCCTACCATCTCAAGGAGGCTGGGTACCGCGCCATCGTCATCTCCGGTGGACCCAACTCCGTCTACGCCGAAGATGCGCCGAGATACGACTCCGATATATTCAAGATCGGCCTGCCGGTGTTAGGTGAGTCTTTAAAACCATCATTTTCACCTCTATGTCAGTTAAAAAGTTTCTAAACTGCTACACTACTTCAACTTCTTGTTGATGAACGATGGATTAAAATTCTAATGTTTATTTTATAAATAAATGTCAATTGAAAATCTAGAAACTTGGTTTTCACCATGAAATAAAATAAACTTATGAAGTTATTCGATGCGGCGCCTAACTACCTTGATAAAGTGACTGCTATCTCATTAAAAAACCCGAGCGTACAGCGCGTCGCGTTGCGCGCGCGTCTCAAAGAACCATCAGACCACCACAGATGAGGCCCAACAGGCCGATGCCGATTCGGAGTCGCGGAGAACCTAACGGGTGACAGGGGCTCCGGCTCGACGTGCAGGAGAAGGAACGGGGTTGTTTTTAGTCAGTAAGAGTCTAACACTCCCTTCCGCCTCACCCAGGCGGGAGCAGTAAATGGATGATTATCCCCCCTTAAAAAAATCCCATTTAATAATGAGGTTCAATGAACATAAAGCCTACATAACAGCAGTATTTTGATATCTCTTGCACAATTAAGTGTGAACATAAGTAGGCGTGCTGCATCGTCGGCCACATCATCGCTTACCACCAGGCGAGATGGTGACCAAACGTCAACCTATCAAGTATAAAAAATATATATATATCTTCATTTAAGACTGGCCACTGTGATCGAATGATGAACCTGATGAAACTCCACAGACGAATGCAATGCTCAAGAAATCTATAAAAAAATAATGATACAAAAACCACAGTCCAATCATTGTACCGCGATAATTGTTAAACTCAATTGCACGAGTGGTAGACGGTGGCGGTAATTTGTTTAATTACGGTAATTCTGCTAAAATGATTCTACTTAAAGAATATTTTTACTCGCGTGCAAGTTTTGTACCTAATTAGTTAAAATTAGCGGCTGTTTTAAGTGGCCGTGGATGAATGCTCTTTTCGCTGGCGACTCGCTTTAAAAAGATAAATACAATTATATTAAAACCTTCGTTAGACATACTAAATTAACCCTTTAAGTAGGTACCGTCATTATAGACAACTAGCAAACCCCGTCGAACTCCGTTTCGCCACCAGATGGCATCGTTTTATGAAATATTTCGTTTAGTGATTAAAAGATAAAGAAAAAATTTTATTCAGAACTAGCTTTTACCCGCGGTTTAGCTCGCGTCACAAAAGGATAAAAAGTAGCCTATGTGACATATACCAATACACACAGCGCCATCTATATCAATACTTTTGTTTTTCCTCGGGAATATCAAATTTTTCCGGTTTAAAAAGTACCCTATTATTTAATCCGGACTTCTAACTTTACGTCTGCAAAAATTCAAAGCAATCGGTTTAGTTTCGGCGTGAAAGTGGAACAAACAAACAAACTCACTTTCCGATTTATAATATTAGTAAAGATTTTCTTTGCTATAAACCTCACGGAGCCCGAGACCTTTCGAACGAATGTAAAACCATGGAAATCGGTTCGTGCGTTTTGGAGTTATAGCGTCAGGAAGGAAAACCCGACCTATTTTTATTTAGTAGATTAACTCGTCGAGTACCGGTTTTATAGACACAATTAAAGAACAATAGGTCGCGGTCACCGGTGTCCGCTTGGTGTTTGACAGTTTAAAGAACAATAGGTTGCGGTCACTAGTGTCCTTGCGATGTTTGACAGTTTAATTATTATGTTTTCGCCTTAATCACGTAACTGTTTGATGAAGAACTCGACTAGTTTCAAGCCATGCTAGTAAAGGCTCATATGCATGAACAGCATTCCGCGTAGCCTGTCGCGAACAGTTACGTAAGTAAGCCGAAAACATAATAAATACATTTATTTGGCACTAGACTGCCTCGTTGGCCGAGTGGTCACTAGTGCGACTGCCGGGCAAGGGGTCTCGGATTCGATCCCCGGGTCTGGCAAAGTTTTAATGAGTTTTTTTTTTTTAATTCTCAGTAGTAGCATGGAGTCTGGAATTGTGCCCAGTATATGGCAATAGGCTCACCCCCTATTACACGGGACTCATAACATAAATAGTGAAAAGTGGGTGTTACATTGTACAGTGGCATAATGTGCACCTCTGCCTACCCCTTCGGGGATAAAAGGCGTGGTGTTATGTTATGTTATTGTGCACTTTAGTCTATTAGGAAAAAAGAGGCATAAAATCGTCTCAATTAATTTCTTAGCTAGATAATTATCCCCTTTAGGATAAGGCATTTTGATAAATGACTGTATTCCAGCTAATGTTATCAAAATAGAAGAACAAATAATCTAGAAACACAGTAAACTTTACTGTCTTATTCACTATACATTTTGAACTGAATCATGTATGGAAATGTTATTCTTTACTAGATCACTTGTCTGTCAGTATGTCACGCTACAATACAAGATTTCTATTCTTATGTAAATAGAATAGTGGCAATTATACAGAGAAAGTAGTACAATTCTTCAGTACTAGGTTACTTGAAGTCTCATTTGTGATTAATGATTTTACTACTTGCAAAAAATACCTTTCTTACGCTATAATATAAATGAAAGAGCCACATTATCAATACAAATTGAGGTGAAAATCCTGTATTAAATGACTACCTTGATATAGTAAGTTGATTCTTATTTGAATCTTTTAAATGGTAAGAAGTCATTGCAGAAATATGCATTTTTATATGCATTTTGCAGAAATAAATTCACATTAAATTTTTTATAAAAATTATCCGATTGCTAAAAGAAATCCTTAACAATCGGATTAAATCCGTCAATTATGAAAACTAAAATGTGTAAACGTAAAATGAAATATGTCAATAAGTAATTTAATCATTTTATATATTAAAAACTAGCGACCCGCCCCGGCTCCGCACGGGTGCAATTTACATGTTTTATACATATAAACCTTCCTTAAGAATCACTCTATTTATTAAAAAAAACCGCATCAAAATCCGTTGCGTAGTTGTAAAGATCTAAGCATACATAGGGGCAGACAGACGGCGAATAGCGACTTGTTTTATACTATGTAGTGATTGATAATAATTAAAACCTCTTTCTAATTTAGTATTTTTTATTTTATCACTAACTTTTGTACACTGCATTCTGCTGAAGAAAGGCCTCCCCTCACAAGAAGGAAATAAGTTTGTTAGGGTTGATTTTAGAAGTAAGTCATTTATGCCCGAATAATGAAACTCAACTTAATTGTAAGTCGCGCTTAAGCATAGTTCTGTCACTACAAATCTATATATATAAAAATGAAACCCGTTTCCCGTTGTCACGCCATAACTTGAGAACGGCTAGACCGATTTGGCTGATCTTTTTTTGTCGTGTTTGTTATTGTCAGAAGGTTCTTAAGACAGAAAAAAATCCTGAAAATCCTACGGGAATGGGAGAAACGGGATTGCGCGTACGAAGTCGCGGGCAGAAGCTAGTTCTTTATAAAATGACAGAGGTGGCACGATATTTAAGTACAAGTTAAAATTGTGTGTCCTTTCAATATTCGGGCGTTAATTACCTACCTACTCGAATGTTCTGCAGTGAACTTCTTGTGACTATATACCTAATGAAGTACAATTTGTCACTCAGGTATATGCTACGGCATGCAGATGTTGAACAAGGAGTTCGGAGGCTCCGTGCTGCGCAAGGAGGCGCGCGAGGATGGCCAGTATGAGGTCGAAGTGGAAACCACATGTCCGTTGTTCAAGTGAGTTTATTTTATTTCCTTTTTAATTTTAGGGACTTTTATACCGCATTCCGTAAGTCAGTCCCATCGGAGCCTTGTGTATAAATCAACTAGAGATCAATGAATCAGAGCAAGTGAGTTTATTGAATTACAGAGGGTTTAGGACGAGTTTCTTTTATATTTACTAAGATTGAAACGAGAAAGATCTCGGTACTTGTCTAAATCATGAAAGAGAGCTAGACAATTTATATAGTTTGTGTCATATCACCTTTGAGGCCAACACACTGCATTATTTTGTAACTAAAAACACTGGGAGTGAAAAAATTCACAGTGAATATTTTTAAACAATTTTCACATAACAAAACTCTTTGACTTATCATTTTCCAATATCAAAATCAATTTTTATCATTTCAACATTTATTCCTTTGTACCAGCATCCGTTTTTTGTTATCAGTCGCCTTGAGAAGCTCCAACCAGTGCTGCTGACACACGGGGACAGCGTGCAGAAGGTCGGCGAGAGATTCCGCGTCGGCGCCCAGTCCTCAAACCATCTCATTGCTGCTATATACAATGAACAAATGCGATTATATGGCGTGCAGTTTCATCCTGAGGTAATTTATGCATAAAATCTGCACTGAACTAGAAGTAGGAGATATGTAGAAACATCATTAAAATCATCATATAACACGTAAAACATCTATGCTGATGAACCTTTCCTCGAAGACCTACTAAATTAACTAAAATCACGGGATACTCACGTGAATATACTGAGAAAAGCTCTCTCGCACTTTTGCGGAGTGAGCTGCGCGACGTCGCCGCGACCGCGCACGCTGCTCATGAGGAAGAACCCCTCTGTGGTTCGAAACTAGTAGAGCTTTTCTCAGTATATTCACGTGAGTAACCCGCGATTTTAGTTAATTTCTTCAAAGACTGCAAATGGCTGAAAACATTGGAATGACATGATATCCATTGTATTTTTAATCAGACAGTAACTTTATCGACTTAAATGTCAATCGGTAAATATGCTTGTAGAATTTTAATTTTCCATACTTAGCTATGAAGACTTAAACTATGCAGTTGCATGGAGCATAAATTCAAGATTTTATTGTCAATGATGTATAATTATAAGTGTCGCCACTTTCAATAATATGAGTATTTAAAGAAAGTTTAATTCACATTTCTTCCTCAGGTGGACCTAACGCCGAAAGGCAAGCAGATGCTATCAAACTTTTTGTTTGACATCGCGGGCCTGTCGCGCTCCTTCACGCTGCGGTCACGTCGTGAAGCCTGCATACACTATATACGGGAGACTGTTGGCGACAATAAAGTTCTTGTAAGTATATATTGATTTAAGATTTTTACACGACAAGGCGGCAAGCTACCAGATCGTCTGATGGTAAGAATTCAGCGCCGCTTATGGATACGGACACGGAAAACCGACGTGAAGCAACGCTTGCGTTGTGTTTCGTCGTGTGAGTGAGGTTACCGGAGGCCCAATTACCCTCCCCTTCCCCAATCGCCCCAATCCCTGATTCCCCAACGATCCTCAAACTCCTAATCCCCAAAAAGCCTGTAACGCACTTGTAACGCCTCTGGTGTTCCGGGTGTCCATGGGCGACACCGATTGCTTACCATCAGGTGATCCGTCTGCTCGTTTACCGGCTTATGCCATAAAAAAACACCAAGAACTTTAAAAAGTTACAAGTCCGTTACCGACCTTTTGGGGGAAGAGGTGATTTTTTTTTTCATTTAGGAAAACAAACAGTTACACAACGTTTTTCAAGTTGTTAACATACCTATTCGAAATATAAAATTACTGACTAATTATTGATGTTTCAATAGCTATAACAATATGTTTGGTTACCAGGTGTTAGTTAGTGGTGGGGTGGACTCCACAGTATGCGCGGCCTTACTTAGAACCGCTCTCCGTGAAGACCAGGTCATTGCTCTACATATTGACAATGGTAAGTTGGTAATTTTAAAGTCTATTATGCAAATTAATAGTACTTGTCCTTCATCGCAGTTGATCAAGGTCCACTATAGACGTAAACCCAAGAATACAATATTATTTTGATCACTAAATGATAACACGGATTTATTTATAACTATAAAAATATTTTTTATTATGTTAGTAAACTCTCTTTTGGCATCTGTCCAAAATTATTATACTATATTATAATATTTATAATTTATTGATGCACAAATGATCACATTGAAATATGAATATGTTATAATACGTGTGCATTTTTTTGTGCAGGTTTCATGCGTAAGAACGAGAGTGCTAAGGTGGAGCGGTGTCTCAGAGAGCTCGGCGTACGCTTACATGTCGTCAACGCCGCTCATCAGGTATATGAACACTATTTTGTTACAGTTAATACTAGACAGGTTGCCTTCCTAATTTTGTCCCATTTGCAAGTTTGGTAGTTCAATGTTTTTTTATTATTAAACAATTTTTTAAAGTCATATTGAAGTTTTCAAAATGGCAAGTGAAAAATACATATTAGAAAGCAAGGGGTATAAATATTAGATACATACCTTCTATTTGATTGTAAAGAATGGTTAAAGATATTTTGCATAATATTTACTACAACTTTATTAATGCCATCAAATTAAAGTAGGAGCTCTGTCTGCTCCGTTGAATATATCTTCTAGTTGAATATAATCGTAGTTATAAGACTAGAGTTGTATCGGTAGTGAGTGGTCCCCTTCCAGTTCCGCCAGGGCAGCACGGTGGTGCGCGAGGCGGGCGGGCGCGCGCGCCACACCGGCCTGCTGTGCCACACGGCGGCGCCCGAGGACAAACGGAAGATCATCGGGGACGTCTTCATACGCATCGCCGAGCAGGCCGTACATGACCTCAACCTGCAGTATGTAGCCTTACTAAACTACCTGTTTTGATATCCTTCTGCAAATCTGCATATTGACATATGATTGGGTACTTGCCAACTTAAGTGTGGGAGAGCCAAGCTTCGGTACGAATGGGCCGGCTCGACCGAAGTGATACCACTGCCTCACAGAAAACCGACGTGAAACAAAGCTTGCGTTGTGTTTCGTCGTGTGAGTGAGGTTACCGGAGGCCCAATTAACCCCCTCCCTAGTCCTCGTCTCCCGAATCCCTGAATCCAATTACACCCCCAACGATCCTCAAATTCCCAAAAGGCCGGTAACGCACTTGTAACGCCTTGGTGTTTCGAGTGTCCATGGGCGGCGCCGATTGCTTACCATCAGATGATCCGTCTGCTAGTTTACCGGCTTATGCTATAAAAAAAAGAACTAGTCAAATTCAATACTTTTTTCTGCCTGTCTGTCTGTCTGTCTGTCAAAAACGACACTTTTCTATGGATGATATATGGTATTTTTAGCGCCAAACAGCATACTTATTTCTTAAAAAATTGCTTAAAAATACTAAAATTAAGTTAATCTTAAAATCAATAAATGAAAAAAGTATGATTACTTTGTGATATTTTATTGTATTGAACAGTCGAAATAATTTATTTTTGATAAGGCAAGTACCCAATTTGCCTAAAAGAGTTAACTCAATTTTAAGACAATGCTTTTTTTACTGTTGATGTAATTTTGCTATATCAGAAACAGACATACCGACAGCAAATGTTATCTGATTCTGTTTCCCTACTGAACTTATTTAACTACATCACATAGGTATTATAATGTTTAAAATAACTATACTCATATCAATCAAATATTTAAATGTGTGTCTTACATAATACATACAAAACATCACGCCTTTTATCCCTGAAGAGGTAGGCAGAGGTGCACATTATACCACTGTATAATGTAACACCCACTTTTCACTATTTATGTTATGAGTCCCATGTAATAGGGGTTGAGCCTATTGCCATATACCGGGCACAATTCCAGACTCCGTGCTACTACTGAGAATATTTTAAAAAACCCAGTAATCCTTTGCCCGACCCGGGAATCGAACCAAGGGGTCGCCCTTGCCCGGCAGTCGCACTTACGACCACTCGGCCAACGAAGCAGTATGTCTTACAAAGTTCTTAAAACCTTTGTATCTTCGCAGGGAAGACCAAGTACTGCTAGGCCAGGGTACACTACGGCCGGACCTGATAGAGTCCGCGTCCTCGTTGTGCTCGACCAACGCGGCCACCATCAAGACGCACCACAACGATACAGAGCTCGTGCGGGCGCTGCGTCAGAGGGGACGCGTTGTCGAACCACTGCGGGACTTCCATAAGGATGAGGTAAATAATTACTGCCACCGATTGTAATATTGATGTGTAATAGTGCTATTTTGTAGCCTATTCGCTAAAATAAATGTATTTGGTAGTATAGCAACTAAGATGTTGATGGGAATATAGTTTAAAATTAAATATGTATTATGTTGGGATCAATAGAGAAAAATCTGTGTTCATAATATTATCACCAGATATTTTAACGCAAGGATAATTGTGGCTGAAAGTATTATATTTTACTATAGTGTCAATGTAGCCCAAAATAAATGAAAACATTTCATCATTGTCTCATTACATAGCTTGTTCTTGTGTTCTATTTGAAGCATATTCTTCATTAATTGGTTTGTGATGCAGGTGCGTGCGCTAGGGCTGGAGCTAGGTCTGCCGAGTGCGCTGGTGGAGCGCCAGCCCTTCCCGGGCCCCGGCCTCGCCGTGCGCGTGCTCTGTCAGGACGAACCATACGCTGAGCGGGACTTCGCGGAGACACAGGTACTGCTGTTTAATATAATCCTCGAATTGTTGTGGAATGTGGGTGGTGGTAGATGATATTGCTCCATGTTAAGTACAATACCTCGTATTTGTTGCTCATTCTTCATCAGGATTTACAGTTTGAAATAAGCAACAAGTTTTACTAAACAACTAAATTTTTTTTTAATAATTAAATTAAATACTTTCATAAAAATAGATTTAGTTAAAATTAAAATAAAATTTAATTACAATGGTTGTAATGTTGTGCTACAGGTGATAGTAAAAATAATGGTGGAATACGCGTCGATGTGCGTGAAGTCGCACGCGCTACTGGGCCGCGTGGCCAACGCGAGTACTCCGGCGGAGCAGGCCGAGCTCAAGCGGATCTCTTCCAAGTCGCCCGTCGCCGCCACGCTGCTGCCTGTCAGATCTGTTGGAGTACAAGGTAGGTACTGAGACGGACAGCCCGAAATTTAAAACATTTTTCACTTATTGAGATCTCAATAAAACTGAGTAAACTTTTTTTTTTTCAGGTGACGGCAGAACGTATAGTTACGCGGTAGCACTATCGACGGAGCGCTACCCACCTGACTGGAAGGACATGCACTACCTCGCCAAACTCATACCTCGTGTATGCCATAATGTTAACAGGTCCGTGATTATTTTTAATTATACTTTCTACTACACTTCACAAAATTGTAGAATAACAACTTTTACATGTGTATGTGTTTTAATTAAAAAGTAAAACTAAGATGCGCTTACTTTATTTCGTCTTTTCATGAGCAACATTTCCGCCCTTTGGGTTCTATAAAGCACTTGAGTATCATTGTATATTTTGTTTAATGGTTGAGTTTACTAAATGCTTATTTAATTTCTCAGGGTTTGCTACGCTTTCGGAGGATTAATCAAGGAGCAAGTGACAGACATCACGCCCACCTTTCTCACACAACAAGTTATCTCAACCTTACGCCAGGCAGATGATCTCGCCACTCAGGTTGGAACCCTTTTCATATTATAAACCAAATGTTGTGCTATTCTGGTCTTCTGATTAAAATTATATAAATTATTTACAGTAAAAAAGAATTACGTTTTTACTTATCGCTTGGGATAGTAAATTTTTTTCTAAGCAATTTCTTATTGTGTATCCCCAATTGCTCAGGTGTTAGTATCAAGCGGGTATGCATCCCGTATAGCCCAGATGCCGGTGGTGATGATCCCGATCCACTTCGACCGCGACGCGGCCGTGCGCGCCGCCTCGTGCCAGCGCTCGCTCGTGTTGCGCCCCTTCATCACGTCGGACTTCATGACCGGCATCGCCGCGCTTCCAGGCTCCGATGCCATGCCGCAAGATGTAAGTATAATTCTGAACTAACTACTTCATATTTTTGAAAATATGTTGCTCACTCCCAGCAGACGTTCCAACCAAGAATGAAGTACGTTTGCAAAGCCACAACTTATCATAAAAACTAGAAGTAATGGTGAATTTGAATGACCGTATTTATTTGTCGGCAGGTCGTAGACAGAATGCGCAAGGAGTTGCTGAGCGTGCCCGGCATCTCGCGCGTGCTATACGACTTAACCCCGAAGCCGCCCGCCACTACAGAATGGGAATGATCACCGCGGCCCACACACTTTTATATATTTTTTTACTGAACGAACGCACCCACGGGCGGTGGCCGCGGCCTTATTGTTTTATTTGATGGAAGGCATCAGCAACATTGTGAAGGCAACTACGAACTCGACTATACACAAACACTATCGTTATTTAAATAAACTAAACGATTCTAGACTTGTACTATTTACTCAAGTGCCTATAATAATTAGTGTGATGTCGATCTCGTGAGTTGTCATTTCCCACACCTCCGTTTTCATAGGGCCCTTTTTGCACATTCCGGCAGCAGGGACACGGCGGCATAATTTATAACTATATACGTTAGCTGGCTCAATCGTCAGTACCAACGTTCATTTGCCGCCGGATATCCGGCAACGGGAACGCGTGTGAATAGGCACTTTCCAATCTCTTCCTCATGAGATCGATCCTAACGCTTCAGTTGTTAGTTTTTAACCGTTTACTATCGAGAATATAAATGGCTCACGTTTTTATATTAAACTATTTTGGGTTGACCATAACGTTGATTTTATTTTGTTATTAGTGTTTTAGCTATATCGAGTTTTAATTTATCATTTCTAAGTTTCAATGGTCGCGCCGCTGCCCGATATAAAGAAGTTTTTGTAAATACATTGGTGTCACATGTTATAATATTAGCTCCACTGATCAGTTTTGTAACATGTAGTAATTTATTGTCAAAGGCTGTGTAAAAATTTATAAAAAAGCCCAGAAATATTCCGCGCGACAAGATAATTATAAATGGATCTTGTATGAAATCGAAGACACATTGTGTTTTATGGAATGGTTCAGTGTTATTGACTGGAAGTTTCATAATAAAAATTATATTATGCTTTATTTTCATAATGGATTTTATTTCAAAACCTTTATCACAATTTTACATAAATAAATATAGTTAACATTTAGCAAAGTCAGTCAAGTTTAAAACAATACAATAAAAAGTATTAGCTATCAGGCACTAACAAATTAATGTTCTTGCCTGATGTGACCTGCCCACCTATGAAGGTTTCCTCTTCACCTCTAATAGACAAGCCCTCAGCTAACTGAACATTCTTTTCTCTCATCATTGGAGCTTTCACCCAGCGGGAGCTGCGGCAGTTACTGCAAGAATGTTGAGGAATGAGTTCTAATGAAATAGTCCTATTGTTACAATCGGCACACTTGAAGAACCTCTTGAATGAATCCAACACTTTCAGGGGATGTCTTTCATCCTTACATATTTGTGCAGCTGAAAATGCAGTGTACTTGCATTTCACACATCTCACCGCTTTGCAAGCAAGCTTGAAAGTATTCAACATCTTTTCTTCCATTTGTTCCTTTTTCTCTAGTTTACTGAAGTATTTTTCTTGTTCATCGTCTTCATGCTGCTGTATCAAATTTTGGTGAGCTGAGGTTGCTTCTAGAATTTTCTTGAACCTATCAGACATCACAGTTTTCATTTTCTTTGGCTGTGAATTTGTATCTTCATTGGATTTAGATTGTTGGCTATCATTCTCATCACTACTAGAACCATTTAACTTTTCTAAAGCTCTCTTCTTGCCAGCTTGTGTACCTTTGAGGTTGTTTGGGTCTGCTTTTGATAGACCACCATTTTGTTGGATCAACCTAAAAGCATTTGCCTTAGCTCTTTCTGCAGCCTTCTGTCCATAGCTCATGTTTAAATCTATAGTACCACTGCCTTTAAGACCAAATGTGCCACTGCTGCTTAGTTTAGGTGAACTTCCAACTCTTTCAGCTAATGATAAGTTCTGTGACTTGGTGCTACTCGGGCTAGAAGACAGTTTACTCAGTCTTTCATTGTCACTAGTTCGCTGAGTCGAGGGGCTGTGTAATATTGCATTGTTCTTCATAGAGCCAGCCCCAAGAGGTGCTTTATTCATCATAAGTTTATTACCCTCAGACTTGTGGTAGTCACTGAGTGACATTAATCTATTATTGTCTCTCTCTTTAACTTTCGATGAGTTACCACTTGGCAAAGCGCTGTATGCTTTTCCACCATAAATAACTGTGTTTTTACCCAAAACTTTGTTTTGTAAATTGACAAGCCCTTTACCCATAGTGGAGGACTGAAGCTCCTGTCTTCTTGAATACTTCTGGTACTCCTGCTTGACATGATAAGTGCAGACATCACATTGGTTTATGTTGACAAAAGATGTGCATGGTTCACCATTTTTCTTTCTACTTTTGCAAACTCCAAGATCTTTTGATTTTCCTAAAACCATGACACGGTCAGGATTTTCAACACTAAGACTAGCTTGTTCAGCACTATTTTGTGATCTATCTAAAACATTAGGGTTTAGAACAGCTACTACAGTACCCTCTGGTGTTTTCCACAAATCGTTGTAAGCCTTTCGAAATAAGAACATTGAAACTGTCTTGAGATCATCTTTCAAGTCACTGAGAGTCCATATGAGGAATTGGTTACCCTTTTGTGACTTCTTTGCAGCACTCTTCTTTACAATCACACCCCCAATCACCCAGTCTTTAGACAAATCTTCATTTTCAACATGTCTTTTCACTCTTAGCATGTTTATGGCTTCTCTGCCTTGCATGCGGTCAAGGAGGGCAGTGCTTGATATCAATGGCTTAGTAATTCTAATTCCAAAAACTGGATCAGTATAAATATCGGCATTTTCTTTGGGTTTCTTAATCTCGGGTGCACAAAATGTATTTTTACTCACTTGTTCAATAAATTTCTTGGTTTTAAAAGTATTTTGAGCCACTTTAACATCCATATTAGTTTGTCGTAATCTAGTCTCAAAGTCAAGTCTCTTATCTCTTTGTTCATCTTGCTGATGATCCAATATTTTCTTAACCTCAGATCCATAGGTACTGTACTTACGTTCAGTGTAATTTCTTTTTTCTTCATCATCTGATGAATCAGTATCACCATTATGAATAGCAGAGTTCTTTGCAGGTTTACTTTCTTCAGGTTTCTCTTCAACTTCTACATTACTTGTACTTGGTTTGAAAATATCAACTTCACGTACAGAAACTTCCTTAGCATCATTATTATCAAATTCATTTAGGTCCGCACACAATAGTTCTTCAAGCTGCGCCAACTCATCGTTGTCACTCATTATTTTTGGTAGAAAAATGGGTAAATTAATAATGCGATCAATTAATAACTGATTTAGCAAAACTGGCGCCGAACTTTAATAACAGCACAGTTGGCGGGCGATCAGATTTGATATTGACAGTTGACAGTGATTGTTTATCGTTATAATGTGACATTCTGATAAACGTTCTGAAATACTTCAAAACTAGCAGCAATCGGTAACTCGGACACAGATTATAGTCACTTTTTATTTTTACTTTTTTGACAGGAACTGTCGTTATGTCAGTCAGGAGTGTAAAGAGTGTAAATGTCATTTTGTGATTTCAATTTCAGGAATTTCTCTTGAGCCGTGCCGAAACTGCCGATTTTCTATTGCAATAATAGATTTTAATATATATCTTGTGTATTGAACCGTTTATTTTTATGTAAAGGATCAAACGTTACAGCTTTTGTGTAGGATACAATGGCGGGTGAGTAATCTGTGTTATATCTGTTGTTGATTGTGAAGTTTTCCATGATACTTATTTATTTGAAATGTCTAGACAATCAAGGTGCACCGGTAACCGGTAACCAAACGCCTCTGAACAAGGAGGAGCCTAAAGAGGGTGTTGCGAGTGCAAACGAGCCTGGTACGCAATCTGAACCTGCGGAATCTCCTCAGACGGAGCAACCAGCGGAGGACTGTCAGGAGATCATAATAGTGAACGAGCAGACTACGGAACTAGACCTAAACCACGGGAGGATCGGGAAAATCGAGAACCTTGAGCGTTTAAAGAACTTAGAGAGGTGAGTCACCTTTTGTTTGCTAAGTGAAAGCTTGATGGTGTTATAATATAAATGAGTCATTGATATCTTTTTTAAGGTCGAACGTACCAACTTAAGATGATATACTACTAAGTTATTCCAGCAGCTACATCCACATTCCCGTTGGATAATATAGCCTTTGTGATAAATAGCCTAATCTATTAGGGTCTGGAATATTTGGCCCTTTTTCAAATTTCATTCCGATCCCTTCAACCGTTTTGATGTGAAGGGGTAACAAAGATACAGATTTTCACATTTATCATATTAATAATTAACCAGTTGAAATCCGTCCCCTAAATTTGGTCATACAAAAGTAGTCTCTAATCATTGGAAATAAGGTCTAAAATGTAATGTAATATTAGGGGAGAGCGGTCACCGGTGACCGCTTGGGGATCTATGGGTTAAGTAAAGAAATAAGTACAATCACAATTACTCCAGGCAAAGCCTTATGTATCATAAACATTGGACATGACAAACCTACCTACAGTAAAATAACAATTATAAAGTACTAGCTTTTACCCGCGGCTTCGCTCGCGTCACAAAAGGATAAAAAGTAGCCTATGTGACATATACCAATACACACAGCGCCATCTATACCAATACTTTAGTTTTCCCTTGGGAATATCAAATTTTTTCGGAATAAAAAGTACCCTGTTATTTAATCCGGACTTCTAACTTTACGTCTGCAAAAATTCAAAGCAATCGGTTTAGTAGTTACGGCGTGAAAGTGGAACAAACAAACAAACAAACTCACTTTCTGATTTATAATATTAGTAAGGATAAGGATTCAAAACACAACTCTTGAATGATGTTACTGACCAGTCTATCCTCTACTGACTTATGAGACGGGACTTTTAACCTTTAATACCGAGTCTTATCAGAGATGAATATCAAGTAGTGTACACTATTGTTCTTATAACAGTTGTTATCACTTGACATGCTGTTGAGTAATAGATTAGCTCTAGCTTATCTTTTTCTCAACTTGAAGCTGTATGATTGTTTCTTTTGTATGTGGTTTAGTAACTGATAAACTCCTAGAAATATTAGTTTATATTGTGTATTTAAAATCTCTAAAAAATATAATAACATAACATCACCTTTTGTCCTCAAAGGGGTAGGCAAAGGTGCATAGTATAGCACTTAATGCCACTGTACAATGTAACACCCACTTTTCACTATTTATGTTATGAGTCCCATGTAATAGGGGTAAGCCTATTGCCATATACCGGGCACAATTCCAGTCTCCGTGCTACTACTGCCATTTTTTTAAAAAGCCAGCTATACTTTGCCCAACCCGGGAATCGAACCGGACACCCCTTACCCGGCAGTCGCACTTGCGTCTACTTGACCAATGAGGCAGTCTCTAAAAAATCCAAGTGAATTCAGTACATTTTTGAACCCATTGCTAGCTATTGAAGTTTACATTCTCGATGTGTCAATTTAGTCTAATTTATAAGTTAGACAGTAAATAAAATTATTTTAAATGTTCAATATTAATGAAGGTAAATGTAATGTATCTGATGTATTTTTAGGTAAAATATAAAATTTTCCTATCATTATTGCGTCATCAATCATTTAAAATCACTTATCACTCTGTTCATTCTGCTTGTCAATCAACATGTGATATCATCTTATGAATAACTCATATGCACTCCTATAATTTGCATACAGACTAAGGTCAATGTTATATTTTATTTATATTTTTATTTAATTTTACATATTTATAATTTACTTATGTTTAACCAATTTCAAAACGAAAAAAGTTTTACTTGACAACGACTTTGAGTGGTAAAATAATTTGCCTATCTCTTTCACTCTCTCTCTCTCTCTCTCGCTCTGTCTCTCTCGCTCTTAGGCGGGCTAACTGTGCTCGAGTGGAAGGGACGCGTGCCTTTCACTTTTTATGTCTGTCTCTCTCGCTCTTAGGCGGGCTAACCATGCCCGAGTGGAAGGGACGCGTGCCTCTCACTCGCTCTCATTGTGAGTGCATAACGTGAGCGGAGCGTAACGCAGTTTCTTGAAGTGTCACCCGGCAAACCAATTTATAAGACGTTGTCACGTCAAAAGGAAGTTCTCATTTTGACCTGTATTATGTTTGTGATAGATGATCTCGCGATTGTTTTAAATCGATTTTGATACGGCTTCCAAAAAAGTGTTTGTTACACTTAGGAGAAGGTTTTAGTATATTAACCCGTATATCCCCAGTCGCTCGCCACTAAGTACATTATAGACCTTATTTCCAATGTTCAGAGACTACTTTTGTATGAACAAATTTAGGGGATGATTTTCAACAATTTTCAGCGGGTTATAACCGACTTCAAATAAAAGAAGGGATTCAATTAAAGTCGTTTTATTTAAGCATAGAAACACGAAATATTGTTAAAATCACACAAATATTTTGGAAACCAGGTCCTTATACCAAGTTTTTTAAAAAAACATTTATATGAAAAATCTATTGAATTAATAAAAAAAAGATATATAAATAGTAAAAACTTTTCCCTACAATTGAACAGAAATTTCCACAAAACTTGTGTGAATATCACTTTGTTTCTTTTTCCATTTAGGCCTTGAGATTCATGTGTTTCATTAAATATTTGTAAATATTATGTTCTCAACTAGTACACACGGCCACACATCAATCTATACAAAACCAGTTTATCCTGGTATCGCCTCGCATCATCCTTCCGCACATTTAACGTTCAGTTTATACTGGTTAAGTAAAGCTCGATGTGTAGCCGTGTGTACATACATAAGCGCTAACTTAATTATAACATGTCTTATAATGGCTGGTCTTCTGTTTGTATGGTTTTAAACTTTTATCTATGACAATACAGGTGGGTTGTTAATTTATTCATTTGATTACTTATCATCAACTGGTCTAATGCTTGTTTGGTAAATCCTCATTTCCGTAACCTTAAACAATGTTTATTTAAAAGTTTTCACTAAAGGTTTTTATTAGTATAGTAGCATTATTTCAAATTGTAAATGTACATTATTCATTCATAAACAAAAACAATCATTCATCGCTTTTTATTTTATTTCATGGTTTGATTCCATAGTCCCTTTAATTTTGACGTTGTATTGTCGTTAAATCTTTCTGACATATATATACAATAGGTAAAGGATCAGATAATGTATCAATGAGACTCAGAAATATATTTTTTAACAGAGTAACTATGGAGTTTCTTGCTCATTCTTCTCCATTCGAACTACACTATAGAAGGAACACCTAGCTTAACTGACAGACAGATGGATGAACAATTCAATTTTTGACGTTTTGAAAGTGCCTAATAAGGGATTTTGTAATAAATGCTTTGATTTTGACAATGAATTCTGTTAAAAGCTTTAACCCGTCGAGCGTCTGCGTTCCTTATGCATTTCCTTATCCATGCATGCAAGAAAATGTATTTATTTGTCCATTGGCACACGAAAACAAGGATCATTACAATAGAAATAAAACAAATACAGTCAAAATAAAAACAAACCATTAATAATAGATTTTATAAAAGAGAAAGCAGCATAGAGCATTTTTTCTTATGATCCACCGGGTGCTCGATGTGTTAATCAGTCCTAAGATTTTAGCTCAAGATTGGTTATTGATTTCAGTCGTTAATCTATCAATGGAATCTTTATAGGTAGACCATCAAAATATAGCTCCAATTTTTCCACAACTACATACATACGTATAAAAAGCGCAACTCTCCACAATGTACGTCTATGCGATCAATATTGACATGTGACTCGCCAGTATAAATGAATGACATCACTCATACAGATCAATGGCGCTGGATAATCAATAGGAAGGTCGTTGTGCTGCCCCCACTTGACTGAAGTAATGTTCAATGAATTGTATCACCCATGGCGTTATCGCGACAATTACTGGTATATCTTTGTATCTAAGGCTGGTGTTATACTCGTGTTTAAGAGTGTGCCTATGAAACAAGCGCGTACATAATATAGAATAGTATAACTTAATTATTACGTTTTCGGCTTACTCACGTAATTATTTGACGAGGAACTCGACTAGTTTCAAGTCATGCTAGAGGCTCATATTCATGAGCAGCATTTCGCAACCTGCGACGGGGCGACTGTCGCGCTGCTACTCGCTAATATAATAATTAATTTACTATGTCTCACGAAACTTAAAATACAGATATAGAATAGAATAACCTTATTATACACCAAATTGAGACATTATATCCAGCTCAAAAATCAAGAGAATAGGGTGCAATGGTGGCCTGATCGCTAAAAGCAATATCTACCAGGTAACCTTTGGGTGGATAGAACACTATAGTAAGATAAATGAGGTAGCTATAGCTATAGCTACATGTACAGTATAATGAACTCATAATTTATTACTTAAAGGAAAACCTATCCGTTTTGAGAGCAACCCATGTTTGAAATATTTTTGCAATACCAACTGAAATTATAGGCGAAATTGCACATTTTAAATGTAAAATGTAAATGTAATGTAAAATTGCAAATATTAAACTGATACATACATATTATTAATGTAGATCCCAGTTTTTGTCAGTTGGATCATAAGGAACGCGGACGCTCGACGGGTTAAAACAGTTGGTATAGTAACTGAACATTGTAATTGAAATTGTAATTATTGTTCCAGATTATACCTACGATGGAATCTGATCAAGAAGATCGAAGGTCTCAGTACACTGAGCACACTGGTCGAGCTGGAGTTGTACGACAACCAGATTGTAGTCATGGAAAACCTCGACGGACTCGTCAATTTAGAGTACGTTCTTTATACATATGGCTTTTTTTAGTACTCATCTAAGCTTGTATATACGGATGCGCCCTTCAAACTTTCAAGGAAAGAGCCTACTACTTCTTTTATCTCCGAGAACACACTTATGGACTTCTCTGGTGTTGCAGGTGTTCATGAACGTCACTGATTGCTTACCACTAAGTGATCGTCTGCTCATTTGCCTTCCATACATACATACGTAACCTCACGTCTGTCTACCATGAGGGTGGGCAGAGACTAGAACGCCAACTGCTACGATTCTTACATACCTCTTTCGCTTTATCGACATTCAACATGTATGCTCGTCGGTTAAGGGAACTTTTATTTTGCCCCTTCTTTAATATATCGCCAATCTAGTCGATAATGTCCGTCTCGGGCGCCATCTACCGACGGTCCCATTCATATCCGCTCTGCATACTTCCTTCGTTTTCATTTGAAGCACAAAATAGAACATTTATCACATGTTTCACAGAAGTTTGATATTGTTTATATACTTTTATTTCATATTTCCAGAATGCTAGACTTATCATTCAATAGAATTAAAGAGATCGACGGTCTAGAGAAGCTGCTTAACTTGAAGAAGTTGTTCCTAAGCTCCAACAAGATCCATGAGATCAAGAATGTCAACCATTTGCCCAAACTGGAACTACTTGAACTGGGTGACAATAGAATACGGGTGAGATTAGATTTAAAACTTGAATAACTATACTAACTAACCTTGGAATAACGGCCATACACTATCGTATATGATACATTATTGTCTATGATCAAGTATATATATCGTGGCTATAGCAAAATGCAGAGTAATAAAGCCTGTGATAACCGCGATACAGGCTATGCCTACTGCGGATTTCACAGCTCAAATTGTAAAATTGTAGTTGGTTTATGAATAAATTATTTCTGTCCTTTCTTATGTTTAGAAGCATTTTAAATAATTTTATGTTATAATACAAAAATAGTAAGTACTACAACACATTGGCGACACTGCGAGGTTATAGCCAAAAAAAAGTTTTTATTGATTTTTTTTTGTAACTTTTTTTAATTGTATACCGATCACCCAATTTAATCACAAATAACAATAATAAAAGGATTTTTTCAATTTTCATTTTCATTACCAAATTCTAGATTTGTGAGTAATAAACGGTATGTGTGTCCACACACTGAAACCACATATTGAAGTTTTTAAATACAAAATTGTTTACTAACTGTAGATATTTTTTACAGGAAATCAAAAACCTAGGAGGCTTGAAGACACTAAAACAGTTATACTTGGGCAAGAACAAAATATCGAAAATACAAAACCTGGAAGAATTATCAGAATTAGAAATCCTAGTACTACAGAGTAATCGTCTCGTTAAAATAGAGAATTTAGAAGAACTTACAAAACTAGAACAGTTATACATATCTGAGAATGGAATAGCGGTTATTGAGAATTTGAATAACCAGGTGAAGTTGCAGACTTTGGACCTGGCCGTTAATAGGATCACTGTCATCGAAAACGTTGGCCATATGCTGGACTTGGAAGAGTTATGGGTAAGTAGAAAGTATGACTGATCTTTTATTACTTGCAAGAGAGCCATGCTTCGGCACGAACGGCTCGATCAGAGTGATACCTCGGCCTCAAAGAAAACCGACGTGAAACAACGTGTATTTTGTCGTGTGAATGGGGTTACCCCCCTCCCCAATCTCCCCAATCCCTGATTCTCCAACCATCTTGTCTTGTCCTCTGCAATATTGTCTGCGGTATGGTGTACATGAAATGATAAATAAATATATTAAATCTTATATCAATTTTCAGCTAAACGACAACCAAATCACAGACTGGTCATCAGTGGATTACCTGAAACAAAATAAGAAGATGACGACGATATACTTGGAACGCAACCCTCTCGCCGCCGACCCGGCTTATAGAAGGAAACTAAAGCTAACCCTCCCGTCGCTGCAGCAGATCGACGCCACATTGTGTAGATAAGAATTTATGGTTCATTTGTTTATGTAGTTGTTCATGGTGGTGCTAAAAGACTAAAATTATTATTTATTTCTTAAAATCACCAAATAGCAAGGAAGAAAATTGTAACATAATGTCGTTATTTTTTTTTTATAAAAATTTTGCCTCACATTATGATTTTCTCCTGTGTCTTTGGTGCGTTTACAAACATACAAGTTCACATACACAATGACACCCAGACCCGAAACAACAATTTGTGGATCACACAAAGTGTTGTTCCGTGCGGAAATCGAACCCGCGACACGTTGCACGGCAGCCGGTTGCCCAGCCACCGCACCAACCGTGCAGTCTTTAACTTTAAATTCTTATTTATTTTTAACTAGCTCACCCAGCAAACTTCGTACCCCGTTAAAACTTTTTCTCATCTTTTAAACCTCGCCTGGACTTCCACGAACATTTTAAGACAACAAGAAATTAGCCAAATCGGTTCAGCCGTTCTCGAGCTTTAGCGAGACTAACCAACGGAAATTCATTTTTATTCACTATTATGTATTAATTAAAATGTCAGGTTGTGAAATTAAATTTGTAATGTGGAATATTGATTGTCATACAGAAGAATGATCTTTAGATTAACCGAAACACATTTTATGAAATACTTAACAGTGACGAGTTGATAAAAACTAACCAAGTACTTAAGTAAATACCATTTTAGTCCATATAAAAAAAAACATAAACTTTCTTGTTGTGTCATAAAATAAAACTAACTTCAAACAAATTGAATCCATAAAAATACTTACATAAAATATAATTTGTAATAACTAATAATGAGGGTCTTTTTACACCACCTGTTAATTTTATTGTAGTAGTTTGTAGTTTGGTATTTAAGTACTAGTAGTTTAAAACATAAAACATTTCATACCGATGACTGAAAATACAGAAAGAAAATGCTACTAATTTGCTTATTTATAAATCAGTAATAATAAAGATTGCCTCGTTGGCCGAGTGGTCGCAAGTGCGACTGCGACTGCTGGACAAAGGGTCTCGAGTTCGATTCCCGGGTAGGGCAAAGTGTTACTGGTTTTTTTTAAACCTCAGTAGTACCCCGGAGTCTGGAATTGTGCCCGGTATATTGCAATAGGCTCACCTCCTACTTCATGGTACTTATAACATAAATAGTGGAAAGTGGGTGTTATATTGTACAGTGGTATTAAGTGCCGTAATGTGCGCCTCTGGGGATAAAAAGGCGATATGTTATGTTATGTAATAATACATTTTGAAAAATGAATAATATCAAAATTAAAAATACTTTTTATTTAAAGACTTACCAGTCACTAATGTCGGAATACTCAAACGCTACTCAATTTTAAGTCGTGCTTAAGTATCTACTGTCACTACAAATTCTTTGTAAAATGACAGAGATGGCACGATATTTGAGCACGACTTAAAATTGAGTAGTTTCAGTATTCCGGCATAAGCAAACAAAAGCGTTCCCTTGTTTATTTTTTTTATAGAATTTTTATGTATGTTTGGTGGTACATAAATATAGTCAAAATATTTAATGTATGTAGAAGTTGTTGTAGCTACAATATGTTCTAGTATTAATTATAGTACATACATATAGTTTAAGTATTTTCTTTACTGTATTTATATTATTTTGTCCATCTGTGTTGTGTTGAGTGACTTTAGCTATTGAGTGTTTAAGTTTTACTAACCTAGTTTAACTTCAAACAGATCCCTTAATTAAAGTTAATTGAGCCTTTTCTCCGAGATTTTCATTAACATGCTGTTTCTAATTCTAAATGTAATAAGACCTTAATACTTAAATTCTTAAATTAAGTTATACGAGATGTAATAAAAAAAGATATAATGAATTAAGTCCGCCATTTTCACTCTGCTTTGTTGTCGGCCTCGTTGGTCGAGTGATCGCAAGTGCGACTGCCGGGCAAGGGGTCTCGGGTTGGATTCCTGGGTCGGGCAAAGTATTACATACTGGGTTTTTTAAAAATATCTCAGTAGTAGCATGGAGTCTGGAATTGTGTCCGGTATATGGCAATAGGCTCCCCACCTATTACATGGGACTCATAACATAAATAGTGAAAAGGGGGTGTTACATTGTACAGTGGCATAATGTACACCTCTGCCTACCCCTTCGGGGACAAAAGGCGTGAATGTTATGTGGTTGTCCGCCACTTTCACAGTGTATGTGCAATAAAGTTTAAATAAGTAAATAAAATTTATTATATTGTTTAGTACTGGATCAGATCAGACCACGAAGTAACTTTGTATTTGCGTCTTGGTTCAGACAGATGGGACATATTTCTTATAATTAAAATAAAATGATTGCCCTATCTATCAACTACAACAAAATTCTTCGAATCTGATTAACTATTTCAACTTATAATTTAAACTCTTTAGATGATAACAAAAATATGAATGTATTTAATGTCTTATTAACTAATTTATATTGTTATTAATGTAAAAAATTGATGTATGTGAGGTGTTCGGCGGTTTAGTGTGACGAATGCGCACAAAGACCTGGATTTGACACCCAAATTGGGCAACTAATTGAGATTTTCTCTTACGAAATTGTCTAGGAGTTCTAATAAAGTAGCCGGTGTATGGTTAGACCCTTACCCCTATGGCCGCCGGGGTCGTGCGGTCCATGGCCCTCTACGGCGCCCCTGTTTGGGCGCCGAACCTGCTGCAGCGGCCCGCTCGGGCGCTGCTTATGGCACAGAGGGTCATGGCGATCCGAATGATCCGCGGATACCGCACGATCTCTGGGGAGTCGGCGAACCTCCTTGCCGGATTACCGCCGTGGGATCTGGAGGCGAAGGTGCTCGCGCGCGTGTATCGCATGCGCGCGGAGGCACGTCGCCGGGGCGAAACTCCGCTGCCGCGCCAGATAAGTGCGTGGCGGGATGAGCTCCGGCGCGATCTCATGGCGGAATGGCAGCAACGACTGTCGCAACCGAGGGCTGGGCTCGCTGCCATTGCAGCGGTAAGTCCCCTCTTTGAGGAGTGGCTTGAGAGACGCTACGGCGTCCTCACCTACCGCCTGACGCAGGTCCTCACCGGACATGGAAGTTTCGGGAGGTACCTGTGTCTGATGGGGCGGGAGGAAACGCCCGGGTGTCATCACTGCGAGGACCACCCTGAGGACACGGTGGAACACACTGTTGCGAATTGCCCTGCGTGGGCTGAGCACCGCCGTGCCCTCAGGGAAGTGATCGGCGATGGAGACCTCTCGCGTCCGGGCCTAGTGCAGGCCATGATGCGGAGCGAGGGGGACTGGGATGCCGTCTCCTCCTTTTGCGAAGCAGTCATGCTGGCTAAGGAGGAGGCGGGACGCGTGAGGCAGCGAAGCGCTGCCTCCTCGCAACCCAGCCATCGCGAAGGACACACCGGGCGTCGGGGATCGCGGGACGATCTCCGGCCACCGTAAGCGCGGGCCTGCGGACGGCGAGCATGGGTGGCTCCCCGTCCGACCAGAAACAGACCCGAGCGTACGGCGCGTCGCGTTCCGCGCGCGCCTCAAAGAGCCATCAGACCACCACAGATGGAGCCCAATAGGGCCGATGCCGATTCGGAGTCGCGGAGAACCTAACGGGTAACCGGGGCTCCGGCTCGACGTGCAGGAGAAGGAACGGGGTGGTTTTTAGTCAGTAAGAGTCTGACACTCCCTTCCGCCTCACCCAGGCGGGAGCAGTCATTCGATGATTTTCCCCCCTTAAAAAAAAAAAAAAAAAAAACCCCTATGGCAGGGGACTCCTAACATAAGTGGTGAAAATGGATGTTGTATTAAATGTTTTTAGGTGTTAAAATGAAAAATAAATGTAAGTGCCTCCTCCAAAATTGTCCAAAAATTGTTAGAAACAAAATGTAGATTGTTATCTTCGATATCATTATAAAACTTCCTTAATTAGTGAATTAATATAAGAAAATTAGTAACAGTGCGTGCAAAGGAACGGCTGAAATTGTGAGAATGACATATTCAAAACGGCGTAGTGGCTAAGAATGTCGACAAAAAGACATATTTTTTATCTATTGGTTTTTGAGATCAATGTAAATACCTAATATCAACATAAACATTTTCATTTCTCAGACAAAATATTAGATTATTATTTGATAAAACAGATTGCTAAGTAGCAGGATACAAAAAAACATTATCATGCATTTTGTGTTATTGTGTATCAGTACATATTATAAAACAAAGTCGCTATCCGCCGTCTTTCTGTCCCTATGTATGCTTAGATCTTTAAAACTACGCAACGGATTTTGATGCGATTTTTTTTAATACGAGTTCTATATGTAGTTTCTATATTTATAATACATACATATTGCACCCGTGCGAAGCCGGGGCGGGTCGCTAGTTATCTTATACTATTATGTAAAGCTGAAGGGTTTGTTTGTTTGAACGCGCTAAACGAACTACTGGTCCGTTTTGAAAAATTATTTTTGTATTCGATAGTCCATTTATCGAGGAAGGCTTTAGGCTATAAAACATCACGCTACGATAAATAGGAGCCGAGCAGAACGGGTAAACTCGAGCGAAAGTAGCTAGGTTTCTGTAAAATGCATTGCATTTAAAGTAGTAAATATTTTTGTAAAAGTCACAAATCATTGCTTCGATGAAGAGTAGTCACAAGCGTAGCTCAGTCAGATCTATAGGTTTGGTTTCCTAGACGCGTACTGTATACCTTGGGTAGTACAGGTTCATTCCTGTGGAGCTTAAAAACAAAAAGGTGCATTTGCGACAATGCGCATGATGTCGTTCAATTATACTTACTTCATAAACTACTAAGAAAATAAACGTGCATTTTTTATTCTTATATATAATTTAAATATTCAAATAAATACAGATAAATAGAATTAGAGTGTCTGTTTGTTATATTAAAATAACCGCTTTTTACTACATGCATATGAATATACATTCGATACACATACCAATATCTTTTTTGTACAATTTTTGTCTGTCTGTTTGTACTGGCTAATCTCTGGAATTCAGAACCCATTTTGACGGGAATTTTATTGACAGGTAGCTGATGTACTAAGGAGTAATACACGTTACTTTTATTTTGGAAAATTGACACAAAAAGAAGTTGTCCTAAAATTCATATTCTGCGCCGCGGGCAACAGCTAGTCTATAATATGTACTACATACTAATAATAATAAGCATTTATATCAAAATGTACCAATAAACATGGATTTGAAAATATATAGATTTTGTACGGAATGTAGTGTGTGTTAGTAGTTGTGATAAATATAATTTATTATGTATATGTAGTTTATATCATAACCGACTTTGATGTGGTTTTATAACATAAGCAATAAGTATTTTTTCCGAAACAAGTTACTGAGTAAAGTACAAGATCTGAGTTACTTTTTTATGGACAATTGATCAGTTAAAATAATAATAATAACTGGTAGCTCACGTGAACTATTCGTTCGCCATGGACACAGCTCCTAATTATGAGCCCCGTTGTTGCTCGAGACTAGTCGGGTATTCTCGAATACTTGTTACTTACACGAGAAATATAAAAAAAATGTATATCTAAAGTAGATATTGTAAAAATTGTAGATATTATAGTTGTAAAACCACATCATTTGTACTGATGCTATCTTTTCTCCTAATGAGTTCCTTCGATCATCTATATAAATTACATTGTATTATTATTTGTTATTTTATCTCTACACATGTATTATACTATCGTAGCCTAATGTAAATGTTTACAATAAATGTGTTAAAATCGATGTAGTATATTTTTATTATATTTATTTATTTACTTGTCTAAATGCCCATTCATTGTCAGCCCAATAATAAAATAATGCGAGTCGCGGAGAACCTAACGGGTTACTGGGGCTCCGGCTCGAAGTGCAGGAGTAGGAATGGGGTGGTTTTTAGTCAGTAACACTCCCTCCCGATTCACCCACGCGGGAGCAGTTACTCGATGATTTTCACCCCCGTAAAAAAAAGATACGTAGGTCACTACAAAAGTTTTGTCGTACTCCGTGAAATATTATTTTTTTTCGAAGTATTCTCCATTGGCACTTAGGCAGGTCTTCATACGTGCAAACCACGTATCAAAGATGTCGCTCCAGAATCCTTCCTGCACACTGCTGCATATCTCCTCAAAAGCACCTAAAAGTTGGTCATCATTAGTAAACTTGCGGCCTTTTAGTTGCTTTTTTACATATGGGAACAGGCCAAAATCACACGGTGCTAAGTCTGGGCTATAAGGAGGGTGTCCCAGTAATTTGATCCCAGTTTGACTCAGATAGTCCACAGTTTTGCCGGCTCGATGCGCGGGAGCGTTATCATGATGCAAGAACCAAGTGTCGAGTCTTGAGTTTGGACGTTCATTTTTCAAAGATTCTAAAACTTGAGGTAAACATTTTTCAGTGTACCAGGCAGCTGTCACAGTCTTCTGTTTATCAAGCACAATTATTGATAAAATACCTCTTCTGGAGAAAAATACGGCTACCATTCTTTTTTTGACTGACCGGGACATTTTAACGGACGTCGGAGGATCTTCGTCTTCAAACACCCACACTTTACTCTGGGATTTAGTTGGAACGTCGAAATAATACAGCCAGGTTTCGTCACCAGTGATAATTGAATTCACATAGTTAGATTTGCCGTCATTGAATTTTTTTAACATTTCTTTACACCATTTGACGCGCTGTTCCCTAATCGCATCAGTTAGCAAATGTGGTACCCAAAGTGAACAAAGCTTTCGTACTCCTAAGTTTTCATGAAGAATTCGATGAATAGTTGGTGCACTTAAATTGAGTGTTTCCTCGATCTGACGGTATGTTACATGGCGATCTCCTTCAATCACTTTTCTTATCAGTGGTTGCGTCAATCGGCCTGCCCGGTCTTGAATCGTCTTCTAAATTAAAATTGCCGCGATTGAATTGTAAAAACCATCTTTCTATAGTCCTAAGGGATGGACAATTATCACCCAACACACCACTCATTTCTTCGAAGCATTGTTGTTTTGATAATCCACGCTTAAAGTTATACAAAATTATCACCCGAACGTCACGACGATTTAAATCTGACATATCCAATTGTTAAAAAATTCACTAAAAAAATACTAAGCTAGTTACTCCAACGAAACTTATGCAAAATATGTTGACATTAGTTGATGTATTAGAATCTACCCTCAGTTGAATTATAACTATTAACTATTTGTCATACGACAAAACTTTTGTAGTGACCTACGTATATTATCATCTCATCTCAACCTTAGTTATGTTAATGTATGAACAATAATAGTAGCTTAATATGTAATAACAGAATACTGAATAAGTTGTACTTAAATATCGTGCCATCTCTGTCATTTTACATAGAATTTGTAGTGACAGAACAATACCTGACTTATTTTTAAGTTAATTTTTAACTACCTCATTGGCAGAGTCGTCGCAAGTGCGACTGCCGGGCAAGGGGTATCGGGTTCGATTCCCGGGTTTGGCAAAGTATTAATGGGTTTTTAAAAAATTCGCAGTAGTAGCACGGAGTCTGGAACGGAATTGTGCCCGGTATATGGCAATAGGCTCACCCCCTATTACATGGGACTCATAAAATAAATAGTGAAAACGGGTGTTACATTGTACAGTGGCATAATGTGCACCTCTGCCAATTTTTAACTGTAGGTTAAAATTGACATTTGATAGATTTTAGTGCGAAAGAATTGTCAAATATTCAAAGTTATTCCTTAGTTAAAATTTATCTGGCGTTGGATAAATCGGCACTTAAGCGCGCCTAGAATTGTATTTTGAACCTTTCAGTATTCGGGCGTAAGTTTTGTAATATACGTATACCTAATGTAAATTAGATTAATTATATGGATAGGTGTGTGTCGACTGTTGTGAATGTCCAAGATTTTGTGAAAAGATGGATGATACGTATCTTATTAAAATATATAAAACAAACATTAGCATAAGCTAATGTTTGTTTTCAAGTTACAATTACTATGATTACCAATTTTGTTATTCAATTGTATAGTTTTTTGTTAATTTTATTTCTGAATTGTATTAATTTTTATTTCTTAGGTATATTTAATTACCTTATTAGTTTGTTTTTAAGTACAAGAAATAATAGTATTTATATAAGATTAATAGCGTAAGTTGGACGTACATTTTTGACACTTACCAAGGTCATGTTCATACTTTGAGTTTTCTCCTCTCTTGGTAGATAAGACCTAAAGTGGCTTTTGGGTAGAAGCCCAGATGAGGTTATTACTTTTATTTATTTATTTTCGAAATAGTACTGTAGATATATAATTTCCAGGCAGTCGCGGACTCTCCCAGCTCTCAGTGTCCGCACTCTCCAGCTCCACGGCGCAAGGACCACACTCGCCCGGCGCTACGTAACCCCATACTCTCTAAGGTCAACTTTAAGACGTAAACAATAGAGTTTATTTTTATTGTAATTGTAATTAATAAATGAAGGTTCTATAAAATTCTGCTTTTCTTTTGTAGAACGATTAGGGTGTTACTCAACATTATCATTTTGAGGTTCACTGTTCAATAAGGTATCTTCTATGGAGTCTAACATTGAAAGCAATATAGTTCCCACGCTAAGATGAACCAAATGAAGACAAGTGCACTGCCTACATTATTTCCAAAAATTCATCTTCTTTAACCCATATTTACTTGGGTTTGATTTACCTTATATTAAACATTTTTAATTTATCAGTAAGTAGCAAAATAGTACAGTTTTTACTTTAGTAGATACTTGCATGTATAAAACAAACAATAATACTATACAATTAAATAAACCTCTCAGATACCCAATTCAAACAACATGTTTTCTTATCATAATTCATATACATACATACATATATATTATTTAGTCACTTTTATCAACTTATGACATAACCTAAAACACATCACCTTTCATTTTCATCTCAACGGTAAGAACAAAGTCTTATACTTTCCCTATTTTATAAGATAAACGTTCCTTGACCTTGTGGACGACTAGACCAGTCCACTGTCCCGCCGGCCGGCGAGCAAACCGGCTAGTAGACTTGCTACATTAACATAAACAACTTTATAGTTCAACACAATCTACTAAACACATTCCGATTGCTACCCGACCGAGAACGACGCATCATGAAATCGTTCATACAATACTCTCCAGACTCTGATTTTCCTATTGAAAATCTACCCTATGGCGTCTTCACATCTCCTAATAATGTAAGTACAATAATCTAATAATAATATTAGGATAATTGTGTATTCGATATTAGTTTTTATTGTCATGTAATAAGAGTCATGCGATAGCCACTGACCGTACTCAATGTCTTCTTTTTGACATTGCATATTGCTATAATACAGCTAAATTAAAAAGTCCATGACACTAATTATTAATTTGCTAAACTGGGGTGCCATTTTATTTAGCCAGGTTATGTATTAGTTCTAGATTTGTTGTTTTTTATGTTTTATGTTTGTTTGTAGATCGAGAAACACATTGGCGTGGCGATCGGAGAATTGATTCTTGATCTGAATGTGATCTCCCATCTATTTGATGGACCTCTGTTGAAATCTAAACAGAATGTTTTTAAGGTAAAGTACCCACTAATATGATTATTTTATAGGACTTTATTAACCTGAGTAACTTCTCATTTTCTCAAGTTGCGGCTTGTTATTGCAATACCGACCCTTTTTAACCGACTTCCCAAAAAGGAGGAGGTTATCAATTCGTCTGTATGTTTTTTCTCAATTCAAAAATTCAAAATACCTCAGTAGTTAACCCTTAAGTCCTTAGTACCTACTTTGAAACCATATAATAAAACTATTAATATTTTAATAAATATTTATTCACATACAAAACACATAAAGTTCTATACATAATCCAGCTTGTAATTGTAAATAGTCGATAACACGCTATTTGTTTACTGATAAACAATATTTAATACATATAAGTACCTACTACTTATGTAGGTATGACAAGTACCTATCTACATTTAATCAGAGCTTAATCAAGTGGATATCATTTGCATGAAGTGGTAAACATGTTTGTAAGCTCCAGTGTATGTACTTACAGACCTGTCTATCTATATAATTTAGTTACTTAGGTACCTTCTTACTGGTTTCGTTATTTATTTGTACATTTTAGAAATTTAGAAGATTACCAATTATCCCCTCCCCAAACTCCCCAATCCCGAATCTCCAATAATCCTCAAATTCCTAATCCTTTTAACACCTCTGGTGCTTCAGGTGCCCATAGGCGACGCCGATTGCTTACCATCAGGTTATCTATCTGCTCGTTTACCGGCTTATCTCATAAAAAAAGATAGATAAATATCTGTATAATCTAAGTTAGTCAAATAAATATGGAGTTCTTCTCGATATAATCACTCGTTTTTAACAAAGTACCTTGACTAGTTTCAAGCCGCGCTTGGGACTCATGATTAGCTGTACGATGCTCGTCGCGTCGTTTGTAGCGCAATACTGCTTGTGCGTAGCTATAAGCCCCTAGTATAGCTTGATATTAGTTGAGTTAGCTTGTCAAAGTGAACCGTGAAATATAAAAAAATGATGTTAAACTTAAAACGAAAACTGAATATATACTTACCTATCTAAAAGTAATAGGTTATTATTTGAAAATTTTGCAAAGCACTAGACCTAGAAACACCGTGTCTTCTATCAGAAGTAGGTAGGTAAGTAGGTAAGGTACAGACAGACACACCTCCATTTCTGATTAGTTTACAACAAAACAACACTTCCGTGTGTTTGTGAATACGTAATTAACTTGGACCTACCAACGTCGTCAATATATTTACGATTGAAATAGAATTCCAGTTTTATACAAACTGGTTCGTTATTACGCCATGTTCTGCAAGTTATTATATACTGAATATTGGTACTTACAGAATAATGAAATACATGATGAAAATGTGAAATTTAACTTGTATTTAGAAATACGTGAATCTGCATTACTTTAAATTACCCTCTCGCAGAATTAATAAAAATTCATTATGATCCACTCAGTTATTTGATAAATAAATAAATCTATATTTTATTAACTTAATTAATAATTCAATTATGCATAATTCCCTATGTAAGTTGAGTCTACATTTATAAAATTAATATTGTGTGGGGCAACATTAAAAAAAAATACTGAATACTGAAACGTTACTCAATTTTAAGTCGTGCTTAAATATCGTGCCATCTCTGTCATTTTACAAAGAATTTGTAGAGACAGAACTATACTTAAGCACGACTTAAAATTGAGTAGCGTTTGAGTATTCCGACATCAGTCATTTTTCGATACAGACTTGAAATGCCCAACTATATGCTAAATGTCTGTATTGCAAAATTATTTATTGTAATGTTTTTGTCTCATAAGGCGTATGATTAAATATGTTCCTTTCGCTTTATTTTCTTCTATGCTTAGAAAAGTTACCTAAATGTTTTTAATTCCAGGAGGAGAAACTCAATGGCTTCATGGCCCTCACGCGGCCACACTGGCAGGAAGCGAGGGCCACCATACAGAAACTGCTGGATGCTGCAAACCCTACACTACAGAACGACAGTGATCTAAGACAAAGGTACCTTAGATCTTTACGGATATTAAAATATAGTATACTAGCTTTTACCCGCGGCTTCGCTCACGTCACAAAAGGATAAAAAGTAGCCTATGTGACATATACCAATACACACAGCGCCATCTATACCAATACTTTTGTTTTTCCACGGGAATATCACATTTTTCCGGGATAAAAAGTACCCTATTGTTTAATCCGGACTTCTAACTTTACGTCTGTAAAAATTCAAAGCAATCGGTTTAGTAGTTACGGCGTGAAAGCGGAACAAACAAACAAACAAACTCACTTTCCGATTTATAATATTAGTAAGGATGAAATTCGAACAGTGTTCCCTGTTGGAGGAATCATTGGGTGTCGTGAGCTCTACCAAGACACCTATATAGGTAACGTGGCTTTAGCATAAGGCAGGAGGTGGAACAGGTGTTTGATCAGAAATAAGCTGTCACTCCCTGGGCAGGCCTTGAAGAGTAATTTTCCATCATCAAAAAAAGACTATCATTAGTTATATCAATTGCTTACGGTACCTATGTTATTGAATTTCTGCAGAGCGTTCGTGAAACAGAGCGATGCACAGATGCACGTTCCCGCTGAGATCGGCGACTACACCGACTTCTACTCCTCGCTGCATCACGCCACCAACGTCGGCATCATGTTCCGGGGGAAGGATAACGCGCTGTTCCCTAATTGGTAACGATTCTTTGTTTATATGTAGAATAGCTTCTGCCAGCATCTTTAGCATACACCTGAACAGATAAAGTATCAGGATTCACACTATCTGTTGGTACAATCCATTCGGTTTTTGAGTTTCGTGGTCCTAGATATACATAGAAGGGACTACTTTTTTTAACAAAATACCAACTTATACTGTCAAACACCGCGAGGACACCGGTGACCGCAACCTATTGTTCTTTAATTGTGTCTATAATGACGATACCCAAAGGGTTAAAATAAATTGACTAAAAATCGCGGGAAAAGCTCTACTAGTTTCGAACCACATAGGGGTTCTTTCTCATGAGCAGCGTGCGCGGTCGCGATGTCGCGCAGCTTACTACCACGATTTTTAGTTCATGTAGTATGTCTCACGATTATTATAAAATAAATTGAGCTATTTACTTATGTCTTTAAGATATTTATATCTTCTTCGTAAAAGCTGATTGTAAATATTTTTTCTAGGAAGCAGCTTCCAGTCGGTTACCACGGCCGCAGCAGTTCTATCGTCATTTCTGGAACTCCCATCGCAAGACCATACGGACAAACTTTACCCGTTGAAGGTATTTCGGATTCCTCATCATCATATTGGTCACGAAATGCCCACTGCTGAACTTAGGCCTTCTCTAATAAGCAGATTTATCATCAACAGCCTAAATGTGGTCACTGCTGACCAAAGGCCTCTTCTCACTCGTTTTGAGCATTAATCACCACGCTTGCTCAATGCGGGTTGCGATTTCAAACTTATAATTAGAAAACATAATCCTAGATTTCCTCACGATGTTGTCCTTCACCGTTTGTCAGTGGTGTCTAAAAAATCTCACAAAGTACATATTATATGTATAACTCGGAAAAAGTCACATTGGTACTTTGTTTTGGTAGGTTTCGAACCCGTACCCTCGTGCATGAGAAGAAGCAGATTAAGATTTTAAAATTCCCCTTGATTATCTATTCGCAGTAACGAAAGTATTCCCTCTTTAAATCAGGCGCCGCCCCACACTTCGGTCCCTCTCGTCTAATGGACTTCGAGTTAGAGATGGCCGCCTTCGTCGGCGGACCTCCCACCGCACTCGGACAGAGGGTCACCGCCAAGGAGGCCGAGGATCGCATCTTTGGACTTGTACTTATGAATGACTGGAGTGGTAAGTACTGCAAAATATAATCACTTCATAGTTATTTTTTGTAGCATATCTTTGAGCCAGGTAACGGCATTTATAAAGTAACTAGCTTTTGCCCGCGGCTTCGCTCACGTCACAAATGGATAAAAAGTAGCCTATGTGACATATACCAATATACACAGCGCCATCTATACCAATACTTTTGTTTTCCTTTGGGAATATCAATTTTTCCGGGATAAAAAGTAGCCTTTTATTTAATCTGGACTTTTAACTTTACGTCTGCAAAATTTCAAAGCAAGGTTTAGAAGTTACGGCGTGAAAGCGGAACAAACAAACGAACTCACTTTCCCATTTATAATAGTAAAGTATAATAAAAATAACTACATACTTATCATGAGGCATACCAAGTTATTGCGCACGCTGCTCATGAATAAGATCCATGCAGCTGTAGCCAAATGCCACTTAGCGCTTGTCTACTTGTAGAATAGAAAACAAAAATATATGGATTTGACGTAAATTTTGACTATTTTCAGTGTCATCCCAATACATTTCGTTGTCTACTCTCTCTGTAGACAAGCGCTAAAGTGGCGTTTGGCTAAAGGCACTCATGCGGAATGAAAGTAGTAGAGCTTTTCTCGAATACTTCACTCGAGTAGATAAGCCCTAATTTAAATTAATCAATCAGTTTTTTTTTCTCGGCTGCCTCGTTGGCCGAGTGGTCGCAAGTGCGACTGCCGAGCAAGGGGTCTCGGGTTCGATTCCCGGGTCGGGCAAAATATTACTGGGTTTTTTAAAAACCTCAGTAGTAGCACGGAGTCTGGAAATGTGCCCGGTATATGGCAATAGGCTCACCCCCTATTACATGGGTGTTACATTGTACAGTGGCATTAAGTGCCGTAATGTGCACCTCTGCCTACCCCTTCGGGAATATATGGCGTAATGTTATGTATATATGTATTTTTTTACAAAATTAACTAAAACAAACAATTTATCCCTTTTAGCTCGTGACATTCAGAAATGGGAGTACATTCCCCTGGGTCCCTTCACGGCCAAGAACCTGGGCACCACCATATCGCCATGGATCGTCACCATCGAAGCTCTGCGGCCCTACGTAGTGGACAACTTCCCTCAGGACCCAACACCATTCGCGTACTTACGTCATGATGATAAATTTAACTTCGATATCAAGTTGGAGGTCGATTTGAAGCGTGAGTTACTTAGATTGTATAAAAACTATCACCATCATAAGTATTCCATGATAATTCACTATTGGTCCACTCCAATCCACCACACTATCCATAATCCCCACATTTGCCAAGTGGGTTGGAGTTCATAGTTTAATATTTTTTTATAGACTACGTTTAAAAACCGATCAACCCCGTCTTTTTCCCGAGCGTACGGCGCGTTGCGTTCCGCGCGCGCCTCAAAGAGCCATCAGACCATCACAGATGGGGCCCAACAGGGCCGATATCGATTTGGAGTCACGGAGAACCTAACGGGTAACCGGGGCTCCGGCTTGACGTACAGGAGAAGGAACGGGGTGGTTTTTAGTCAGTAAGAGTCTGACTCTCCCTTCCGACACCTAGGCGGGAGCAGTCATTCGATGATTATCGCCCCTTAAAAAAAACCGTATTTTTTAAAGTCGGTTATTAAGTACAGAAACTATTCAACATAAAAATCACTCACCTATATCAACAAGACTTACAAAACGTGACAATCATTCAATTTTAAACCTTATTTCGACAGCGGAGAACTACCCAGCAGCCACAACCATCTGCCGGTCGAACTATCGGTTCCTGTATTGGACGGTGAAGCAACAACTGGCGCAACAGACCGTCACTGGGTGCAACCTCAGGCCTGGAGACTTGCTGGGCTCCGGAACTATTAGTGGAGAGGTCAGATTATGTTGGTTTTTCTAAACTAGCTATAAGCGCATAGAGCGATCAACGAGCAGACGGATCACCTGCGAGTCCGGAACTATTAGTGGAGAGGTCAGATTATGTTGGTTTTCTAAACTAGCTATATGCGCATAGAGCGATCAACGAGCAGACGGATCACCTGCGAGTCCGGAACTATTAGTGGAGAGGTCAGATTATGTTGGTTTTCTAAACTAGCTATATGCGCATAGAGCGATCAACGAGCAGACGGATCACCTGCGAGTCCGGAACTATTAGTGGAGAGGTCAGATTATGTTGGTTTTCTAAACTAGCTATATGCGCATAGAGCGATCAACGAGCAGACGGATCACCTGCGAGTCCGGAACTATTAGTGGAGAGGTCAGATTATGTTGGTTTTCTAAACTAGCTATATGCGCATAGAGCGATCAACGAGCAGACGGATCACCTGCGAGTCCGGAACTATTAGTGGAGAGGTCAGATTATGTTGGTTTTCTAAACTAGCTATATGCGCATAGAGCGATCAACGAGCAGACGGATCACCTGCGAGTCCGGAACTATTAGTGGAGAGGTCAGATTATGTTGGTTTTCTAAACTAGCTATATGCGCATAGAGCGATCAACGAGCAGACGGATCACCTGCGAGTCCGGAACTATTAGTGGAGAGGTCAGATTATGTTGGTTTTCTAAACTAGCTATATGCGCATAGAGCGATCAACGAGCAGACGGATCACCTGCGAGTCCGGAACTATTAGTGGAGAGGTCAGATTATGTTGGTTTTTCTAAACTAGCTATAAGCGCATAGATCGATCAACGAGCAGACGGATCACCTGCGGGTCCGGAACTATTAGTGGAGAGGTCAGATTATGTTGGTTTTTCTAAACTAGCTATAAGCGCATAGAGCGATCAACGAGCAGACGGATCATCTGCGGGTCCTGAACTATTAGTGGAGAGGTCAGATTATGTTGTTTTTTTTTAAACTAGAGCGATAAACGAGCAGCCGGATCGCCTGCTGTTGAGCAATATAGCTTATGGAGGCCCACAACATCAGAAGAGTGTGTTGCTAATCTTGTAGAGATTGGGGATTAGGATTAGATCTTCACTTTTTTTTTACTTTTCCCCACACTAAGATTATCTCCTGTGTCGTGGGTGCGTTTACAAACATACAAGTTCACACACACATGACACCCAGACCCGGAACAACAATCAGTGGATTACGCAAAGTGTTGTTCCGTGCGGGAATCGAACCCGCGACACGTTACGCGGCAGCCAGTTGCCCAGCCACCGCGCCAACCGTGTAGTCATGTCGCCCTAACGGGTAACCGGGGCTCCGGCTCGACGTGCAGGAGAAGGAACGGGGTGGTTTTTAGTCAGTAAGAGTCTGACATTCCCTCCCGCCTCACCTAGGCGGGAGCAGCCATTCGATGATTTGCTCCTTTAAAAAAAAACTGTGTAGTCATTGGATTCCGGTAACGACACTCACACGGCGAAACATAAAGCATGTGTTGTTTTCACGCCGGTTTTCTACGAGGCCTTTAGTATCCCTTTGATTGTGCATAAACATAACATTCATAATTAAGCAATGTTAACATTCATGTGTCGCACAAACAGTTACATTTATCATTTGTTTATTCGTATTACCCCCTCTTTCTACACAATTTACTAATCAGTATCACTTTTCAACTGAGCTTCTAACTTCACTGGCAGACATACTGAGGGACAATTCAATTTTGACGTTGATATTGTATTGAGACTCGCTACCGTTCAAATATTACGTAAGCAGATTTTTTACAATTATTGACTCCCCATCCCCCATGTCAGCAAAAGTAAGCAAAGATCTTACCCCCTCCCCCTTTGCTTACGTAAACATTTTAAATTATATCTTTATTATATTGTAATTTTGATATTCTCTTAGATACCACAATGTCTAGTTCTTTGTCGGTCTTTGCTTGTAATTTATAATTTGCTTGCCATTCGTGTAAAAAAGTAAATAACTACCGATGACGTAATCATCACCTAGACTCCCCTACCCCCCATATCATCCAAAATAAGCAAAACAGAGATCCCCCTACCCCCCCCCCCCATGGTGCTTACGTAATACTTGAACGACCCCCTAGTCTCGGTTACCTTTTCTGAGATTTACTTATAGAAATGTAAGTTTGACATAGACTTTATAAAACTGTTTCAGAAATCTGAACATCAGACGAAAATCAAAAGTGCCCATTTAACGATTCATTAAAATAAATACTTGACTTTTCTATTTCTACCCCTCAGGCATCAGACTCCTTCGGTAGCATGTTAGAACTATCCTGGAAAGGTACAAAGCCGCTGCGACTTCTGTCAGGCGAAGAAAGGAAGTTCATCCAAGATGGAGACACCGTCATACTTCGAGGATACTGCGTCAATGAAAATGGAGCCAGAATCGGTTTCGGAAAATGCGAGGGAAAACTCCTCCCTGCCATACCTTTTGATGATTGATTCTCAACCTTATGACACTGATTTGTATAACATGTTTTGGATATATTAAATGTTTTACATTTATGATTTATTTTTCTTTGTTATTTTCCCTTGACCAAAACTAAGGTAGGTGTGTCATATGCGAATTTTTCTCAAACTATATATATACTAGACAATTTTAGGTTCATGATAGTAACCGATTTTAATTACAAGTAATGTTGAATCTCTTTGATCGATTTGGGGAGAAGATCCGTTTTTTAAAGAAGGCACCCAAGCTCATTATAACTTGTTTATTACTTGTCATGGTATGTAAAGATACACGTCATAAGGTAGCAGTTTTAAATTAGTGGCGTCAAAATGGTTAACGGAAGTTAGTAGTCCAAAGTCTCAAGCATAAACATCGAGTCATAAAATGTAAAATCTGTGATTCTACTTATCATATATTACATACAAAACTTGCAAGGACCTACATTTTGTTAAGTGGTGCCTACAAAATATTACTGTTGCAAAATACAGCTTTATGAAAATTAAGTAATATCGAAATTATACCTAATTTGAATAAACAGAGTACACAGTTACCACTAATGTGATATTTCATGTTTTTATAATATCTATCGTAACACAAGCTGAATTAATTAATTATTATATTTTCGGCTTACTCACGTAATTGTTTGACGAGGATTTCGACTAGTTTCAAACCACGTTAGAGGCTCATATTCATTAGGAGCATTCATGATACCACGTATATAGGAAAGTGCGCGTGAATCACGGCAGAAGGCACGTTGGACCCGCACCGCAGCAGAGCCGAGAACCCAGTCAGTAGCAGCGCGACTACGCGGAAGTTATAATATAAACAAGCTGAATTAACCAAAAATTACAATTTACGTAAGTATATTGAGAAAAGCTCTACTAGTTTCGAGTCACAGAGGGATTCTTCCTCATGAGCAGCGTGCGTGGTCGCGGCGATGCCGCACTGAGCCAGTAGTTTAGTAGTAGTTAAGTCGTAATTTTTAGTTAATTTTATATTTCATGTCCGTAGTTGCTCGTAGATATTGTTCCATTTTATCACTAAACCCTAAACAACCAATAGATTCACGGAAATGCATCTTCTGTTGTACTTGCACCGAAACCAGAGTATATTAAGTATAGGGGAAGTGCATGAAATGTCAATCTGCCAAAAAATTTATTACTGACATTTCTCAGATGGCGCAAAATCGTAAAATCATAAATCTTGTCAAAAAACAAAATAAAAACAACAAGTGTGTTCCTTTCATGTTTTTTTTTTATTTTAAGATTGAGAGATGGAGAGACTTAAATTATAACTTGATTCTTATAGGAATCAAAGGATAAACTGGACTAAACTTTCAGGTTTTCAAATAATATTCATTGTAAGTAATATTTCTCATTTTTACCATTTATTGTATGTTCCTTTATGTAAATTTTATAAAATACTGTGCTGGCAAAATTTCAACAACAATTTTGTAAAATTTAAATTAAAATAATTTAGGTAAAAAGTTCCTTAATTTTTTATATTACATACCTATTTGTTTGGTAAATTATTTATTTTTTTAAATATATATTTAATCAATTAATGTCTTTTACATTTTCATTTATTATGGATTTATTTTTTATCTGCACTAGGTAAGAATATTTTTCTTGTATTGAGGGTAGACAGACAAATAATTTCATGTTCTTTGTTTTCATACCTACCTTATCTTATTTCCTCTAATTTTATTTGATACTCTTTTGGACAATTTCTAAGAAGGTTATTAAATTATAGTCTTGAGTTATGGAAGAACCAGAAGATATATCAAACATGGATGGGGAACCATTCAATATGGAGGCTTGTCGAATATGTTTGGCAACCGATGTGAAGATGTACAGCCTTAGTGATCCATACTTGGCAGGGTGCATAAAAGAAATAGGATTAAACAATGTAAGTCCATTGGTCATTTCCATAAATATATATTGAACATTAAAAGAAAATTATACCCACTAGATAAAAACAAAAGAAAATTTAAACAAATTTATACTCCTCCTTGTTTCAACAAAAGATCATAAATATTTTGTAAATTAATTCCCCTTTCTTTGCAGGAATCACCGCAATGGATGCCAAAATTCATCTGCTATGAATGTCGCCCGACTTTGATAAAATGCAATAAACTCATTGAGAATAGCAAAGTGGTTCAAGATATCCTAAGTGGATTACACAGCAACTCTCAAGTGGTATGGTTATTTGAACTATTATTACAAAGTTTTTATTTATTTAAATCATCACATCCTAACAGTGCCTTTAGCCAAACGCCACTTTAGCGCTTGTCTACAGAGAGAGTAGAAATCAAAATGTATGGGGATGACACAGACAAGTGTAAAAATTTACGTCAATTCCATAGATTTGGTTTTCTATTCTACATGTAGACAAGCGCTAAATGGTATTTGGCTACAGCTGCAGGTTACACCCAATGCGATAATGTTGTCACTTAATATAAAAACTTATCTATACTAATATTATAAAGAGGAAAGCATACATAACATACATAAACATAACATCACGCCTTTTATCCTCGAAGGGGTAGGCAGAGGTGCACATTATACCACTGTACAATGTAACACCCACTTTTCACTATTTATGTTATGACTTATGAGTCCCATGTAATAGGGGGTGAGCCTATTGCCATATACCGGGCACAGTTCCAGACTCCGTGCTACTACTGAGAATTTTTAAAATCCCAGTAATACGTTGCCCGACCCGGGAATCGAACCCGAGACCCCTTGCTCGGCAGTCGCAATTGCGACTACTCGACCAACGAGGCAGGGAGGCAAAGAGTAAGGTACAAATCTTTCGATTTGTACCTATTTTTGTAATTTTGTATGTTTGTAATGAATAGGCTCAAAAAGTAGGTACTGGGCCGATTTAAAAAATTCTTTCACCAATAGAATGCTACATTCTTCCAATTTGACATAGGCTACATTTTATTTTGAAAAAAATTAGGGATCCTTGGTAAAATTGGAACAATGTAACCGAAGGTGTAGAAAAATGAGTCTTAAAATGTCTTTCGTCGAATGCGCTGCGAAACTATTAGCGATATAACAAAATAATGTACAACAATATTGAAGAACATCATAATGTCTACAAAAAACTCCGCGGTAGCATATGTCCAACTATTGTAGTTATGTCACTACAACAATCCAAATTTCCAAAAATAAATAATTCTCTACCCCGTGCGAAGCCGGGACGGGCCGCCAGTAATTAACATTGTTATAACAAAGCCATACATATTAATTGCACTTATCCATCAACTACATATGTACAACTAACAGTCGTTACCTTTATGAACTCCGCCAATGAGCAACAGAAAACCTTTTGTTTTATAAGTTTTATAAGTCATACCGTCATTCCTTTTGATGCCTATAGGCAGAGACTATGCGTCATAGATGCACATACATATGCATTCAATGAAACATTCACTATTAATCAGTTAAATTGTAAGTCTCAAGTATATTACATAAGCCTATCATTTAGCTTGCTACCATTGAGAAAATGAAAACCATATGTATGTGTACTCCCATTAATCCCATGACCACGACACATGAAAACGTTGTGTTTCGTCGTGTAAGTGAGGTTACCGGAGGCCCAATTACCCTCCCCTTCCCCAATCTCCCCAATCCCTGAATCCCCAACGATCCTCAAACTCCTAATCCCCAAAAGGCTGGTAATGCACTTGTAACGCCTCTGGTGGTCCAGGTGTCCATGGACGACGCCGATTGCTTACTATCAGGTGATCCATCGGCTCGTTTATAGGATTATGCCATAAAAAAATGACCCGGAAATAAAATGTAATTCACTGAGTAACCGGTCTCCCCTTGCTTAGTAATTGTCGTTCTAATTACATACCATCTGATATAATCTTACTGAAAAATTTATACAAACTACCTTTTGAGTCATAAGACTGCAATGCGTAAGGCATATATTGTATGGAGTACAGGGACATCTTCCAGCTGATGATGTATCTAACATAATAATTTGTTCTTATCATTATAATAACTTCACGCCTTTTTACCCCCGAATAGGTAGATAGAAAGACGTGCACACGGCACTTAATGCTGTACAATGTAACACCCACTCACTATTGTAACACTCACTATTTTATGTTATGAGTCCTATGTAATAGGGGGTGAGCCTATTGCCATATGTCGACTACATTTCCAGACTCCGTGCTACTACTGATATTTTTTTTAACACAGTAATACTTGCCCGACCCGGGAATCGAACCCGAGACCTTGCCTGGCAGTCGCACTTGCGACCACTCGGCCGATGAGGCAGTTCTTATCATTAATTTCTTCTTTTCCAGATAACTAAAGAGACAATAAGAGAACAGCAAGGGCTCCACATAAACCTCCAATCTTCCCTCAAATTTTCTTTCTTACAACGTCAATTGTACATTACACATGATGACGCTAACAGTGCATCGAATGATGATACTACTTCTGTTCCAAAACTACCATTGAGAAGGGTACGTCGTGACTCAAGGCAAATAAGCGCGAATGAGATCCTGGCTCAGTACGTTCCAATGCGTCTGGTTTCACCTATAATTGATTCGGGATCCACGAGTCCACCAGAGTCCCAGGATGGTCAAACTTTGCCTGAAGAAATAGCTGATGATAAAGAAAATGATGAGGCGGGTTTTGAGGATGAATGGCCTTTCGAGGAAATATATTCAGACGAAGAGGAAACTGCTGATGATCCGAAACCTGACTCTAATGCTGATGATGGCTTAATGTATTTTGATGTCAATACGAAAGCTGTAAGTCTATAATTGGGTACTTGCCTTAATTTATTTATTTATTCTTTAATGTACATAATTTGTTTATGGCACATAAGGCGAACTTAATGCCATATGGCATTCTCTACCAATCAAACTTAGGGTTTAAGTAGGAAATCTGCGAAAACTGAGGTACGGAGAATGAACTAACAACAAAGAGAGAGAGAGAGTAAATCAAAAATAAATTATTTCGACTCTGCAATGCATTAAAATATTAAAAAATAATCACACTTTCGTTAATTGATTTTATGACTAAGTTAATTTTAGTAATATTCCAGCAATGAAAAAGAATATAAGTATACTATTTGACGCTAAAAAAACGTGACGTCACAATACTCGAATCTCGTACAAAATTCAAGTCATTTCTGACAGTTCGAAAAAAGTATTGAATTAGATTTTTTTATGGAATAGGAGGCAAACGAGCAGACGGATCACCTGATGGTAAGCGATCAGCGCCGCCCATGGACACCCATGATTAGTTGACAAATACACAATTTGTGTTTTGCACTAGTTGCTGAGGCAATAAGTATTTTTAACCAACTTCAAAAAAAGAAGGAGGTTCTCAATTTTGCTTGGACACCGATTCATAGTTCTATAAAAAATACAAGCTAAACTCAGTAGGAATCAAACTTATGCAGTTTGCCAAAAAAGTTATTGATGTAAGTATTCTAAAAATACTTTGAAAAATTGACGCGGTCTTTTTTCCAGCGTCGTTCAAAGTCGTTCGTGGCTGACCAGAGCTCGCCAATATACGCAAAGAAACGGATGGCACTCTCAGACATACAGATACCTAAATCTAGAAAGAAGAAGAAGAAGAAACATAAGTCGAGGGAGGAAAAAGAAGATGAAGATTGTGTAAAACGAACATTCCGCATTGAAAGAGTGAAAGTAATAGTCATATAGTATTTCTTTAAGTATGATCTTATGCGTAAAATCAAATGGACTGGTTCTCGAAAACACAGCGGTGTTGCGGCAGGTAACGAGCGGTGCACTCTAGTCAAGCAGTGCCAACCGCGCCGCCGCCGCCGCCGCCCCGCTGCCCGCAAAATTCGAGGCAGAGGCCTAATAGATATCATAATTATATATTACCATCTTATGTGTATAACATATTGTTATAATATTACACTGCTTTTAATTACAGACAAAAGGCCGAACTGAAAAGAAGTATACCTGCAAATATTGTACCAAAACATACAGTTACGGGTAAGCTATTAATGACTTTGTTATTGAAATTGACACTTTGTTGGCTGAGCCACCAGCAGTTACATAGTTTGTTGCGAGTTTTCCTGTTGAAATTATCCTTACTTATATTATAAATCGGAAAGTGAGTTTGTTTGTTTCTTTGTTTGTTCCGCCTTCACGCCGTAACTACTAGACCGATTGCTTTGAAATATTGCAGACGTAAAGTTAGAAGTCTGGATTACATAATAGGGTACTTTTTATCACGGAAAAAATTGATATTTCCTAGGAAAAACAAAAATATTGGTATAGATGGCGCTGTATGTACGTATAGATGGCATTATATGTCATTTAAAACCAGTCAACGAATTACCTACTTATTGGAAAAATCTAAATAGCGCGATATAACCGAATTCCACGCGAGCGGAAAGCTATTTGTTTGTTTGCCTGTCTTAAACTGTCAAACACCAAGCGGTCACCGGTGACCGCAACCTATTGTTCTTTAATTGTGTCTATAAATACGGTACTCGACGAGTTAAACGGCAGAACGGAGGTACTAATTAACGTGATTTTTTAACTGGAGGTAGTTGAACGGATGGATAGTCACATAGGCTACTTTTTATCCTTTTGTGACACGAGCGAAGCCGCGGGTAAAAGCTAGTGCGTTTATAAACGCATCCATGGCCGTCCGCATGACACAGGGGAAATTCATAATCTTCCAACGTTTGTTTAACTCGTTGAGTACCGTATTTATAGACACAATTAAAGAACAATAGGTTGCGGTCACCGGTGACCGCTTGGTGTTTGACAGTTTAAAAAGAAAATAATTTAATTATTTTTTCTTTTTCAGTGATGAAGCAAAGGACCACTACCTTCTCGGTTGTCCACAACGCCACAGTCCTAGGTCATCGACTCCGAGCTCCGGTGTGAGGACTTGGCAAGACTGGACGGGAAGCTCCTAGCATTAGATATTAAATTTTTATAACGGCAAAGTGTTGAGTGACAAGACTTTACTCGCTAGTGGCGCCACCTAGTTAGCGCAAAAATGACAAAAGCTTAAATTAGACTTAGCGCTAGTGCCATATAATAGATTTAGGGCCGATTTTTCCAACGCCAGATAAATTGTAACTGTAAACTAAAATGTTTGATAATTATTCCATACTAAAAAGAATTAAGAATTACTTAACTGATGATTGATAAATCGGCCCTAAGACACAGTACTAAATTCTATATTATTCATATTAGTAAATAACGTAGAATCATTTTTAGCCTCTTTAAATGGACTTATGGAAAGAGCTAACATTTAAAAGTGTAAATAATAGTCTCTATTTTAAATTAGGAAATTAATATCAACTTTGGTCTTAAGTAAATATATATATCTTGTAATTTCTACAATCTATATTTATTTAACTACACAGATATCTGTCTGTCTTCTACTATTTTCAAATTGATCAAAATAACGAGTTTTCTATAAAAAAAAATGTGAATATTGTGTCCTTCAATTAAGTAATATACGCTTTACGTTTAATTCTTGTGTAGTTTCGATTTTGTCCTATTGATTTCGAGCTCAACCGTAATTTGCACGCGGCTCTATACTGACTAGTCTGAAGTTAGTATTATAACAGACTAGCAAACCCGGCGAACTCCGTTTCGCCACCAGATGAAAAAGAAAAGAGCGTACTCCTTTTTAAAAGGCCGGCAACGCACCTGTGACTCCTCTGGTGTTGCGGGTGTCCATGGGCGGCGCTGATCGCTTACCATCAGGTGATCAGTCTGCTCGTTTGCCTCCTATTCCATAAAAAAAAGATGGCTTCGTTTTAGGTAGGTAGGTTCATTTCATTTGGTGATAAAAAGATGAAGATATTTTTTCCTGAACTTTCTTAGCTATAAACCTCACGGAGCCGTGGAAAACCGTGGAAATCGGATCGTGCGTTCTGGAGTTATAGCGTCAGGAAGGAAAACCCGACTTATTTTTATATAGTAAATTACATGTCTATATAAAAATAAAAAGAAATCACGTGTGTAAATATAAAATAAAACTTGAAATACTTCTTACTCGCTTAAAAACTAATAAAATTAGAGTCTGACTGACCTCATTTGATTATTAATTGTTTTACTTGTATTTATTTATTGTCTTATTTCCTGTGAATTAAATAGAAACTTGATTGACTGTTTACAATTATCAGAAATCTGAAATAATATATTTGCCAAAAATGTAGGTAATAAGTATGTTGTTTTATAACTTATGGAGAGTCCCGGTACATTTTGCCTCACGGCATCCAAAATTATTGAATTAATTGAATGCATTGTTGATACGTTTATATCTAGTTAACATTTCTATAATTATATGAAATATCTACCTACTGCATCGTATACAAAACTGTATGATGAAAAAATATATTAGACTGTTAAATTATTATATTTTCGGCTTACTCACGTAATTATTTGACGAGAAACTCGACTAGTTTCAAGAGCAATAGTTGGGTTCGAATCCCGGGACGGGTAATTACATGAGTAAGCCGAAAACATAATAATTTATTTAGTATGTCTCACGAAAGTTATAATACATATATTAGACAGGTTGTTTGATACATGGTAAATTGAATAAAACAATTTTCTAGCTTTGATCTTGAAATATTTATTTAGGTACACAAAATAAATTCATCTGTGCGTAATCACATATACCTTGAAGGTACTTCCTACAAAGAGAACTTTCTTGCAGCCTTAGGTACAATTTTATAAAAATAACTTAAAACTACATTTCATTAAAACTCAGTACAGTGTAGACGAATATTTAATTTTTTACAAAATATGTTATGGCCGTTTTCACCCACCATCCCTAAACCATTTCTTAACTCAGACTTACTTAGCTTGAGGGAGCACCTAAATTAGTTCCTTGCTTGTGCTGTTAGCTGTTAGGTGTCACATAAAGGTGGTGAAAACCAAAATGTTGTTAAGGCCTACGCAGACCGGAACGGCATGGCAAGGGATTAAAATGTTTACTTACTAATGGACTTTTAAACCGTGGCATGGAAAGGAATTTCACAGCATTGAAAGACTGGCCTCGAGCTGCCGCGGCGGAATGCCGTGGCGTACTGACTGCGGTAGGCAATGGCATGCATGCAATGGCAGGACTTCGGCGCTTGTTACATACCACGGAGTAAGGCGGCAAGGGTTGACAAGCGAACGAATGCCCACCTTCGACGATAATCAATATCAACAGCAAAAAATCCCTCTATATCTACATCTACCATTTTAAAACTGAGGCACATCAACAGGTTGATAAAAACAGGCCTCAATCTTTCTCTGAATATGATCTTAATCTATTTTATCACAAGTTGCGGCCCAGGGCTTATTTTCTCCTTGTAGGGATATCGAGAGGATGGTCAGGTCATTCGGAGGGTTAGTGTTAGCTATATCGCAGCCTATGATCTGGTGGAACTTTGCTACGTCCCTGGAACAAAAAATATTTTACCATAATTTACCGCTAAATGAAGACAAAATCAATGTGTCATAATCACCACATTGGATGAGAGCGGAATTTCCAGGATAAAAATCTTGGTCATAGCCTATGATAAAACTTATAAAATATCATGATAAAGTTATTAAAGACAAAAAAACGCTTTCGGCGTAGATGGATCGCATTAACGGACATGATACTATGACCTCACAGATAACTGGCGAGTATATTTTTGCTGGAGGAAAATCTTCCAATGATATCTTCCGCCCGGGTGAGGCGAGAGGGAGTGTTAGCCTCTTACTGACTAAAACCACCCTGTTCGTTCCTACACCTGCATTTCAAACCGGAGCCCCGGTAACCCGTTAAATCCTCCACGGCTCCATATCAGCATCAGCCCTATTGGGCCCCACCTGTGGTGGTCTGATGGCTCCCAGAGAACGGAACTGAACGCGACGCGCCGTACGCTCTAATCTGATTCTGGTCGGACGGCGAGTTACCCGTGCTCGCTGTCCACAGCCTTACGATGGCCGGAGATCGTCTCGCGATCCCCGACGCCTGAAGTGTCTGTCGCGACGGCTGGGGCGTGAGGAAGTTCGTTCCTTCTCGCACCCCGCCTCCTAAGGAGGAGCTAAGGTGTATTAGCACTTACGTTCACCATATGATTGCTCATTCCGTCCAAAGACGCACTTGTAACTCCTGGTGTTGGGCGGCACCGATTGTTACTGTAGCCGCACCGCACGACTACATACCTACCAGTTACCAGTACCACCGAATACCTTTCCATATACCAGATACCTTCCACAATACCTTTACCAAAGTTATAGACTCACTCCGTTTAAAGAAACAAGAAACCAATTGTCTTGAAAAAGACAGTTTACGTTTTGACTCCGTTTTAAGAAACCAGAAACCAATTGTCTTGAAAAAGACAGTTTTCGACTTTCTTGCATAGAAACGATAATCATCACTGCGGCAACAGCGTTATCACACCGTGCCGCGAGCGATCGCTTCGAAAGAAGCGGTTTGGTAAAGCAAGCAGCCAAGCAGCGCAAGCGGAGCCGGAGCCGGAGGCCGGAGTACTTGCATTCATCTTCATTCATCTGTAGGTAGTCTTCAGTCTTCACTCGACGCCGGTTCTCGGAGAAATGCGCGCGCTCGCGCCGCGCGGTCATACTTATACGGTAGGAACCGATAGTGCCGTGTGCAAAGCGGCGCCCCGCACCCCGCGCGCCCCGCGCACGCCGGCGCGCCGCTATTGGTCGAAACTATCACCTAACTATTTCTGATCTTGTCTAGTTGTAAATATGTAAATAGAAATATAAGTAGCGTAGTTTGGCGAAATAAAATCATTCTTGTCAACACCTCTCATCGGAGTTTCACTTCTACTAAAAGATAAGAAGAAACCTCCTCTAGGACACTAGGCTCTCCTACCTAGCTCCTAAATTGGTGACCCCGACGCTGCCAACGGATCTCTGCAAGAATCAATCAATCGCCGCCTAGTACTACAGAAAATCAAGCTCGTCGTAATGTCCAACTCCAACGAAAAAACGCCGGAACTCTCCAGCGTGTCGACGTCACTGCGCATCCCACCCATATGGCGCGACAGAATACGCCTATGGTTTGCGCAATTCGAGGCGATTATGTCTCCGCAGAAAAAGGGCGACCAAGCCATGTTTGAGCTTGTCGTCGGTCATCTCGAAAGACAAGACCTCGATGAAATATCCGACATTATCCTTCATCCTCCGGAGAGAGACCGCTACGAAACCCTCAAAAACAGACTACTCCAGGTCTATGAGGAGTCTGAACAGCGTCAAGTTCAACGCCTTCTCTCCGAGATGGAGCTCGGCGACTTAAAACCATCACAGTTACTTCGCCGGATGAAGAATCTCGCCGCGGATAATATATCTGACGCTGCGCTTCGTATTATGTGGACAAACCACCTCCCCCAGTCCGTGCGCGCAGTCCTCGCTGTCAGCGACAACATCGCTAAACACTCGGACATCCACGATCTAGCGATGATGGCTGACAAAATACTCGAACAGACGCAACCTCATGGCACAGTCGCTGCTGTGACTGAAAACCCCGCTTTCCCCCGAGTACCTACAAGTATTGAAGACAAAATCGATATGCTTACGAGGGAAATCGCCGAACTCAAAGCAGCACAATCTAACCATCGTTGCAACCGTCAGTCGAGACGACCTCAGAACAGATCGCGATCATCGAACCGATATCGCTCCCAGTCCAGACAGCGCAATAACACTCCACGCCGCACGGAATCTTCTGGAATTTGTTATTACCACCGCAAGTTCGGGAAGGAGGCACAACGATGCACACGTCCGTGTAATTTCCAGAACAACAACACCCGTCCGGAAAACTAAAAGGTGCGTTGGATGAGGCGGGAACCGGCGCAACAACTACGTCATACCGCCTGTTTATAACAGACAGAAACTCACGTCTGTCATTTCTAATTGATACTGGCGCAAACGTCTCCGTCATCCCTAAACGAAAAGGCGTGAAGATAACCCCAACTGACTTCTGTTTATACGCCGCAAACAACACGGTTATACCTACCTACGGTGAGAAGACGCTACAATTGGACCTAAACCTACGCCGACCTTATAGTTGGAAATTCATCGTCGCTGAAGTCAGCAAGCCAATCATCGGCGCCGACTTCCTACGCCACCACCAACTACTCGTCGACATAGCAGGTCGATGTCTTGTCGACAAAGTAACCAACCTCACCGTCAAAGCGCCAATCTCATATTCCGCCGAGCCAACTGTAAGAAGCATAGACGTCGAACAGCCGTATCATCAAATATTGAGTCAATTCCCCGATATCCTAAGACCATCATGCATGAAGACCACTCCCAAACACCGCGTGGAACATCACATTGAAACCACCGGTCCACCTGTACATAGCAAAACCCGGCCATTACCCCCACATCGATACTTGGCCGTGAAGAAAGAGTTTGAAGTCATGATGCAGCAGGGATTATGCCGTCCAAGCAAAAGTCCCTGGTCCAGCCCACTACACGTCGTCCCGAAAAAGAATGGCGACATACGGGTATGCGGCGATTACCGAAGACTCAACGACGTAACTAAACCCGACCGCTACCCTGTACCTCGCCTCAAAGACTTCACATACCTACTCCACGGCAAGAAGATTTTCACCACACTCGACCTGAATCGTGCATACCAACAATTACCCGTTTACGAACCCGACATCGAGAAAACAGCCATAACAACCCCGTTTGGCTTGTTCGAGTTTCCCCGAATGTGTCCAGGCTTAAAAAACGCGGGACAGACATTCCAAATTCATACATCAAGTACTCAACGGGTTAGACTTCGCATTTCCATTCATTGATGACGTAATCATCGCGTCAGAAAACAACGCACGCCACATCGAAGATCTACAAGAAGTACTACGAAGACTAAATGACTACGGTATCACTATAAACCCGTCAAAATGCGTCTTCGGTCAAGAAAACGTCAAGTTCCTAGGATATCAAGTGTCGAGCGAAGGAATCGAACCTCCACTTGATAAGGTCAACGCTATCACTGCTTACCCCAAACCCGAAACAATAGCGGACCTACGTCGATTTCTCGGCATGGTGAACTTTTACCGTGACAGCATACGTAACGCGGCCCACATACAAGCGCCGCTAAACGCATTTCTACATAACTCCAAGAAACGCGATAAAACAAAATCGAGTGGAACAATGAAGCACTTCAAGCATTCGAGTTGTGTAAAGCTAGCATACAAAACGCAGCTTTACTCGCTCACCCATCCTCGTCACCAACTCAACCAATATCACTCATGTGTGACGCATCGAACACCTGTGCTGGAGCTGTCCTACAACAACTTGTAAACAACAAGTGGGTTCCCCTCGGCTATTTCTCGAAGAAATTCTCAGAAACACAACAACGTTATAGTACGTTCGACCGAGAATTATTATCAATATATATGGCGATCAAACACTTTAGAAAAATGTTCGAAGGAAGAGAACTCATTGTTTACACCGATCACAAGCCGCTTACCTACGCAATACGCAAGCCGCCGTCGGACAACGACACACAACGACGCACTCGTCAGCTGTTGTTTATAAGCGAGTTCACGACCGACCTACGTCACGTGACCGGAGCGAACAACGTAGTCGCCGACGCACTGTCACGCGTTGAAACGATCGACTTACCATCGCCGATAGACTACGAACAACTATCTCAAGCACAAGAAAAGGACAGCAATATTCTCAACCTATGTAAACAAACAAATATTCAACTCAAGAAAATCGTCATACCTACTTTAAATAAGCCGATTTACTGCGAAGTATCGACGCCTCACATTCGTCCATACCTACCAGTTGACTTTCGTCGCATCGCATTCAACGCCGTGCACAATACAAGTCATCCTGGTATTCGAACTACACGCAAACTAATGCAGCAACGATACTTCTGGCCGTCTATGAACACCGACATTGGCGAGTGGGCAAAGTCATGCATTCAGTGTCAACAATCAAAGGTACGTCGACATACGCACAGTGACGTCACATCATTCCCACCGAGCGAGCGTTTCGAACACGTACACATTGACATCGTCGGACCTCTGCCTACATCTTCGAGCGGACATCGATACCTACTCACTATGATCGACCGCTGCACCCGCTGGGCAGAAGCCGTCCCTCTGCGAGAGATATCAGCCGAAGTCATCGCAAGAAAGCTGTATGAAGCATGGATATCACGCTTTGGTTGTCCTATCAAAATCACGACTGATCAAGGACGACAGTTCGAGAGCAGCTTATTCAAAAATCTCGCTCAGCTACTGGGAGTAAAAGAACTCGTACTACTGCCTACCACCCGCAGAGTAACGGGATCGTAGAACGCTGGCATCGTACATTGAAAGCCGCGCTCATGACTCGACTCGCCGACAACAACAAATGGTTGATCGAGTTACCTACCGTGCTACTGGGACTACGAGCCGCTACGCGCACCGACACTAACACTAGTGCCGCTCAACTTACCTACGGACAAGAACTACGGCTACCCGGCGATTTCATATCGCCATCGCCTACCTACACGAAGATGGATAACGACTATGTGGCTGACTTGCATCGTGTTATCACAAGCTTAACGCCCGCTTATCAGTCGCACACTAACCGACTGAGTATCTTCGTGCACAAAGACCTGCAAACATGCAGCCACGTATTTGTACGTGACGACGCAGTTCGCAAACCGCTGCAACGTCCGTACAAGGGTCCGTACCTAGTCTCCAGCAGAAGCGACAAGTACTTCACATTACAAACACCTAGAGGTACTACCAACGTGTCTATCGAGCGTCTGAAGCCTGCCTACGTCATTAATTACGATAACTCGGACAACTGTGCGACGCTACCAGAGGCTATCCAGGATCAACCCAGTCAACCTCCGTCGAGCATCAGCGATGTACGAAAAACGCGAACAGGAAGAATCGTCAAGACCCCAGTACGCTTCGCTCGGGGGGGACTGTAGCCGCACCGCACGACTACATACCTACCAGTTACCAGTACCACCGAATACCTTTCCATATACCAGATACCTTCCACAATACCTTTACCAAAGTTATAGACTCACTCCGTTTAAAGAAACAAGAAACCAATTGTCTTGAAAAAGACAGTTTACGTTTTGACTCCGTTTTAAGAAACCAGAAACCAATTGTCTTGAAAAAGACAGTTTTCGACTTTCTTGCATAGAAACGATAATCATCACTGCGGCAACAGCGTTATCACACCGTGCCGCGAGCGATCGCTTCGAAAGAAGCGGTTTGGTAAAGCAAGCAGCCAAGCAGCGCAAGCGGAGCCGGAGCCGGAGGCCGGAGTACTTGCATTCATCTTCATTCATCTGTAGGTAGTCTTCAGTCTTCACTCGACGCCGGTTCTCGGAGAAATGCGCGCGCTCGCGCCGCGCGGTCATACTTATACGGTAGGAACCGATAGTGCCGTGTGCAAAGCGGCGCCCCGCACCCCGCGCGCCCCGCGCACGCCGGCGCGCCGCTATTGGTCGAAACTATCACCTAACTATTTCTGATCTTGTCTAGTTGTAAATATGTAAATAGAAATATAAGTAGCGTAGTTTGGCGAAATAAAATCATTCTTGTCAACACCTCTCATCGGAGTTTCACTTCTACTAAAAGATAAGAAGAAACCTCCTCTAGGACACTAGGCTCTCCTACCTAGCTCCTAAATTACCATCAGGTTTAACACCCTGGATGGAGTCAGGACAGAGGCGGATTATTAGAGAGCGCCCTCCGCGAGAGAGAAGCACATCATAAATGTCTTTAATTTTTTTGGCGCCGCCGCCACTTTATGAGCAATTGGGCACGCGCGCCTCGTGGTGCCCCCCTATAGCCTGGCGCCCTAGGCGTTTGCCTTATGGATAATACGACTCTGTTAAGAGCTATTCTCACCGATTAGTAAATTCCTTTCTGCACCCTCTGCAGCGGTAGGACCATACATGTAAGCGCATGGAATGAGCCTTCAATTCATTTACTGTTTGGAAACGGAGCAGACATACTTGGCACTGATGTTTTCCTGAAGTCTGGAAAATATTAAAATAAGGAGGTCAATACGATTTTATTGTAGACTGCTTGATAGCACGCGCCACTTCCGAGCAAGGAGTAGCTGACTTCATTCCCGTGACGGTACTTCGCCTCAACTTGCTTTTCAAGACCCCATTGCTTTTTTGTGAATTATGGTAATAGAATTTTCGCAAGAGCTGTCAAGCTGTGTTTCCTAGAACCCTTCAAAGTTTATCATGTCCAACCTGGATGTCTTAAGAGCCTGAGAGAATAGATTGCTTATACTATAGGGTGTCCTCTATTATAGGCTGCAATATCGCTTACTACCAGGCGAAACAATGTCTAAACGCCGACCTACAGTTAATAAAAAAGTACGACCCTATGTGGAATAGGTAAACGGTGTTCAGAGTGTCTACTTACAACAACATGTTTAGCAAAATGTTTCCGCAATAGATCTCCAGCAGCAAAGTCCAAATTACAGACACGGCAGACCAATACTTTCAGGGAGTATTCTGGCCTAGTCTGTATAGTGTACAGCCAAACTTTTATTTGTTCACGTACCTGTAAAATTATATTAATTATTCTGAATTAGCGCCCGTGTTTGACACAGGTGTTATTTAATTTTCAATATAATAATAGTAAGTATCACCGGTATGTCGATAATGTAAAAGTATTTTCGCAAATCCCGAATGAATGGATTTTCCAAATAAGATTTCTTCGTTACTTTCTTTATTTTAGTTTTGGTTGCCTCCTTTCTAGCAGTCTTGGCCCTCGGTTGCAATGATTGTGATATTCCTGTTCTGCACTAGAATAAAGAAAAAAAAACATTGATTAGCTGATATTCAATTGAAATGTGTTAAAAATTAATTACTCTTCAGATATTTTGAGAAAACCCTTATATAAGAGTAAGTAGAGATTGCATAATATAGGTAATGGCACATAATATTAACAATGTACATACATCCAACTTTCTTCATTTTGTGCCGTCAACGGATCATGAGCTATTTCGGACATATAGCGAGATGAATGGGGAATAGCATGGAGAAGCACATTGTTGCGGGAAATGTGTAGGGGAGAAGAGCAAGAGAACGATTCCTAGCCAGATGGTCTGACCAGCTCTAGGACAGCCTAGCATCGAGATACTACATCACAATACAAATGACCGCTGACGGGAGCCGATGGAGACAATTCGTCCGATCCAGAGTGATGTCACGTTGATCACGATTCTCAGTCATGAGGGAACGATCAGAGAGGGACGCCTATTTTTACTAGTTATGTTATGAAGCCTATATAGGAGGGACTAACTGCTATCTAGCATAAACCTGTGCCCTAAGAATCAAATGGTAAAGCTCTTGCTCTGCAGTACCGCTTACAACGATTTGACCAAAGAGGCAGTTAAGTTTGTCTTACATACCCTTTTCAATGGTTGTGCATCTCTGTAAGGTGTTAAACTAATAAAATCAGCATTTGAATCACTTTCATCAGAAGAAACTTCAATGACTATATGAGGTCTCTTAATTTCTATAACATCATCGTCATCTTCATCATCGGTGTCATCATCAGTTTCTTCATCTTTGATTACTACTTCCTTCTTGATATCACTACAACGTTCCGCAGATTCTTCTTTTTCAAAAACTTTCCAAATTTCTTCTATTAAAATTTCTTTTGCAATTTCTTCTTTTGAAATTGTGTCTTCTGTAGTTTCTCCTTTTGCAGAATCTTCTAATGGAGTATCTTTATCTTCCATGGATGCAACTTCAAAGTTTAATTTTTTATTGGGTTTAAAATTAGGTTTTACTGTTTTTGCGTCCTCATTATATATAATAATGGTTGGCTCTTCTGATTGTTCCATTTCTTCCACTGTAATGTCTGTTTTCTGAAAAATAACACAGGTATGGTAAGTTAAATAGTGTATCGCTCAAGGTATTATTCATCAACAATGCGTGACAGTGAACTGTTGGATTATGGACCTCTTGTTTGTGATAATTAATCTCCGTACTTCGCTGGTGGGTTGGAGATCATAGCTCAGGATCAAATTTATTCTGTTAACCCTGAGTCTCTAGCATAGCAGAAGCAGCTTCTAATCTAAGTATTTCTAAAATGGTGCAATACAATATTAAAGTTGGTTCAGTCTCCGCCCGTTTAAAAAATCTCTGGGAGAGGCCTACCTATGTTTAGCAGTGGCTCATATGATGGTGATGATGGTAGTTAGGCCTCCTGGGCAGACTTGATATAAGTAAAAGTTAATATCTTTCAATTCACAAAGATTTATTTGAATATTTAATAAATTCATGACAAATTAAGTTATTCAATATTTTCATAAAGATGGTCACTTACAATTTGAAATTCTTGATAAGTTGCCGCATTAATTTTTCATTCCGTACAATTTCAAAGAGTTAAAAAAAATAGCACATGACTTGCGATTAAAGTAGGTACCTACTTATATTTAGTATTTGATTATACTTAACAAAAAATATTTTATGGAAGGTACTAAGCAAGCTTCATGTACTGTTCCCTACCCTCAACCCTTTTATATTCTCTTTGTCTATCGTCTACTGCACTCAACAAAATCAAACTGTTTTAACTTACTAGTTTTCATAGTTACCGCTAAAAATAAATATTATTGTGATCAAAATGAAATTTGAAGTAAAGTTGCGACCCGTGATTCGTGAATAGAATACCGTGAATGACTTACAAAATTCAAAAAACATTTTAACTCTACAATAACATGTTCGTGGAACAAATTGTTTGCAACTGATTTTACTTTACTGTCAACGTCAAGACAAGATGTATTTTCTGTCATTGTCAAAATCATACGGTTTTATTTATTGTTGTTATTGAGTAAAAATGTACTAAATTTTAATTTAAAATTGATCTGATATCAAATAAAACGATGGTATGCTACTGTTGTGTCCAAGGTTGTGGTAACAACAGCAATATAAAGAAAAAAGATCCAAATTCCGTGATATCATTTCATGCGTAAGTTTCGTACAATAAAAAATAGATTTATTTTATTATTTTTACTCTGATTACATTTTAATTAAATTATTTACTAGATTTCCTTCAAACCAAGAGCTAAAAGCGAAATGGTTGAAAGCTATAGGACGTCCAAACTGGACGCCTGCTAATCATGCGCGCATTTGCAGTGCACATTTTAATTGTGAGCAAATTAACTATGATGGTTGCAGAATAAGGATCAAAGATGATGTTGTTCCCGTTAATTTATTACCTGTAAGTCACTTATTGTATTTTCACTAATATATTAAGTATTTAATTTATTACCTTGAGTTTAAAGAAATAACACATAACATAACAATACGCCTTTTATCCTCGAAGGGGTAGGCAGAGGTGCACACAAAAGTAACACCCACTTTTCACTATTTATGTTATTAGTCCCATGTAAAAGGGCTGAGCCTATTGCCATATACCGGGCCCTTTTCCAGACTCTGTGCAACTACTGAGCTTTTTTAAAAAGCCCAATAATACTTTGCCCGACCCGGGAATCTAACCCGAGACCTCTTGCCCGGCAGTCGCACTTGCGACCATTCGGCCAACGAGGCAGTCTAAAGAAATGTATTTATAAAAATGGCTTTAAAGAAATGTATTTATATAAAACAATAAATATATTTATATAAGAACTTACTTTAAATGGGATTCACTTTTAAAGTGAAAAGAGGTACAAAGTACCTACCTAAAATAAATTAGCTTATAACTTCAACAGTCCAATCCACTATTGGGCTATATTCTAGAAAGTTAAAAAGGAACTAGTGGTGGACCAGTGTTACTCTGTCTAACTAACTACCTAGGTATGGTCAAAGGTCAAAAGTCCTAGTCCTAGTCCCTGCCACCGTAAGACTACTATCGGTTGCGCTGCAGCGCTTATACACACATGCACACGCATATTTGTATCCGTGTGCGTACGCGTATGTGTGTTTATGAGTACGCACGCGTTTTTATGCACATTCGTATGAAATTACTTACGCATTGCCGTGTGAACATCACTCATGGTGGCAGTGGACCTTTGACTGTATCTATGACATTTAACAACTTTAAACATCGGGTCCCTTACACAGCAAGCTCCTTTTAACAAATGGGCCCCTCAACAGTCACAAAATCTAAAACAATATTAACATTGTTAAATCAAATTGATAGTGAAGAAATTCATTTGATTTAATAATTTCAGCCTAACTCCAATTTTGAGGCATCAAATGTGGAAGCATGCAGGATTTGTTTGGCCACAGATACTCAGTTATACAGTCTGCAAGATTCACAACTTGGAGCCTGTATGGAGACTATAGCTGGAGTGAATGTAAGTATTTTATCTCCGATCTGATCAGATCACCTTGGTAGAATTGAGTAAACACCAGCCATATACACATCCTGTAACGCATGTGCACGAGAAATGGAAAGCAATCATTACAATGATTATTATTTACATATTGTAGGTACTTAGAAGCTTAAGAATAAACACATTCACAGTATGTTTTTATTTTTTAATTGTTTGTGGAACTGCTTTAACAGTTGCCGTTCGATTTTGTTCACTTAGTTTGGTTCTGTTATGAGTAGCATGAACATACAAGGGTATGATTATACAGACTTAATTTTATTATCTATGGCCTGATATTGAAATTGTTCATTTTTATTTTATTTTTAGCAAAATGGAATGTGTTTGGAAGGGTTACCACAATATGTGTGCTACCAGTGTGCACCAATCCTAATGAAATGCCACAAACTCATTGAGAAATGTATGTTTTCTCAAACTATACTGCTGGATATATTTGTTAAGAATGGACAGGTATTTTTTCAGTCAATGACAAATACAACTTGAATATATTTTTATAGTGATGTTAAGTATAGTTAGTCTTTATAAAAAATAGGTCTACTTCATGGTGATTGATTGGTCGTAATTGAAATGTCGTGGTGCCCCAGAGGCAACGCTGGCTTCTCATGCATGAGAATACGGGTTCGAAACCTACCAACAGCAAGTACCAATGGAACTTTTTCCGAGTTATATGTACTTTCTAAGATCATTTAGACACCACTGACAAATGGTGAAGGAAAACATCGTGAGGAAACCTGGGCTTATAATTTCTAATTATAAGTTTGTAATAGCCAACCCGCATTGAGCAAGCGTGGTGATTAATGCTCAAACCTTCTCCGTGTGAGAAGAGGCTTTGCTCAGCAGTGGGCATTTATAGGCTGTTGATGATGGTGATTGATTAAGTGTCTGTTGGCTTAACTGACCAATATTTTGACAAATTCCCTGTGTGAAATACATCAATGATCAAATTATGTATATACCTATATTTGTCTAACAGAAACATATCAGACATTATAAACAGTTTATTATAATCAAGCCAGGAACATGTTTAAATGTTTTTCCACTTTCTGTTGTATATTCTTACATTCAAACTGCTTTCAGATCACAAAATCTCTAATAGAACAACAAAACAAAGTAACAGATTCAATGTCTGCATTAGCAAGTACAGAAGAATTGAACAATTATTTAGGAAGATGTGATGATGTCAACTCTTCACCGTTCCCTACAAACTCGTGTGATATTTATTGTAAAAGTGAAGATAAAACTCTTGTTGATTCTAGTAGTTATACCGTCCAAAGTACGGAATGTAAAGTTGAAGTGGAAGGGGAGGAATTATGTGCTAATTTTGACTTAGAAGAAGATAAAACAAACTATATTGTATCAATTGCAAGTCTGAAGGTGGATAAAGTTGAGGATGTAAGTTAGTATTTACAGTTTAGCGTTTTATGCCCGAAGAGGTAGGTAGAGGTGCACATTACGGCACTTAATGCCATTATACAATGAAACACCCACTTTTTACTATTTATGTTATGAGGCCCATGTAATAGGGGGTGACCCTATTGCTATATACCGAGCATAATTCCAGACTCCGTGCTACTACTGAGATTTTTTTAAACCCAGTTATACTTTGCCTGACCCGGGGATCGAACCCGAGACCCCTTGCCCAGCAGTTGCATTTGTGACCACCAACCAACGAGGCAGTTTTATTTTAACTTGTAACTGTTTTTATCTCAGCTCAATGAATTTGAATAAGCACTATTATTTTCTTCTATTTTTCTGCTTTAGATGAACAATGGAGGTGTACATTTAAATAAGTAGGTTATTAAATGATTCTCATTGGCCATACTCTTTACAGATCAATTTGAAATCTAAGAAATATACAAAAAAAGAATCGACGACAAAAAGAATCAAAGGGCTTACTCCAGATGAGAGTAATATGCTAAAATATTTTGATATCGTCGAATTATCGGTAAGTTGTATTAGTATGTGTTAATTCTATTACCTAAGGTTACACTAACTAGGAGCCCTCAACATCACAAGTTTTTTTTTTTTTTTTAAGTGGGGAAAATCATCGAATGATTGCTCCCGCCTGGGTGAGGCGGAAGGGAGTGTCAGACTCTTACTGACTAAAAACCACCCCGTTCCTTCTCCTGCACGTCGAGCCGGAGCCTGATGGCTGTGGTGTCTGATGGCTCTTTGAGGCGCGCGCGGAATGCGACGCGCCGTACGCTCGGGTCTGTTTCTGGTCGGACGGGGAGCCACTCATGCTCGCCGTTCGCAGGCCCGCGCTTACGGTGGCCGGAGATCGTCCCGCGATCCCCGACGCCCGGTGTGTCCTTCGCGATGGCTGGGTTGCGAGGAGGCAGCGCTTCGCTGCCTCACGCGTCCCGCCTCCTCCTTAGCTAGCATGACTGCTTCGCAAAAGGAGGAGACGGCATCCCAGTCCCCCTCGCAACATCACAAGCTTGGCATCACAACTTAACAACTGAAGCCCTTTAGCAAGCATGCCAATTAACAACAGGGCCCCCTTAAAAAGTGGGCCCCTTTGACAGCTGGGCCCCTGCCCTTTTGACAGCTGGGCCCCTTTGACAACTGGGCCTCTTTAAAAATCGGGCGCCTTAATAATTGCATCCCTTTAAAAGGAGTATTTAGTAGTGTTGAAGTTTATCTTCTATCTATAACATAAAAATGAATCACTGAATGTGTTGCTAAGCGCTGATATCGAAAACAGCAAGGGGCCAAGCACGAATAACTATCGCATTCGTATCGTAACAGTATCGAGCGAGTTTAGCGTTCTGATTGGTTGGTTCACTTAAGCCGGCCAATCAGAGCGCCGAACGCGCTCGATACTATTACGTTCCGAATGCGATAGCTATTCGTGCTTGGCACTCTGAACTGATTTCGATAATTCTTTTTTAGGAGCTAGGTAGGAGAGCCCAGTGTCCTAGAGGAGGTTTCTTCTTATCTTCTAGTAGTAGTAAAACTCCGATGAGAGGTGTTGACAAGAATGATTTTATTTCGCCAAACTACGCTACTTATATTTCTATTTACATATTTACAACTAGACAAGATCAGATATAGTTAGGTGACAGTTTCGACCAATAGCGGCGCGCCGGCGTGCGCGGGGCGCGCGGGGTGCGGGGCGCCGCTTTGCACACGGCACTATCGGTTCCTTCCGTATAAGTATGACCGCGCGGCGCGAGCGCGCGCATTTCTCCGAGAGCCGGCGTTGAGTGAAGACTGAAGACTACCTACAGATGAATGAAGATGAATGCAAGTACTCCGGCCTCCGGCTCCGGCTCCGCTTGCGCTGCTTGGCTGCTTGCTTTACCAAACCGCTTCTTTCGAAGCGATCGCTCGCGGCACGGTGTGATAACGCTGTTGCCGCAGTGATGATTATCGTTTCTATGCAGGAAAGTCGAAAACTGTCTTTTTCAAGACAATTGGTTTCTGGTTTCTTGAAACGGAGTCAAAACGTAAACTGTCTTTTTCAAGACAATTGGTTTCTTGTTTCTTTAAACGAAGTGAGTCTATAACTTTGGTAAAGGTATTGTGGAAGGTATCTGGTATATGGAAAGGTATTCGGTGGTACTGGTAACTGGTAGGTATGTAGTCGTGCGGTGCGGCTACACTTTTTTCTTGGATTTGTTATTGTTAGGTACGAAGGTTCTTATGTAAGAAAAAATTAACAATTATGAGCAGAAAATGTGTCAAGGCGAAACTAAATTTTCGGGGCCCACAAATTTCTACTAGTTTACCCACTTTTTTAATATTCAGACATATTTTTCAGTTAACTGAACAGATAGAGGAATGGCAGAAGAGTGTTGTCCGCCGTACTTTGACAAGTGAAATGGTGTATCAATGTAAGATATGTAACAAAACATTTGCGAACACCAAGTCGTACCAACTTCACATTAATTATCATGATCCAGTAAGTATTAGTACTATATCTATACAGATAAATATACAATTTGAATGTCTATTTGTAAGTAATATTAAAATAACCGCTTTTTACTACATGCATATGAATATACATACGATACACATACCAAAATTACATTTTTTGTCTGTCTGTATGTACTGGCTAATCTCTGGAATGGCTGGACCGATTTTGCTAGACTTATTTGCACGTAGCTGATGTACTAAGGAGTAACATAGGCTACTTTTATGTTGGAAAATGTTCTTTTTACCAATGTATATTGTTCGTCGAATCAGTCAGCCACACCTGTTAATTGAGCTGACTGTAAACCGACACATGCGTACTGCCTTCAGAACGGGTCCGCCTAAACTGTTGTAGTTCTTTCCTTAAAATGCCTCTACAGAAAGAACTTGCACGGTTCTCATCACACATAATCTTTTATACACATTTGTCTGGACTTTAAAAGAGACGGACTTCTGAGTTGTTTCGGCATTTCTTGTCAGAGTAGTCAAGAAATGTCGACCTCATCGTTCGCTTGATAAAATTGACGTGTAAAAGTGCTGCCTTGTAGCCTATTTGCAGAAATAAATTCACTTGTTTCACTAGATTATCAACGTTTTATAAAATCTTTCAGAGTTTAGGCCAAGATGAATGTCCAGTGTGCAAGATTCGCTTTAAAAGTGCAACATTGGCGGCGGCACATAGAAAACGAGCGCACAGCAAGAAATTCTTCTGCAAATCATGTCCCAAGTCTTTTAATAACGTGTAAGTGATTATAGTCTTGCTATTTCTAGCTTTCTTTTTAAATCAAAGGAACTTAATAAACGTTTTATGATCAAAGAAGAGGTAAATGGGGATAAACAGTTGTGAAATAGGGAATGAGCAATTGAGCACATTGGCAAGTTTTATTTCAATAATTGTTTTATGAACCATTTTTTATGGAATACGGACTGAGATGGACGGAATCTATTTCCTCCTGTATATTCAGATTTCAGGAAAAATCTAAAGGTAATATTGATTGCCCACTTAATATACCTATTCAAATTGTCCCATGGGCCTCTGCGAGTGGATTTCGACCACTTGTATGCCTTCGGAAAAAGGAAAGGTGGAAGGAAATACGGCATATATAATATTATTGGTTACTAGCTTTTACCCGCGGCTTCGCTCACGTCACAAAAGAATAAAAAGTAGCCTATGTGATATATACCAATACACACAGCGCCATCTATATCAATACACACAGCGCCATCTATACCAATACTTTTGTTTTTCCTCGGGAATATCAATTTTTTCCGGGTTAAAAAGTACCCTATTATTTAATCCGGACTTCTAACTTTACGTCTGCAAAAATTCAAAGCAATCGGTTGAGTAGTTACGGAGTGAAGGTGGAACAAACAAACAAACAAACAAACTCACTTTCAGATTTATAATATTAGTAAGGATAAGGATTTTATTTCCAGCAATGTCGCCAAAAAGCATAGTCGCTGGCACTCAGGCTACCAGTACCGTTGTCCGTGCTGTGCGTTTACGTCAGTGCACGAGTCCGCGCTGTCCGCGCACCGGCGGCGCGCGCACGGGCCCGCGCACGCGTGTGCGCACTGCGGCCGCCACTACTGCACCGCGCGGGGGCTCGCCGCGCACACACTGGCTGCGCATGTGCAGGATAACGTAAGACTTATTTGGATTTTGTTATTTGATTTTCTCGTTTTACCTTCTTATATTTTGTCTGAAATACCCACTGGAATAGACAGAGGCAGCACTGGCAATAGAACCCCATATGAAACGATTCTGTCATAACTACCTATTTCGCTTTATCTTTCTATATGTAGATATATAGAGTAGTGTAGGTACTTTTAGACAGTAAATTAAATAAATACTTTCAAATAATTAGATATATGGATAAGTTTTTAGTACTGGGACTGTTTCTAGCCGACCAAAGGCTAAATAAAATTTTAGTTTTTCCTAAATCAAGGGGAATATTATTCGGCTTACCCTTTCGTAGGAAATGGGCAAGAAACTAGGCTCCTCCATCCGCCCAATTCTGCAGAGCTCGTCCATCTACTGGTCACTCTCCCACCGATTCCGACGTTTCACGGGATGGGTATTGAATTCCCAATAAACAACTTAACTTATTTTGGTAATTCAATCATTATGTTATTATGTTATCAAAAACTAAGGGTCAAGTGGAAATTCACGGGGAAAGGATGTACTTATGTATTATATTTAGAATTCTTAAAGAATTTTCTTTACATTACTTATGATATAAGATGGCGTCAAAGGGGAAGGAAAAGCAGTGCAATCACAGGAACACACTCCGCATATGCAAAGGAATAATACCAACAACTGATGGTCTTGCGTATGTACCTCCTCAACCCAATCCCCATTTCTAAACGTATGTCTCGCTCACCATAGTATATGTCGTCGAAAAGTTTAGATATGGCCATAAAGGCGTTGCTAGGTTAAGAAAAGGCTAAGAAGAGTAGATATCCACCCTACCGTCCTTCACGAACTAGCCTATGCATTGATTGTTTCAAGTAAAACCCAGGAGTTCCCCAACAAGCTGATACAGTGGAAAGTTTTATTCCGAATCAGTTAAAAGGAATAAAGACAGTTATAGGATTGGGGCTGGCGTGGTCGTATTGTGACCAAAAGCCCTTAAATTTATAGTAGACTAGCTTTTACCCGCGGCTTCGCTCGCGTCACAAAATGATAAAAAGTAGCCTATGTGACATATACCAATACACATAGCGCCATCTATACCAATACTTTTGTTTTCTCTCGGAAATGTCAAATTTTTCCGGGATAAGAAGTACCCTATTATTTAATCCGGACTTCTAACTTTACGTCTGCAAAAATTCAAAGCAATCGGTTTAGTAGTTACGGCGTGAAAGCGGAACAAACAAACAAACAAACTCACTTTCCGATTTATAATATTAGTAAGGATAATAAAAAAGACAGTTATAGCAAAAAATCCTAGCCTATAATAAAACCAGGGATGTTATGGATATGAAATTTCGGATACGGATTGGATACGGATAAAGAAAATGATTATTATACTAGATACGGTTACGGATACGGATATGATATTGTTTCGGATTATCCGTTAGTTTCGGATAATTTCGGTTACGGATATTATAATTTTAAAGTATTTTAAAAGCAAAATACAAATAGCTCATATAATGGTTTCATTTATACGTCACGCCCCTATCCGATAGTAGGATAAATATAGGATTCGGTTACGGTTACGGATATTTTTTATATCGGATATCCGATAGTTTCGGTTACGGTTACGGAGCTCCCTAACATCTCTGAATAAAACCACATTCACATACCCGTTCACTGCTCTCACGCTGCAACTCACCAAACTTCCACACTACACACTGAATTTACTTTGTGTTACTGAATCCTAAGGATCAGTTCTAGTTTCTACTACACAACCTTCCGTCTCCGCAGTCCAAGAGTCAGTGTCCCATCGTCTCCATAACATTTGTAACATCTCCTCGCCAGAGCCACTTTCCCAGGCCCTTGTGCGATCCAAGGCAATTTGGGTTTTATGACACCTTTTGTGCAATATCCTAATTGTTTCTACGGACTTTTCGCAGGTCAGTATTATTGCAACCAGATGTGGCGTTTCGTATTGTGTTGTGCGCCCAATTGCTTCATGTTATTTTTAAGATCTTTTAACAAGTTACAATTGAATTGCAATTAGTTACTTCTAGACGGGGTCCCATAAAATATAAGATCAATGGCCTAACGCGTGGCCCATGAGAAAATCGATACTTTAAAATATTTGCCTTTTGTTCACATTTTTACCTGGTGAACCGTCCCGTACCTACCTACATATTTTAATTATCAAATATATGTTTAGGACAAGGAAATTAGCAAGGAATATCCATGTGCACAATGTAACATCAACTTCGCATCGGAGGGCGCTAGACGAGTGCACCTACTCACGTCTAGTCAACATACAAAGAAACCTAGTTTAATGTAAGTTACATAGACTATAACTATTGCTGTATTGTAACTATCGTGAGACAATGAGATATATTAAACTAGCTTTTACCCGCAGCTTCGCTCGTGTCACAAAAGGATAAAAAGTAGCCTATGTGACATATTCCAATACACACAGCACCATCTATACCAATTCTTTTGCTTTCCCTCGGGAATATCAAATTTTTCCGGGATAAAAAGTACCCTATTATTTAATCCGGACTTCTAACTTTCCGTCTGCAAAATTTCAAAGCTATCGGTTTAGTAGTTATGGCGTGAAAGCGGAACAAACGAACAAACTCACTTTCTGATTTATAATATTAGTAAAGATTTTAAATGTTGTACTCTTTGGTCACATAACTTTTCAACGAAGTAAAAGTTACTCCATTGTCAGACCACGATGAGACCAGTCGAGCGTCATGCGGTCAATTTATATCTAAATACTCCAACGCTACTAAACTTTAAGACGCGCTTAAGTCTATAGTTACAGAACTATTTCTGTGGCTACAAATTTTTTGTAAAATGATAAAGGTGGCTCGATATTTAAGTACAACTTAAAGTAAAGGCTACTCACTCAGAGTAGCCTTTCGGTACCTATTCGGGCGTTAGATTATCTGACTGTGTCGGTTAGTCTACAGATTACTTGCTCATGATTAAGAGTCCTGTGAAAATACTGAGATAAGCTCTACTAGTTTCGAACCACAGAAGGGTTCTTCGTCATAAGCAGCGTGCGTGGTCGTGGCGATGTCACGATGTCGCGCAGTCAGTAAGCTATATCGTGAGTAACCTGCGATTTTTTAGTCAATTAAGTATGTCTCACGATAGTTATTATAAAAACTATAAGAGTTCCATTGTGACTTGATAAAAATAGTACAGCATTTCTCAGTCATTTTACCATTATTTTCAAATACCTATTTAAATTCTAGCGATGTAACAATGGACCCCATTCTACGGAACTGTTGTAACAAGTGTGGTGTGGAATGTAGTTCGTTCAAGGATCTGTTGGTTCATATGAGGGCTGCTCACCCTCGCCCGCGACGAGCTGATCAGCTTTGGAAGAGAGACAATCCATATCCGTTGGATTGTGAGCTGGTGAGTCAAGGCTGCTGTAATATTGACACCTACATACATACAATTGATAGGCTATCATCGGCTACTTCGCAAAATCTAAGGCAAAATATATTACATTTTTAAAGTATCCTTACTTAATGTGATACAAATAATAATAAACAAAACTTTATGCGTAATGGGGGCTACCGTGTTTTTTCTCACCAGATTGAGCTAATGTGAACCTCTCGTCATTTCGTCCAATACCTAGATAATTAACTAGTGTCACATTATTGGTCATTCATATTTCTACAGCTACAGTGATTGGACAAACTGTAAAACTTGAAATTAGCGCCATCTATCCTGTGTCACATTGTAGGGATAAATGAAAGTAGAAATATCTAGGCTATTACTCCGTGTGCTTAGGTTGCAGGTTGCATTCGAATCTCTTATGAAGCGCGCGTATACGCGCGACAAACGCGCGTTATCTGAGTATATGAAACCTAAGATTTTTGGTACATACTTAGATCTAATAATTATGAAACACATTGTACTCCTCAGTGCGGTGAAACGATATCTTCTCGAAAGAAGCACTGGTTCCACGTCCGCAGACGACATCCTATGCATGTGGACTCCTACCAGCCCATCATTACTGTCATCTGTGATACGTGCGGAAAGGGATTTCAGGTAAATTGTAAACAATTTTTTTTCGGCTTTTACAGACGGCCCGGACATGTCTTAAAACCGAGATCACCAGGGTATAGGTAGCAGTATTCTCCAAACCTATAAATCACAGTTTACGGCTTACCCTTTCTTCAGCCTTAATGAACTTTCGTCTTCAAAGAATTATTTTTAATGTTATTTTCGAATTCTTAAGGTTTATAAAAAGAGATTAAATAAACATATTAGTTGCTAGATCCGATATAATCCTTATCCATAACTGCCATCTTTACTATCTTTGTCAGAATTCTACAAAACTACGAATCCACCAGCTTCGACACAGCACTCCCAAGGTACGGTGTGCGCACTGCCCGCGATTATTCTTCGATAAATATGCTCTCAATAGACATGCGCAGACGCATAGTAAAGAGAAACCACACCAGTGCCGCACCTGTGGGAGGGCATTCAAGCTGCTTAGTAACTTGGAGAGACATGCTAGAGTAAGTATCTGTTTCTATAGAATAATAAATTAATCTTGGGTGTATGTGTAAATGATAAGGATCAAAAGACTAGTATCCGAAATATATGAACTGTAAAATAAATGTTACTGTTTTGATATTACAGAAACACAACTCGTACCTATTTTAATGTCGGTAAATCCCCTACCATCATACCTTGACATTATTGTTTTAAGAATAAACGCATTGTCAACTAAAATCATGAAGAAAATATAATTTTATTTACCTATGTACTTACATACTTTATGCATTGTGATGTCAATAAGTTACGTATTATTCTTAGTTTCAACTTATATTCCCTGTTTAAACAAAATATTATTATTGTCAAAATTAATATTTGTATAATTAACAGGTTCATACAGACGTCGCTCCATACGAATGTACGATTTGCAATAAAAAGTTTAAATACTCGTCAAGCGTGAACCTTCATGTGCGAACCGTACACTACAAATTACCTCATCCGACTAGGAAGAAAAGGAGTAGGTCTGCAAAGAATATTGGTGATTGTTAAAATAAAAAATGTCAACTAAAATAAACTTTTTTATTAATTTTTCCTTTCTTATTTTAGGAAATCATAGTTATGTTAACCATTCTAATAGATGCCAATCTTTATGAAAATTGTATATTAATTATCACTTTCGTTCGGTCCTAGTCGTAAGCTTAGACAATCTAAATATTCCAGATAGAGTAAAATTAGTTTTATCGACAAAAGAAATCATTTTAAATACCAAATAAAGTATTTATTCAGCTTATGATATTATTATATAAAAAAAATTGTAAGGGTGCGTTTCATCGCACCGAGATTTGCAAGCACAGTCGTGAAAGCGTGACAAATGCAAATACTTTTATTTTTTCAGCGTTAAAGCTGTGTATTAGGTTTTATGGTTGTTTGGTTGTTATATTATTTTATTGTTGTTATATTATTTTCAATATTTTTATAGAATAATTTTCGGAACGTAATCATAGTCGTGATCGTATCGATATTCGCTATGATTTATTTTACATCCGATTGGTCTTAAAAGACTCGTATTCAAAATTATTGCAAAATCAACTGGAACTTCAGATTATCTGTGCACACGAAAATTGTCATTTGTCATTTTGCTGCGATAATCGTTTCACGACTTTTGTTTTCTTGTCTCAAAATAATTTCATTTAAGTTCACGTGTACCAAAAACTTCAAAAAATATAGTTGCGGGTTCTAAATACATAATAAGTTGTAGTTACTAAACAATTCGGTTGTGGTACATGTGTGTGTGCGGTCTGAACAATCTCAACAATGGAGAACCTTGATCTCAGCAATAACAAAAACGTGTCTCTGAGTTTGATAGCAGAGTACGGAGCTTCAGATTCTGATTCGGACGATACAGAGACCCGTTCGAACGATAATAATACAGATTCTGATGCTACGGATCTCACTGAGATGGTGTTAAAAAATAACATTATAAATGCTTGTGCACACGGGCCGTTGTCGAGACAGAGTACTCGTGACGATGCGGATGTAAGCAGACACATGATAATCGACAGTGTGGAGAGTGGCGTGGTGGAGTACGAGGTAACGGAGTACCGGGATGTGGACACTGACTCTGATAACGAGTCCTCGAGTGACTCCAGCGACAGTGATGTAGACTCCGTGAAGGATATCGAAGAGGTTTCCAGTGGGTGAGTACAATGTAGTACATATACCTAAGTCGAGCCGTGAATGCGTTTAAATCCAGATTAAACACCATTTATTTGTACAGTTGCTCAATATTTCAATGTATGTTAATTTGTTTTATGCAATAGTTCGGGTAGTTGGAGAAAGTAATGATTCCAATGAAAGGTAGATTAACTCGTCGAGTACCGGTTTTATAGACACAATTAAATAACAATAGGTCGCGGTCACCGGTGACCGCTTGGTGTTTGACAGTTTAAAAATGATTCTTTGGTTTTCCCATGTGTTAATTAATACAATATTAGATGAGATGACTAATCTGCAATGATTTGTCTTACAAGACGTTGTAATGATAATAAAGTGATTTATTTAAACTTGTTTATTATTATCTTACAACTACCGTCATACCCCTTTGCATCTTTAATCTGTGTACTTATTATATATCACAATTTCATGTTAAAATGAGGGACATTATAGAAGTCCACTCAAAAATATACCATGCACTGTGATCAGGTATAAAAAATACCATGCTTACTTTCTCGCACACTACAAAAAAGCAATGCCCTATTAGTTATCTGTTCAACTGAGAGCACTATTGAGTGGTCTAAACAAAGTAATAATCAATAAATATATTTATATGTAAATAACAATAAAACTTAAGTAGGTGTTTACCATTCATATTGATTAGTTTATAATCTGCATTATTAATTCATTGACCTTGTTTCAAATTATCTTAATAGGTGATAAGAAATTGCATATTTATGAATTATATTTATTCACTTTCCACCTGCAGCTTTGTCCGAGTTATCAAAGGAAAAAGTATCCTATATCATCCTCCAGCCTCCTGATTATCTCTGACTTAAAAATAATACCATAAAAAGTCTCTATTGTAACATGACAGAAAAACAAAGAGACAAGCACTTTCACATTTATAATATTAGTAAGGAAACAGCATTGATATGGGTAGTGATATACTGAAATCTATTTGGTTTTCATCCCAAAGTAAAATGATTTTTTCTTAGTAATACAATTGTTTACAAAGAAATAAAATATTTAAAACAATAAATAACTGGTTAACCATTGCAAAAAGCAAACTTTGAAAGCGCATACAAAGTCATAGTACATTATTAAAACATCGCACCATGTAATTATCGAAGATGTATTTCTCGTCGGGTGGCACGTGCGATGCGAATAGTGCCTACAAATTTATGTCTAGTATTTGATGTGCGTATTTCCAAGTTTTTTTTTTAATCCTTACAAATATTATAAATCTGAAAGTGAGTTTGTTTGTTTGTTTGTTTGTTCCACCTTCACGCCGTAACTACTCAACGGATTGCTTTGAATTTTTGCAGACGTAAAGTTAGAAGTCCGGATTAAATAATAGGGTACTTTTTAACCCGGAATAAAATGATATTCCCGAGGAAATACATAAGTATTGGTATAGATGGCGCTGTATGTATTGGCATACATACATAGGCTACTTTTTATCCTTTTGTGACGCGAGCGAAGCAGCGGGTAAAGCTAGTTACTTAATAAAAATTACATCTTTGATCATGTTTTTACTTTATACATAAAATGTAGGTACTCCAAGGCAAGTTGTTTTGCCGTGAGACGAAAACATAATAAATTTCACAGTGTAAAGTTTTGTCTACTCTGTAAAATCCTATTAACATATTCAAAACGAGACATTTTGTGTGAAATCTGCTTAAACATAAACTTATTTACAATTACATTGTTATGTAAGCGATGTGGGGCTTCCCCTACAAATAAAATTACAGTTGGTTAATAGTAATGCTTTGTCTTTACATACTATGTTTATGATTAGCTCTGAATGTGAAATAGATAATGTAACAATATACTTGATGTTGCAAAAGTGGGTGGATATAGAGACCTTTGATACTATAATGATCTTTTTCTTTACAAGAAATAAGACTTAATATTTATTTATATGTAAATGAATTCTTAAGAAAATAAAAAGACATAATGTCGCACATTTTATCCCTGAAGGGGTAGGAAGAGGTGTACATTACAGCACTTAATGCCATTATACAATGAACACCCACTTTTCACTATTTATCTTATGACTCTCATGTAATAGGGCGTGAGCCTATTGCGACATACTGGGCACAATTCCAGAATCGAGAATTGAACCCGAGGCCTCTTGCTCTGCAGTCACACCCAAAACCACTCGGCCAAAGAGGCAGCTAAAATAAAAAAGAAGTCTTATGTAATCGATTCAGGATATAAGGAATATATACTTACATATCATCAATTTTGTAATATCACACGGAGATACAGCCTTAATTACAGCATTAACTCGTCAAGTACCGTATTTATAGACACAATTAAAGAACAATAGGTTGCGGTCACCGGTGACCGCTCGGTGTTTGACAGTTTAAATGAAGAATATTGTCATGTATATTTCTTTAGAACTAGGTACTATTACATAACTAAGAACAGATTTTCTAAAATTTTTACAGTAATGGGAAAAATAACATGCTCAGATGAACTCCACCGCTGCAAAATGCCTGCGTTTTCTATAATTTCTTATACAATAATTTTATTTCAGAGATGAAGCAGATAACAACCCCAGAACAGGAAAGCCAGAGGCTCCGAAGGTGAACGGTGAAATGGGCCTGGATGACTTGCCACCAATAGAAGATCTTGCCATCAGTCTACCAGCCCAGGACACCACTAAGATCGGAACCATTGTCAGCATAGTTGATAGATTAGGTAAGTCATTAACTAAAATTACGGGATACTCACGTGAGTATACTGAGAAAAGCTCTACTAGTTTCGAACCACAGAGGGGTTCTTCCTCATGAGCAGCGTGCGCGGTCGCGGGACGTCGCGCAGTTCACTCTTTTTAGTTAATTTAGTATGTTTCACGATAGTTATTATAAAAACATAGGTAAGTCATATTTTAGAAAAGGTAGACTGCCTTTTGATGTTTGAATTTTCCAATGTAAAGATTTGTTTTTAATTAAAATACTTCAGTAACCAGTAATATAAGAGTAGATCAATAATTATTTCCAATGATTACTGTATTTATTATGTTCATTTGTCCAACTGTTACATCACTGGTGAAAAGTGGTGAAACACTTAATTTATAGAAAGATTTGCTCTCTACCTACCCTTTCGGGGATAAAAGTCATTCATGTCAATGGCTAGACGATTGACGAGGCTTTCCTACTGATTTCCCAATCGATAAAACCAATTTTCGCGCATCGGAAATAGAAGCTCTGCAATTCTCAGTAGTAACATGAAGTTCAGCCTTACCTTGGTTCTTGCCCCTACTCTTGGTACCACTGATTAAACTCATTACATATGAACATGTTATTTGCATAGCCCTTTGGTGTACGAGGTACATATTCGTGCGTGTTTCTTGTGCGTGATGTTTTCGTTACATACATAATTTAATTCTCCATCAAGGCTAATTTTGTTTTAATTAATACTAATGTCGATTCAGATACAACAATATTGCACAATTTGCCGTTCAAATAAGCAATAATCATGTTACGTCATCTTTTTTGGGACTATACTGGTCATACAGTGTAAGTTTGGAAGCAAATGTCTGTTAGGGTTTTTAATTCTATTTAACTCTTTATTCGCGAAAGAATTGCGCAGAAATTATTATAAATCCGGCCATGGTAAATAAACTTAAAAGTATGACTATGACTCTGTACCTATAGAATAAAATTACAATATAAGTCGACAAATAGCTGAGTTAGGTAGTTCATCTTCACCTCAGTCGTAGGTATTATCCAAAATAGTTAATAAGCCTTTTAGATCAATACAAAATAAACAAAACGCGCCTAAATGATTAGGAACAGTTGCAAATTCGTCCTTGACCTTGTTACGGTATAAACTCCATACGGTTTATAACAGGGATGGCGAACCTTGACGTTGTCAACGTGATATTTCTTTTTTAAATATTGGTTATGTATTGAATGAAATGTGGTGAAGCGTCAAAATAGAATACATGTCACCACCTCTGCTCTCCCTGCGGCTGTTGTTACAGACTATACATTTAATAACAGAGACCGGGCAACAGCGCTCTAATAAACCGAATCTTTTTACACTGCAATCGCCAACTTACGACAAACTGTTCCTATTATCGACTTCAAAAATGGGTGTTTTTTTTGTTACTTATTATTACTCCGCCATTTTTGAACCGATTTCCAAACCGACTTCTAACCTATCAGTGTGTAGTGGGTGGGTAATCTATCAGTACTAATAAATAGTTCTTTATTGCTTTTTAGTTTATACTTTTTGGTTGTTATTAGTTTTTGGTTTTTTGAAGTCGGTTCTTTAATGTAGAAGAACGTTCCGTTCAAGTGTAGGAGAGCCATGCTTCGGCACTAATGGGCCGGCTGGACCGGACTGATACAGAAAACCGACTTCAAACACCGCTTGCGTTGTGTTTCGTCGTGTGAATGAGGTTACCGGATGCCGAATTACGTAATGCACTTGTAACACCTCTGGTGTTCCAGGTGTCCATGGGCGGCGCCGATTGCTTACCATCAGGTGATCCATTTGCTCATTTACAGGCTTATTCCATAAAAAAGGAAGACATCCTTAGTTCGGCAGTAGACTCTCATGACTATGATGTTCCATGACATGATGATGATGATGTGGATGCCGATAGTATTGATTTTCTAAAATAGTTGCGTGCCATCGGCTCACCGTCTCTGGTTTAGAGTAATCTCATCGATTTTATCAGGCATCGCGTACAAGTTACGGTCTCTGCCCTTGACTGTCGCAGCTCGCAAGCTTTTTTCCACGGCCGACGACGATTTCCGCATCGTTTTTGCAATCGATACCTGAATGGCCTTTCTTTGTGTACGCCGGTTAAACTTTGCTTCCAATTGATGCTTTATTGACATAGTAATGTATTTGATATTGTTTCTCTAAAAGGATAGGACAGGACTATATCACATTAATATTGTAAACGTGGAAATTTATTTGTTTGGATGTTTATCCGTCAATCACGCTGAAACTACTCAACGGATTTTGATGAAATTTGGTATACTGGCAGGGTATGGGCTGACTTAGGTGATACGATACTTTTTGTAACATCGTAACATCACGCCTTTTATCCCCAAAGGGGTAGACAGAGGTGCACATTAAGGCACTTAATGCAACAATACAATATAACAACCACTTTTCACTACATATTTATGTTTTGAGTCCCATGTAAATCCCGGAGCGACCCTATTTCCATATACCAGGCACATTTCCAGACTCCTTGCTACTACTGAGATTTTTTTAAAACCCAGTAATACTTTGCCCTACCCGCGAATCGAACCCATGACCCCTTGCCCGGCAGTCGCACTTGCGAACACTCGGCAAATGAGGCAGTCGTACGATAATCTTTATCCCGATTAAATGCTCCTATGGGATAAAACAGGAATACGCAAGCAAACCCGCGAGTAAATGCTAGTCAATAATAAAGATATACAATCGCTAAGAATACATAGGTTCCCTAATCTCATAAATTAGATACTATTTATCTGCAAACAAATAAAATTCATTCAGATATTTCCATGTAATTTATTATCTATCAATGAATCAATACCCTACACTGTTTAACAATATTAATTTTATAATATCTGTTTTCCAGTGATAGTGCGTGCACTCCCCGAGACACCAGCCGTGGACCTCGACAGCGTGCTCTTCCTGGAAAAGGGCGCCAAAGCATTGGGGCGGGTCTTCGATGTTTTTGGACCCGTAAGTTAATAATTACTCACCACAGATACAGCCAACCACCACTCGACACACACTCACCACCCAACAGGGCTGATGCCGATACGGAGCCGCGGAAGACTTAACGGGGTGCCAGGGCTCCGGCTTGAAGTGCAGGAGTAGAAAGGGGGTGGTTTTTAGTCAGTAAGAGTCTGACACTCCCTCTCGCCTCACCCGGGCGGGAGATGTCATTGGATGATTTTCCCCATTAAAAAAATAATAATAATTACTGCAAATTAACTCGTCGAGTACCGTATTTATAGACACAATTAAAGAACAATAGGTTGCGGTCACCGGTGACCGCTTGGTGTTTGACAGTTTAATACTGCATTGATTCTATCCAATCACACAATATTCAAAGTTTCATTGATTACTTTTAGCTTCAATCGGCCTCAATATTAAAAGAGTACTACTAGAAGATAAAAGAAAAATACTAAATTGTTGTTACATTTTCAAACAAAAACAATCTACTTTTTGGCTTCTCTAAAATATTTTTCAGTGTCGACTATTTTCCTAAATACTTTTTCTGGCTTAGTCTCAAAGATAGCGTGACACAAATGGGCATTACTGTAACCCCGCGGGGTCAAAAAACTGATTAGGAATACAGCCAATTTGCTGGTCTTTTAAAATCCACTCCGAAGTTGGGTTATAAAATGTGGTTGGCAGTCATCCAGCAGTATATTGACAATTTCTCCCTAGTTTATACGATAATTTTATTACCAGCACAAACATAAAAATAGCCAAATAAATTCCAAATGGAATATTCCCATAATATGAATAATTTGTATGGACTTGTAAATATTTGTTTATAGTATGACTTTATACAGTATTGTCCTTGAAATTGTTGGTAGTAAACTAATATTTATTTATGAAAGACTATTTATTATTTATATTTTATGGCCGTTTATTTAGTATTTAGTTTATTTAGTGTTTATTGATGGTTATTATATTGATAGCCTTATGTTTTGGTGTTTAAAATAAATGATGGTCTAGTCTACACTAAAATAAAGCACTAATTATGATACAGGACATAGCTCCTTTTTTTTTAAGGTCAGTTCTTTTCCTATGTGTAAAGTTCTCGTCCTTTCTGATTTAAATTTTGTGTCCTTTATGAGCTAAAGGTTAACATACAAAGAAATAGCTCGCATCAACTTGTCAATACTTATATTATTTTTTTTCGTTAGGTAACAGAGCCCCACTACTGCGTGCGGTTCAACTCAGTGGAGCACGTGCGGGAGCGCGGCGCGCAGCCCGGCGCCGACGTCTACATCGCGCCGCAGAGCCAACACACCAACTACGTCTTCCTCACTGAGCTCATGAAGTTGGTATTGCTATTTATTCGAATTTTGATTGTTTTTACCCGACTGCCAAAGAAGGAGGGTAATGTTTTTGCATATTCCCTTTTCATGGGTAACGTTTCTTCACCTGAGATAGAAGTAATCTAATGTGTTTTTTTATTTTTTATTCTAGAATAAAAGGCTCCGACGCATCGTGGCTGCACGACGTGGAGCCTCCCCCTCATCAGGTCGAATACTCCGATGACGAGGAGGAGCGCCGAGCTAACAGAGCCAGGAAGGAGCAACGCAGGGAGAGGACAGACGAATCAGAGGACGGAGAGACCTCCAAGAACACGAGGAAATTCGCCGAAAGACGCAACCAAAGACCTTCAGAGTCCAGCAGCCGCTTTGGCAGCGGACCTAGCCGGGGCAGGAACCCATTCGCAGCTGGATCTAGGAGAAATAATAATCCCAACGCTTTCCCGCGCAAGCTATGGCCCGGCAGCCTGGGCCTCAGGACGCCGCAGCCACACCCTCCCGGTGACCCCCGCGCACACGGTCCCTTCACCGCCCCTCCCTTCGCAGGCCCGCCAATGTTCCTGCCTCCCCCCTTCAACCCCACGACCCCCCCGCCCCCGTTCATGGGCAACATGTTCCAATTCGGCGCGGGTCGCATGCCAGGCAGTCCCCTGCCTATCCCAGTGAGCATGGTCGCTCCGTTCCGCCACAACCTGCCCGTGTTTGGCTCCAACTACTGCACTGTGTCGGGGCCGCAGCCCCAGTGGGTGAACAATGGCCCCCCTCCCCCACCCGGAACCTAATGCGCAACAATTATTTTATAAGGTCTATCTCATAATAATTAGTCGATAGTTAGTGCAGTAACATGTCTAACAATACTAAAGTGTGGTTATCCAAAAATAAATTTATATTTATATGGAATAAACAATGATTATTCAGTAAATTGTGTCGATTTCTTCAATAGCAATGTCCTTGCTATATCATTTCCAAGTGTAACTCGCTTATTACCCAAGTGTTGTTCTAACCATACAACTCATGTGCATATACTCATATCGTCACGCTCATTTCCCATTGGCGTAAGTAGGAACTACCGCCAACCGCCCTCGATCCTAAATTAATATACCCTTTCCGCTTCAGCAACATTCCTGCATCTATTCATTAGTGATACCATTTTGTATTTTATACGTATTCATGTAATAACAATAAATGTATTGTAGTTTCATAATATTTATACTATACCACTATAATTAGGTATGTAGATCAAAATCAAAGCCAAATGTAATTTTGTGATTTCTTTATTAAATATTTCATGTTAGAAATTAACTAACGATCGAATTTCATAATGTTAAAATAAAAAAAGTTTTTAATAATAAAGATTACATCTAAAAAATACTGCTCTCGGACTATGCAAACATAAACGTATACATCTGCTGCCCTTACTGACGAATTGTCAAAGTAAACTGGTTACAATATAATAATTTTGCACTCAAATGATCACAACGTAAAATGACGAACATTTCACAGAATACAGGAATATAAAACGTTCATTAAAACTAAACATAACATACTACTTGTCTAAAAACTATCCGGTCGTAAAATGTTACAAGAATTCACGACAAAATTGGATACATGGGTTTATTCTAGGAAACGAACTACACATAGCACTATATGCGTGATTTTTAACAATAATTCTTAGGCCGGTATTATAGATTGATACTCAAGCCGAGATCTCTGCTGAAGCGCAGTTGGAGAGGGATTCGTGTTAAAAAGTATTCCGTCTCTTTTTATTAACTGTAATTACTCCAATAGTTATCTCCAGTAGAGTGTCTTCTATAATACCGTAATGTTAAAATGTCGCTCCGATTTCTGGTAAACAGTTTTATTACGTTTCAGTATTAGTAGAAAAACGATGTAAATTTTACAACTTTATTCTTTGCTCTATGAATATTTACTATTGACACATGAATATGTGTGCAACAGAATGAGTAGCACAGAAATCCAAGTTGACGACACAGGACTGTTCATATAACTAAGATCTAAAAACTTACTTTCAAATAGCTGCTTCATAATTGCACTTCTAATTGAACACATGAGTGAGTTTGGTGGTAGAGTTTAGGAAATAAAATGCATCGATATTCTTGAAATGCATTACTTTAGATCTATTAAAGTGTAAGGAATGTCCGCAACAGTGCTATGTGTAGTCTTCATTAAATTAAACTGGTTATAATATTACAATTTTATGGAGTGGGTTTAAAAATAGTAAAATAATCTCATGCTGCATTGAGAACAGCATTGTCGTAAACAAGTAAAAATGAATGCTAACATGAGGTTTAATCGTACATCACCTTGATGGTGGCTAAAATATTTATTCAGCTTTAAAAGTGACGTCAATTAAACTTTATGTTAAACATCCCACTTTTAAACAAATGATTTGCATTTCTGTGTACAATAACTAATATTTTAGACAGCATATACTCATAAAACAATACAATTTTCTCAAATATTCGTATAAAACAATAATTTTGCAACATTTCGCACCAATACAAAATAAATATAAATGCAATGATTGACCTTGATTCCGACGTACGATTTTAACCGTCATTACCACTTACCGAACCAATCAATATCTACATATACGACATAAAACCTCTCTTTTCTTTCATAGTTTGAACTCCAGACTCATGAAGCACACTCCGTACGAAGAGCTATTATTGAATACTAGATGAAATTTAGTTGCTCTGAGATTAACAATACAATAAAAAAGGTCAATTTATGACCTTTCAATCCTTATTTAACTTGACGATTCTAATAATATTTATCGAAGTGGAAGCTACATTTAAGATTACAAATCGTATTCGAAATATGATTACACCCGTACGTAATTACCACACATATCAATCTTCTAATTATTGCTTTTCTATTCTAACGTACCTGATGCAGATATATGTAGATAATGACTGTCAAACGTTGCGGGAACATAAACTTAACGAGAAAGGAGCCAATAGGCACTTGTAAAACACAACTAGACACGGCTTACTACACTATTACATGTGACATACAGGAGTAACTGATTACTGTACCAACTTATCTTAGTTTCGTTATAAAAATACAGATTCCTATATTAAAATAATTCTCAATAAGCTTAGCTTGCCGTCTGAGACTCATGATTACATGCCTCTTCGGGGCTCATTTATGTCAAAATGTTCACAATAATAATTAATTTGACTCGACTCGTTGCTGCGATATTTCACTCTGCGATTTGAGTCAACGATCGCATATATAGCGACGCGTTAAGCGTAAGTACGTGCATGTATATTTGAATAGTTCACACCATGCGTTTAGTCGCACGCGAATTGTCGCAGCAACGAGCACGACCCATGAACGATACACATCAACAGAAAACGAATCCGAGCAGTCTTCCATTAAATACGTAAAAATATATCGCAATTGATACTTAAACAAATCGACGACTATCACTAATAGTGAATACTACAAAAGATATACTCAAAGTTTGATCATAATATAAACTTAATGCTAATCGATTAAAGAAATATTACGTCTCAGCTACTTGATTAATTCAAGGGTTATAGTTTTGTATCGATTACAAGTTAGGAACTATATCTACTACTGTACAGATTATAAAGAAAATAATGATTATGATTTCCGTAATATAGTGAGTTTAATACTTTCATTACACCGACGTTATATATGTATGCAGACCTCTACATAGTCTCTATCGAACATAACAAGGAACTAAATGTGTTTGTTCGAAAAATATGACATCAGTCGACTCGGCTGTCACACAGGCCGGCCGCCGACATACCGCTGTCTTTAAATATGTGGGTATATATTGCGCACTAACATTACACATACAACTAAGATACGTTATATCTATTGCTTTTACAGGCAAAACTATTAAAGAAATATATTGTTAATATGTCAATACAATATGTTTCTGCTAAAAATATGTAGATTATTCGTATCACTTGTTCGTGTGGTGTTGTCGAGTTAATATTTAGAATATTAAGTTTTATATTCATCTAAGACACTACGTTCTACATTCTAATATTCACAGAGATTGATACAGTTAAGAATATGGAAAAGGCGAAACAGCATGTGCCCTGCTACACAACGTCTAACTAGGAAATTATAAGAGAAAATAACACAAACAGACGTCCACACCGGCACTGCTCAAAAATATTTCATCACCACGTAATGGAAGTCAGTCTCTCGCTACAATAAAACAAATCAGATCATTCGAGAGATTTCGCGTGTAAAAACAAATAGAAATACTTTTGAGAAGTGATCAATTAAATAAAGTCGGTATGCACACCGCCGCGCGCCGCGACGTGCGGCCGGCGGCGGTGTGTCCGCGCCCTAACGATAAACAGTGAAGGCAACGTTAAGTGCACATTATCATAAACATCGCGTACCTAAATAGTGTCACTGTTACAATTATTACTCAGTAAATATGCTGCCTCTATGTAGATATTCGCAAAATACACATCTATACGTAAAATTATGCTCTCAAGTGCACTGCGAGGGTGAAATGCTGTTTACGCGAACATTGAAGTAAATATCCCATATATTAATGTTACTTCATGCCGTGTAAACTTGTATATAAACGCAAAATCTTTGATAAAAGCACCTTTATATGGCAACCTTCAGTGCGACATGCACTATATTGTATAAATATGATATATTTTGTCCATTTATAAAATTCTGTGTATCCCCAAGCTACCATTGTACATTTGTTGCCATTTGAATGTATTTGAGTCCCCCACAGTGCACTTCACAACACTATTGTGACAATTAATATTTGTTCCGACAAGTATACAAGTTGTCTAATTGAGTATCACGATTAAAATTATGTAAAGCTTATGGCATTATGGTACATAGTCGACCAATAAAATAAATATTTCGTCACCACCAATTCTAAATGCATTTTTGACAGTCACTTGATTTTTATATAGTTATATAAATGAGTATCATTGTAGTAGCATTACCTAGGAAGACAATAATAGTATATGAAGACTTTTTTTTTCAATTTTTTTTAAATTTTTCATGCATATAATATTAGTGACGGTTTTACATCTATTATTATAAGATTATTCCTTGTTTATTTATAGACATGGTAGGCTATAAGCTAGTGATGAAGCTGACCTACCTGTGATGTGAAACATATTGAAGTTTCTAAGCACCATATTTAAAGGCTGGCCTCACACATGATTACATAAAACTTACACTAGTATTTTTATATTTCAGGATATATTAACGTCCTTCCGATATCACCAAGATATCAAACGTTAACATAATAATATGTAGCCGTATGTAGCCAGCCTAATCTTCTATCATGGTTTTATATAACACCAAAAAACCGCCGCATATTCTCTGACACAAGTGAATGCTACCACAATAATAATAGTAATGTCTACCCCATATTGTTTAGAAATCTTTCCTACGACACCTCAAAAAAGCTGCAATTTAGAATTTCCAAAAATGCAGATCAAATACACATAACTCACTATGTTAAATAAAATAAAATTAACACAAATGTGTGTCACGTAAAATAAAATCAGAAATCGCACATGATTCTCCATTAAAATATCGCAACGTATAACTATAGACTTGCATTGACTCTCATGCTGAGATCTCGCAACATAAACATTCCCTCGTAAGTCATTCACATCCCTCGCTAAATAACAGTCTGCAGCAATAGGCTCACCTGGAGTCCGACGCACCGAAGTATACGGGGTAGACTAACATGCAAATGAAATTTTATGTATTCTCCACCGGTCTGATGGTACAGTCCCCGACGGTGGTGATAGGCGTGATGGTGACGGACGACGGCGTGGACGACGACACGGTGCTGGTCTCCACGATCTGCTCCATCTTCTCCTCCTTCTCCTCATTATTGGGTGGCAGTTTGACGATCTGGCAGTCTCCTACGGTCATGATTTGCGTTTCCATGGCGACGGAGGGGACTTTTTCGTCGATTTCTGCGCGTGAGTCGTCATCGTCGGAGGAAGAGTCGGAGACGTCGATGGTTCTGTCGTGCGATTGGTCGGTGTTGAGGCTCTGGTCGGTGTCGATATTACGGTCAGGGTCCACGCTGGTCACACCGTACGAGCCGTAAGCGAGCGGGTTGTATATCATCTCCGTTAAGTATGAGAAGTCGCCGAAAGGTAGATTCGTAGCATTGTAGTTTTCATTGGGTCGTCCGTCTGTAATGAACGAGGTTTCATTTAAGTAATTTATAATAGTTTGTACTGTATTATTATTAGTTTTTTGTGCATAGTCTTATACATGCAGACCTTCGTAGTTTCAGTGTTTGTGCAGTATCCCCCGATTTGTAGTTAGAACACATGCGCAAGCAATTGAGAGTTTAGTAAACTTGACGTATAGATATGTATTATCCTAACCATTAAAACATGCGTATAGAATCTATTTATGAGTCCAGGAACACATGTTTAAAAAGGAAAAAATGTTACAATATAGGCAAATTATAATTCGCCATCCTGGCCACATTTTTGTTATTCAAGTTAGTTAGTATTAGGTAAATACGTTTTCTCATTAGCTTTGTTAGTATAATTGAGTTATGTAGGCAGGCTGAGCTCGCAGCTTTATTATTATATATTAAATCATCATTTTGGTGAGGGTTTTACATATTCAAAATTCAATAATTCATACAATAGAATTTTTGAACGAAATTTTTCAAAACAATATAGTAAGTATATGAAAATGTATCCTTATTTTTTTGAAGTAGGTATTGACAAGCTATATTTCGTCCTTAAACAACGCGACTTTTCCCGAAGAGATAGATAGAAATATCGTAATTACAGATTGCTAACTATGCTTTTACAAGTTAAAAACTGCTAATTTAGCCTAAGTACGACACCATTACCAAATACAGAACAGTGTGTTCTTATGCATCTATTATCTATCAACATAGATTATAATGATTTTAATTTTGTAAATCTTTCTTTTTTGTAAAACCCAAGCCAATATCCGATTACAATATCGATTTTATTCAAATACCGATTAGTACCGACAATCGTCTCCCAATTTTTAATTCATGCCTCAATATGATGTGATACTAACAAATCTTGTTGATCGCGAGTCCGTACTGCATCGGTATATCCATATCCACCATACCTATGGACAGATTGCGTTAGGGAGCGAATTTGGACCTTATCTCTTGTGCTTAAGAATTATATTGTTATTTACAGTTTAATACTGCTAGCGTGTTTAACCACCTCCATAGAAATACACTATAAACTTATGTGACAGATACTTCATACAAATTACAGTGTAAAGCAGGTACGGTAAAATGGGGTGAATAGGGATCAGATCGGACAGAAGAGGAGTGAATTGATACTATGAAAAATATCCCAATATCGATTAACCCCCTCTTCTGTCTCTATTCACTTCTCGATCCCTATTCACCCCATTTTACGGTATGTAGACTTTGTAAAACAGGCCCTTATGAACCTAACTAAATTATGCTTAAAGTATTTTTAACCTAATCAAAGGCTACCTTGTTTAAGACTTACGCCAGGAATCCGTAAAACATACTTTGTTTTTGATTTATGTTGCATTAATTAAATTTCGTTATCAATATTGAATCATAAAATACATAGTAAAAGAAAGAAAATGCTAATAGTTGCTATTCTTTTGGTGTGTTAAACAATTTAACTTTTACATAGGGAGTAGAGATGCATTTTACAATCATAAGACAATATATGTATTATGTAGGTGTTGGGTAATACATTTAAAACTGTGTTTTTTTTAATAATAATGGTCATGCAAATAGAGCTAAGCAGATGTGATCTGAAGCCTCAAAAAATGGGATAATATGATAAGCAAGAGAATAGGTCCAACGCAACAAAATATAATAAGCATTATGCATAAAAGGCGTAAAAGTGTGGACATACATAGTTTATACTTAAAATACTCATACAAACAAGATTTTCAATAACATTTTTTAGTATTAACGTACAATTTTCCCCTGTATCGTGGGTGCGTTTAGAAAAACACAAATTAACATACACATCACACCCTAAACCAGAACAATAATTTGGCGTCGTCCTATTTAGCTAACCACGAAATTAAACCCTGTGATCAGCTTCAATTAGGATACTCCAAAGAAATGTGTGTCTAATCTCATCCTGCGACGAAATCGCATCGTTCAATCGAATGATGGTAAGCTAACCAGAACGACGCCTTTGTTAATCAGAGAAAGAACAGCTAGGCTATTCTATAACTGTCTTTTCAACTTTCAAAGTGAGCTCCATCGCATTCTCGTCCGTTATTGGTCGAGATTTTTCTCACAACCAATGACATAGCGAAACGTTTGAGTTCACTCCGACCTTTCGAATTAAAAGTTTAGTTTATTTCTTTAAAAACAGTGCTCCGCACTAGGATTTTCTCCTGTGTCGAGGGTGCGTTGACAAACATACAAGTTCACATACATATCACACCTAGACCAGAAACAACAATCTATGGATCACACAAAGAGTTGTTCCGTGCGGGAATCGAACCCGCGACACGTTGCACGGCAGCCAATTGCCCAGGCACCTGGCTGCCGTGCAACGTGGCTGGACATTAAGAGAAACCCCGCAACGCTTTGCAACATAGTCATTGTCCGAGCCACTGCGCTAACTGTGTAGTAAATTATAAAATACCAGCAATGATGACTAGACTCCGTCTAACATCATTAAGGAAACGCTGACAAAATTTTCTAAGAACCCAAAAAATAGCAATACACAAAAACTGACTCAATAATTAGTATAATCTAGATATGTCCACACATACACACAAATTGCAATATAACACAAACACGCACACATTAAAATAAAACACGTGTAGTGAGTAATACAATAACATTTGATGTTATTCACGGTAAAAACATTCCGTTTAGTGACTCAGGTACGAATTGTATCGAGTTTTATTATTATAGTTTATTTAATAATATTGTAATTGTCAAAGAATTAATGTATGTTAAAGCATGGGCGTATTTTTGAAAATATATAGTAAAATTCAAGACAAAATGCTAGTACTAGGAATGTTTTTGCGTAAATTGTGATAATAATTTATCAATAAATCACTTTCATTTTAATCTATAAAATAATAACTGATTTGAAATCACAAGGAAAGGCCCACTTGAGTGACCACTTTGGACGCAATTAATTCTTACATAAGATAACTTAACATCACGGCTTTTATCCCCCGTAAGAGTAGGCAGAGGTGCACATTACGGCACTTAATGCAATGTAATACCCAGTTTTCACTATTTATGTTATGAGTCCGTGTAATAGGAGGTGAGCATATTGCCATATACCAGGCACATTTCCTATTAATTATTATTATTTTTAATCAATAATTATAGAAGATTCCCGGAATCTTCTATAATTAAAGTTACATTTATATGTTCATAGTTATCGATGAAAGTGATTAATTAATATTAATACCAACAAATGAAATTAAATCAATGATGACAATATAAAGTCTTAGTCATGAATAATACAAACGAAATTGACAAAACAACATACAATAGAATATAATATAATAATATAGGATTTATGAACATTTATGTGCACATACATAACACGAATGTGTTTAAAGGTACAAAATTATAATATCACAAGCCTTACCTTGCCGAGGTAGTAGATAATTCTTGGGAGGGCGTCCCCTCTTCCTCTTGAGTAGCAGTTGTTGTCCGGAGGGCGTGAGGTGAGAGATCGTAGGGCTCGGACCCATCACCGTACCACTCGTCAGGACGCAGCCCTCCATATCTATGAATATTAACAAATATATTAAAAAATACGTTCATTATATACATTTTTGAGTGTTGAAGGAAGTGGTATATAATGGTGACATGGTAACGATCGATTAACGAGTTTTCTTTTTTCATGTGCCATCATCATATCAGCTCCACAAAGATCCACAAGATAGACATCTTGTATATAGGCCTCCTTAAATGACTTCCAGATTAAGTATAAAGTGAAAATAAGTGGAGTTGAGAAGTATCATCATCATCATCGACAGCCTATAAATGCCCACTGCTAAGCAAAGCCTCTTCTCACACGGAGAAGGTTTGAGCATTAATCACCACGCTTGCTCAATGCAGGTTGGCAATGAGAAGTATATTATGAGTACAATGCCATTATGAATTTAAAACCATATAGATTGTGTGTGTGGTATTAAACTGCACGGTTGGTGCGGTGGCTGGGCAACCGGCTGCCGTGCAACGTGTCGCGGGTTCGATTCCCGCACGGAACAACACTTTGCGTGATCCACAAATTGTTGTTTCGGGTCTGGGTGTCATGTGTATGTGAACGTGTATGTTTGTAAACGCACCCACGACACAGGAGTAAATCCTAATGTGGGGCAACGTTTTTTTAAAGAAAAAAAAAAGGAAAAAAAAAACATTATATTACCTAGCGAAGTCTTGGGGGGACGTCCCCTCTTCTTCTTGATCTTAGGCGTTAGTGGTAGCGGGGTCTTGCGTGGCCGGCCGCGTCCCCTGCGCGGCAGCAGCGAGTCCGCGTTGAGTTCGTTCCGCACGGGGTCCAGCGTGGCGTTGAGCACGGTGGGCGCGGCGCGGGGCGGCAGCATCACGTCGCCGCTCGGCGTGAACACGAGGTGCCCCGACTCGCGGTGCGTCGTGCGGACCATGCCCGACATTACTTCCGAGTTGCTCTCTCGCTTGCAAGATCCTGTTTCGTTTGCCATGTCCACCGTTGGGTCCTCCTGTGAATTTGTTGATAGTTGTTTTAATATGATTTTTAAATATAAAGCTGCTTTTTATTATGACTATTTTATGGGTCGAAATGAATGTAAAGTCATAAAATGGCCTATTTGTTAACAGGTTTTAAATAATGTAAGTAACTAATACGGTTTACGACTTTGTTTCTAGAAGATAAAAAGAAAATAAGTAAATTGGCGATATCATTCTTAGTTGCTGAAAACATGGCTCAGTGGCCAACGTTCTATTGGATACAATGACGATACGGAATCGGGTTGATGATCTTATGAAACGGTATAAATAGTGCCTGTTTTAAATGGGACAAGCCCGCCATAACCTCCCAAAACCGCTGCAAGTCCTGTAAGCCAGGATCTACAGTAGATACAATAATGAAAACACCGGAACACTGAAGTCCGGCGCGTCGCAGGGACATGAATAACTAACTGTCTTGGTATTTTTTTTTTTAAGGGGGGAAAATCATCGAATGACTGCTCCCGCCTGGGTGAGGCGGGAGGGAGTGTCAGACTCTTACTGACTAAAAACCACCCCGTTCCTTCTCCTGCACGTCGAGCCGGAGCCCCGGTTACCCGTTAGGTTCTCCGCGACAACTGTCTTGGTATATGTAGTGGCTACCTTCTCGCAGATCTTGGTATGCACGCGCAGTTTGTCGGAGCGCGCGAAGCTCCGTCCGCAGCCGCCGCAGGTGAAGGGCCGCTCGCCCGTGTGGGTCAGCTTGTGGCGCGACAGGTGCGACGAGCGCTGGAACCTGCGGGACAGACTCTACTTAAACACTCTCCACGAAACACAGCTCTAAACTGCGATCATCAACTGCTGCATCAGATCCTCATTTTCGGTTACCATAATAATACCGCCTAAGCCCCTTAATTAAATTTTGTGAGTCCCATTTAAACTGTGAAACACCGCGAGGACACCGGTGACCGCAACCTATTATTCTTTAATTGTGTCTATAATGACGGTACTCAAAGAGTTAAGGAGAATAATCCTCTAGTCATTCTAATCTTTAATATCAGCCATGAACATCATCAACAGCCTATAATAGTCTATAAGTGCCCACTACTGAGCAAACCCTCTTCTCACATGGAGAACATTTGAGCATTAATAACCACTCATGCTCATTGCGGTTTAGAGATTTCAATCTATTAGAAATTAAAAGCCCAGTTTCCTCACGATGTTTCCCTTCACTGTTTGTCAGTGGTTTCTAAATAATCTTAGAAAGTGCATATAACACGGAAAATGTCACATTGGTACTTTTCGTTGGATAGGTTTCGAACCTGCACCCTCATATATAAAAAGCTGGCATCTTAACCCCCGAGCCACCACGACCCACGCCATGGTCTCGTGATCGATTCCCGGGTCGGGCAAAGTATTATTGGGTTTTAAAAAAACTCAGAGTCTGGCATGTACCCGGTATATGGCAATAGGCTCACCCCCTATTACATGGGACTCATAACATAAATAGTGAAAAGTGAGTGTTACATTATACAGTGGCACTAAGTGCCGTAATGTCACGTCTGCCTAACCCTTCAGGGATAAAAAGGCGTGATGTTATGTACATACCTTAAGTCACAAACATCACAGACATGAGGCCTGCCTTCCTGCGCGTCGTTGGTGGCGGAGTCCGACACGGAGCCGCTGGAGTCTGTCTCCTCATCGTCGTCCAAATGCTTGTTGCCTCCTTTCTCTGTTCAGACAAGTCCAAATTGTATGTGTTAGTTTAAATTGCAATGTTGGTTTTGTATGAATAGTGAGATGTGATACTGTACCCAATTTTGTCATTTTTAAGTAGTAGGGGAGCGGTTCGATGGTGTGATTTTGGTATCTGGATATAGTTTTGATAGAAAGCTAGTAATCTTATCTTATATCTTATACTATTATATAAAGTGGAAGAATTTGTTTTTTTGTTTGAACGCGCTAATCTCCGTAACTACAATTCTGATTTGAATAATTATTTTTGTGTTGGATAGCGCATTTATCGAGGATGGCTATAGGCTATAAAACATCACGCTACGACCAATAGGAGCTGAGCAGAGCGTGTGAAACCGCGCGGAAGTAGCTAGTACAGTATACAAGCATTAATGGAATTTGGTTTGTTTGTTACCCATATTTATCTAAACTACTGGTTAAGTATTATCAATTCTGGTATTCTGATAGATTAAGTTAGGAATGGTTATAAGTTGATATTAGTGCGCAAAAAATCTAGTTTTGAAAATACTACAGCTGCTTTATTGAGAATCAAATTTGTTGCTATGCCAAACGGAGCTAAAGAATGTCCATTAAGCCCTAGCTAGCTCAATTTACAGTTATATTTAAAAAGTTGTTTTCGTAAAATGCTAATGTCTTTTATTTGCAAAATACGACATATTAAATTACCATATATTTTTGAATAAATAAAAATAATAATGATAAATAGAAATGATATTTAAATAGCAAGAAGTTTACTAACTGGTTAAGCCTTTCTAAACAGTAAGTGCGCAAAAGCAGTGCTAGATAAGTATAATAATAATTATTATGTGCAACCAACTAAAGTACTTCAAAATAAAACAAACAATAATGTAATTCGGTACTTGCCTTAATCAAAAATAAATTATTTCGACAATAAAATATAAAAAAAATTATCCCACTTTCATTTATTGATTTTTTGGCCAACTTATTTTTAGTATTTTTCCAGCAATTTTTTAAGAAACATGTATGCCGTTTGCCGTTAAAAAACGTGACGTATTCTCGTACAAAATTCATAGAAAACTGTCGTTTTTTAAAGTTCCAAGTACCATTCTTTTACAAACTACGTTTAAAAAAACAGACTTCAAACTATTTTTTTTAAAGTCAGTTAATAAATATACTAAAAACTTCTGCTATAGTAAATATACTAAATAAACACTTTTCTGAAAATCGAATAAAAATCGGTACAGCTAATCGCGAGATAATCGCGCCCATAATAATACATACAAACAGGTCAAATTGAGAACCTCCTTCTTTATTTGAAGTCGGTTGAAAAGTGGTTCATTAGGCATTGAGTGAGTTATTCTAGATGCATGCTAGATGCAACAGCAAGATACTACATGGCTACTATTAATTAACTATTGGTACTCTATTTATTAATTATCATAATCATATCAGCTACAAGACATCCACTGCTGAATATAAGCGCTGTTAGATCACTCAGCTTCGATGAAATTTTCGTTTATTTAAATCCATGTTTACATTTTTGATAACATGAATGTATGTGGGAGAGCCATGCTTCGGCACGAATGGGCTGGCTCGACCCACAGCCTCACAGTCACAGTAATCCGACGTAAAGCGAGGTTACCGGCGACCCAATAACCCTCCCCCTCTCCGGGCCGGTAACGCATTTGGAACACCCCTAGTGTTCCAGGTGTCCATGGGTGACGCCGATTGCTTACCATCAGGTGACCCATCTGCTCGTTTACCGGCTTACTTATTATATAAAAGAAACATGGTAAGGTATTGGACATCCTTAACTGATTTTTGTTTCTCATCAACCGAATTATAAGTCTAAAAAACACAGGGTTCTTTCTACTCTACACGGGCAAAGATAGTATCATTAAAAAGAGGTGTAATGTTGGGTGAAAAGGTGACAAGAAAATAAATAAAAAAAAGTTGCACGATACCTAAAGATTGCTCACCGTCAGAATCGTCCTGGTCATTGTTGGTGGCGGTGGGTTTCTGCAGTACCGCCAACTGCACCACTTTTATACCACCGCTGTGCTTGTTGTCTTCCTGCTTGTTTGAATCGTTGCTGGTTGCGCCTGGAACCAATGAAAATTATTGATAAATTATTTATTATTTTATAATATCTTGAGATATAGCTACTAAGTTAATTACACAATCCGGTCTACTAGTCAAAGGGGCTCCTTGACGAGCACCATTACCTGTGGTTTAATGAGTTTAATAAGTATCCTTTAGGAGGCACGCACCTCTTTGTGCCCCGGTAGCAAACAGTAACTACAGGCAAAACTCATTCTTGTGTCGAGCCTGTCGTACTTTTAACGACATCAGTAGCAAGCATGATATAGATATCTTTTGTACAAGCCTGAGGAAAGCTAGAACTATGATAAGTGGAGACTTTTTTAATAACTGATTTTTGTTTTTGTTTTTTTTTTATTATTATTTTATTTTAAATATGTATTCACCTTTCTTTTGTTTCTATATTTAAATAATTTTCTTGCTGTGTGCCTGTTTTTGGTGTATTTATAATTTTTATTTTGTCTTAGCTGCTACCTACTAAGTCAGTATTCGTGTGAATCTATAAGTGGCTCAATGTTACTATTCTTCTGCTAAATGTATGTAATGTAGCTGTTGATTCACCATTCAATAAATAAATAAATAAATAAATAAATAAGTAATTTTAGTACTGTGTTGGCATGTTTCTACTTTCTGTTACTAATCGTGGAAACCAGTAATTTGCTTCTTGTTGCATACCACATTCTATTTAATCAAATTGTATAGCTGTTGGTTTTCCAAATGCATAAATAAATAAATTAATTAATTAAACGTGCGTGACATCAGTGCGTCAATCATTGCGCACGCAGTTTCATGGTTATGAGTCCCTGTCATCGCTTGAAAGTAGTTGAGCCACCTCGAACAGTTACGTATGTAAGCTCATAGAGTCTAATTGATTTGGTAAGTAGTATTTCGGTAGTAACATGTTTATATGAGAAGATCTAAGCTATAACATCTATCTCTTGAATAGGAGTTCTATGATAGTATTTCCATTTACCTTAAGGTACCGGTTATAAAAACGATTTGTAAAGTATAGAATCACTAGCGAGGCAATAGTTTTGCACTTTCATTTATGACGATGACTAACTCTACTCGACCTAGAATAAAATGTAGGACCTCTAAACAATCGCATTTCGAAATAAACCCATTAAAACTAGCATAAAACAAGAACAAAAAGAATAAAAAGCCATATCAATTAACTGACAAAAATAAACGAATCACTTTTACAACTATGATCTACTTCAAGAGCTATAGTGTCATAAATTAGGTTTTTTTTAACCGAAACCACGTGTATACTAGTTCTCAAATAACCAGTTTTAACCATTATGCATATTTTATCTAACATCTACAACTGAACGCGAATTAATTATGACGTAACGATATGAATGAATCAGGAAAGAATTATTTCTCACTAACGAGTTTTATGAACTTACGGATTGTGTAAAAAAAAGCTATCGGCGCTTGTATTGCTGTTTGCTAACTCTCGCTTTGGGGTCATTTACTAGGCTATGTAATGGCACGTGTTGAAAACAAAAGAACCATGTTTAGAGCGAAGGGCAGTATTACACACTATATATTTTATCAAACAACATACTTAACCTAACATCACGCTTTTTTATCCCCCAAGGGGCAAGCAGAGGTGCACATTAACGCACTTAATGCCACTGCACAATGTAACACCTACTTTCCACTATTTTGTTATGAGTCCCATGTAATATTCCACATTTCCAGACTCCGTGCTACTACTGAATTTTTTTTAAGAAATTCAGTAATATCTGCCCCCTTGCCCGGCAGTCGCACTTGCAACCACTCGGCCAACGAGGCAATTTGCAATTAGAAGTTATAGTCTCTTCTTAATATTTTTTAAGGCAAGACTTTCGCATTATCTCTTCTTGCTTGCTAAAATCAGCATCTACATAAGATCCTCCTGGCCCATTAAAAAAAAATGTTTGTTAAGTATGGCAATATTAGATTCATGTTACAACCTAATGAAAGTTTTAGTTTAAAAGTACCCAAGCCAGGAGTCGAAACTAGCACTATTCAGTTGAAGTTGACAGCCAATCAACGAGGCCACACAAGAGTTGTGCCATTATAAAATGATGATTTAATTGCTATTCATCATCAGTTAAAATAAATTGATTGTAATAAGTGGAACAGATGGTGTCTAGTTGTCTATGCTATGGCCGGCGAGAACCGCAAATAGACAAGATGAGTAAAAGTCATCAACTATTATAATTGGGATGATGACAGGGTAATAAAATTAAAAATCTAATTAGTCCGTAAGTTAGGTAATGAAAAAATATTAGACACGATTTTTTTATTTTGTCGTATAATAAAACAATACTTAGATAGAAGTGACGTCACGCGACATTTCAAATCAATATATCGTCGAAGGTCTTCGTTTCTGTAGGAAAATATGAAATAGGTACGTGTCTAATAATTTAAAAAATAAGACGGACATTAAAATAAAAATTAGGCATCTACCCTATTTTGTAACTATCCGTCTACTATATCCTGAAGGCTTAAGTAGGGATAAATTTATTTTGGACTTTTGTAGGATATAGTAGGTTTTTTTTATAGCATAAGCCGGTAAACGAGCAGACGGATCACCTGATGGTAAGCAATCGGCGCCGCCCATGGACACCCGAAACACCAAGGCGTTTCAAGTGCGTTACTGGCCTTTTGAGAATTGGGAATTTAAGGATTGTGGAGGATTCGGGGATTCGGGAGACTAGGGAGAGGGGTAATTGGGCCTCCGGTAACCTCACTCACACGACGAAAAATACAACGCAAGCGTTGTTTCACGTCGGTTTTCTGTGAGGTCGTGGTATCACTCCTGTCGAGCCGGCCCATTCGTGCCGAAGCATGACTCTCCCACACTTGAATGGATGTAAGGACGTTGAAAAAAGGTGGGCATAATGTTACTTAGAAATTATTGAAGCACCAAAATGTCTGTGGTTGTTTTATGTGTGCGCGTGTAATGGGTTACCACGTCACCAGACTTAAGGAAATGACAGAATGACAGAATCTGATGTCCTTCGTATTAATGTGTGTGTATTCTGTGTGTAACGCTACAGTAGCCAGGTGCCACAGCCGTTGTTTCAAGAGACATTTTTAACGTCTTTGGGAGGATGTAGGAAGAACCTTCTATCATTGAGCTTTACTGATAGATCGACAATCAGATAATACAAGGTGTTGTTTGTTTTATTGTTTTGTCCAACTGAAATAATAATATAAAAATGGAGCCTAAATCCTCACTTAAAAAAGTGATGAGTTTTCGTCATGGTCATTCAAAATTTGGAAAGGATGACGGGTCAAGAATGTTGAATCATCTTTAATGAGTTATAGAGCCCAATTCAACTACCATGTTATCCCTATAGGAAACTATAATAAATTAAAAAACATTTGAACAACTTTGTTGGGTAACTAAATTAGCAATTTACAATATTGTTTTGAACAAAGAGAAAAAATCATATTTTTAAATGTCAAGGTTCACCAAAAACGGTTAAAAGTTTAAAACAATCAATTATGACGTCGAATCCAGAGTCAAACTTGAGACCCTCAATAGTAAATGTATCAATTTGAAATTAATGACACACAAAAGTCACGTAACCAATAAGACAAATGGATTTTATTTAAATACTTACAATTTAGTTACGGAAAGACACAAGTTATCCTTTTATATATTTACTTAAACACCTACATGTATCTGTTACGAATGTAAGTTTCAAATCGCCAATCCTTGAGTAGGCGTAGCGTACTAATCAATACTCGTTCCTTCTCTGTAAGGAAGGTATTTTTCCTATTACGAGACAGTTATTAAGGTGTGTTTTTCCTTTTAATATGAAAACCGTTGAGCAGTGACGGTTAAAATTTTATATTACCGATATTGACCCGAGTACGTCTCTGTTTGGGTACAAACCGGCGACTTAAGATTAGTAAGCCGGGGTCATTACCACCGCGACTGCTCAAAAGTCTAAACAAAATATGAATGGAAGGAAATGAGTCCAGATCACACGTTCGCACTTTCAATTAATTAATTGCCAGAGACAGACGCATTTGTTCATGAAAACACTTCGTTAACATTTTTAGAGACTAAAGAAAAGACGAACGTAAAATCTTGGACAATTACTATTTTTTATAACTTGCCGAGATTGTGCTTTTTATGTCATTAAAATCATATAAGTTTAAGACTTCCGCCGACATTTTAAAATGTTAATTTAAAAAATAATGGAACGTGTGTCTTCCCGCGTAATATGTCCAGCACAGATAATATAAGACACATAATATAATGACGCATATTGTTAGCAGACTAACTACCTGTTCCTAGTACTATAATCATTTTAATTTAGATTAGAACTCGACACAGCCGCGGCTGTAGGTCGTCGCCAAAAGGACAAAAACCAGTTTAGTGTTACATTTCAACATGTTTTACGACCAAGTATAGCCCTAACAGTTTTTCTGCCGAGACAAGTAGACCGTACAAGTAATTTTCATAGGAAAATTAATCAAACAGAACTTTGTTCAAGTCATCATAATTTCGAAAAGATAAAAACTCCTTTGTGTGTCTCGGTACGTTCACACGGAGCTAACATTTTTTATTGTCTATTTTATACATACATTCATACTACATATAGTATATTATAATAATACATTTGCAACGTCGGGTTTTACATTGTGAGTCATACTTTAAAAAAAATAGTTTATCAGATTTTGTTAAAGGTAGCCGAAAACGTTTTTTTAAATTGTTGTAACGACTATTTTAATTATTCATCTGTCAAATAGAACAAAATCATTTACATTAATTAATTATTATGAATTACGTTTTGTTTCTGTAGTATATAAAAAAAAATACTTAGCGAAAATAGGTACACGAGCGAGGCGGTAAGAACAACGAGTGTATATTAATAATAAAGGTATGTAAATGTGAACAATGGCGGAGTTAAAACAAATAAACATATACCACAATGGTTTATAACAGTGTGGGCCAGTGATTGTGCAAAATGTTGTGAAAGGAAATTATACTAAATTATTGTCTTGCGAACGATCTATTGTCGGGTTCTCGCTACAAAATCGATGGTTCTCTTTGATATAAAAACTTTTTTGTTACTTTACTAGGAAATGCCTATTCTTTTGTGATTACGATAGGAACTGGAGTTCTTGGATTCGAATTCTTTGTAGGGTAGCGACTTATTTTCAAAATTCTCGTACAAATTGTATTTACTTATAAATATATTTCTAATTATTGTTTGCCTTTATAACCGGTAATACATAAATTCCTATGCCCGCCACTAGGTACCTATATTTATATGCATAATACTAGATATATTAAGGTATTTAAAGAACAACATTTAATACATTAGCATAACAATGTCTGTTATATTATGCATATTTTATACGTCATTACAATCTTGCAGTAGCATAAACGAGTATGTTACTGGCTGTCCATGGAATTCATTGATACCAATCCATCAACATTTTTTTTATCACAGACTGCATTACAAGATCCGTAATATCCACAGATAATAAAAGCTAGTTCCTTTTACTTTTTTTATTCAATTTAAATAGTTGCGTTCTGATTTACTTTTTGTAACCAGTCAGTCACAGCATGAACCTAAGATTATACCTATTCGTATTTATTTATTCACTTTTTTTCATCCGATTTTTTGTCCTAGTATCAATTTTGTAATTAATTATCTATCATAGCTATATTAAATTCAAGTATCTATACATACTAATCGTTTTAGACCCAAGATAAAAAACTAAATTGTTAAATTGTTTACGTGAGTTATAAAATATTTAAAGTAACCTAAACTATAATATTTTTTAAGTCGAGATTTAATTAGAAATATAAAATTGTCATAAAAATGTGTACTAATTAAGTAGGTAGGTACCATAACTTAACCAGTTTTTAAATTAAATGGATCGATATAGAAATATAATAAATAAATCGATAAGCAAACGAGATCAATCAATCGGTAGAGAATTAAAAACAAGATATTTGCATAACAAAGTCGACAAATAAAATCTTATTAAGCGTAATTACGGGACTAAGAACAAAAAAAATAAAATATAATTACTTTACACGTTGACATTTCGAAAAATTAAAAAGTTAGCACATGAATAAAAGAATATCACGTTCATATATTTTTTTTTCTTTAATATTTCATTGAAATGACAAGGTTTTAATTTCGTAAGTTGATATTCCGCATTTTTAAATAAAGAATCCGTGCTTTTACAACTTAAATGTCAACATGGAAAGAAATCGGATGACTAAGGGCAGCAGAATTCCGATTTTACAAAACGTGTTTTTGGTCACAAAAATTAACGTGATTTCAAGATTTTTTTTCTTTGAGAAGCAAAAACTCAGGTAGTGTCTAGCCTACAAGAAATGTTCGAAAAAAAAATGTGTAAATAGAACAATTCATGGGCCGGCCAGAAAGACGCCAACCTAACAGGACTTAAAAAAAAATAATCATAAAATTTTTAGTCACACCCAATTCTAAAATCAAAACTCGAAATATGCGCTCACAAAGCCGTTCAAAATGGCCGCCATGAAAAAAAAGAAGTATAAAATGTTCGATTTTTAAATAAGCAGGTGCATTCATTGTGATGTTTTCATTATGGCCGCTGAACGAATAACAAACAATGTAATATAAATAGTTTAACTTTATAAATCTTATTGTTATTCGACGGAAATAATTATTAGCGATTCGATCTAAAACATCGTTGTGTAAGGGCTATGCAGATTGCAACAGCGCATTCCTTTTATATACAAACAATTTATAGCAGCAATTGTTTCAATTTTCAAAAAGGATTTACAAAAACGGTTCCTTTAAGTGAACAAGATGCGATGCCATTTTTAGGAGTTATTTTAGCAAATTATATTTTTACGTAAAGCTGGTTAATGATACTGGAAGTTTGATTGATATATTATGTAAAAGAGATAGACATCGGAATATCATATTTTCTTTATTGTAAACTGGTTTAAAAAAATTGGTATTTCCTTTGTGCAAAAAACCTAAATAGACTAGTCGGATAACTTTTAATGAACGGAAACAGCATAAATCATAATTTGGGTCAGAATCTCAATTCATTTTTTATAACAAAAGGAATTAATTATAACGTTCTACATTTCAAATTGAGCTAATATTAATATTATAATACAAAGTACATAAATTAACAGCAATTTATTTAAAAATATGACATCATTATACCTCAGACATACACTGTCTGATAAAATTCATTTATTTTGTTTTAATAAATGCTTTTTATAATTTATTTAAAATTTTCCATTACAAATTTACAACACAACCAAAAAGGTAAAATTGCAATAAAAACAAATCAAATTCTGATACGAAAAATACAAGTTTGGATTTTTAATAACTTTTAAAAACACTCATGAATATTTATGACCATAAGCTGCAAGAACGATTTCAAAATATAATTCGAATATAATACATATTTTATTATTTGTTATAATTTAGGGTTCCACTCTGTAAGCGGATATCATATGATAAATAAATCTAAACGAGGATTTATTAAAAAAAAATATGTATCACAAATGATTTGCCAGTTTGAATGATTTAATGACATTATAAATTTCAATATCAATAGCATCTTAATCTACCTTTCGCTTTTAATTTTATTATAATTTTTATAATGAAGCAAGTGTCATAAAATTAATGTAATCTGTCCATCAGCCTGTCTTACTAGTTCTGTTCATCTCAACATTAGTCAGTGAACATCACCGCAAGCCCTCAGGGCACACAAAAAAGTTTTATAGTTACTTTTTAAAATCATTTCTCAAACCAGTAATTTTAATAAAATAATAAAACCTTATTCCTCCACACTAATTTTAGTCATAATAAAATTTAGAGATAAAAAATAAACTTTTTTTACGAATCCTGCATTCTTGTTAAAAACACAAAAAAATAATGAACCCATATACCGAGAAGCTCGTTTTGGCTTTTTATTTTTTAAGTGAAGGGAAATATAAATCACGATTTTTTATTACAACGCCGGCCTGAGTTCAGACGCTTGGTCGTGACATTCAAAATTAATTTTAAAATATAAAAAAAAAACAAATTATTAATAATACCTATAACATTAACGTTAAAAACAAAGTCAGCTCTTCATATTTAAAATATTGAAAATATATTTTGTTAGAGTCACGTTATGCTTTGTTAATTCCGGCACGTGTAAATTGAGAAAAAAATATTTTAATTTTAATTTGATATATACGCACTTTTTTGTGTAGCAGCCTTACCTAAATTCGAGTTTAATAGCAAAGTCGAAGGCCGGGCATAACATTTTTATGATTAGGCTGGTACTTAAACAGAATTATAACAACATAGGAATATGAAAAGCGAAATAAAAACATGGACGTATCTGTTGAACACGTGACGAATAGGATCCGGTGTTTTGAGAAGCGGGCGGTAGGCAGTAGCCTAGAGCGCGTGCGCGAACAACATTATTTAAAATAATATCGATCTAATTTCTTAATAAGATTTCCTTTTCACGAACTTTTCCATCTCAATACAATTTTCTGAGAACACGACAAAATAAACTCGAATATTTTCCTGTTCTCTTTGTACTGAGTTTTAATGCTTAGGTAAAAGATGGATAATTAGTGCCTATCTACTTTGAAGGTACGGTACCTACAAAGAATAGCGTAGTATAATATAATGAAGCCACTAGACAATTTTCCTTAACACCTTTAAAAACTAGTTTTAAAAAACTTACCGGGTGATGTGATTTTAGGGCGTTCGTCAGTCTTATTATCATCTTGGAAGCGTACAGTCATCGGCTTCTTCTTAGCCCGGAGACTGTCATCTGGTGATAGAATGGAAGTCCGCTTCTTGGGACGTTCCTCTTCCATATCACGTTTGACATCTGTCGTTGTGGATGATGCTGCCACTGTTGGGAAAATTTTATGTTTTAGGCTTCTGTATGTGTGTCCGATGGGATAAAAGTTGTTTTATCATCGGTAAGGGTGAATGAACCAGGATCAAAACGATAATAACAAAAAAAATAATGTTAATAGGATAAATGATCAGGTATCAGGTACCGAATGGGTATAATTTCTCCATTATTCGCAAAAATAAAATGGATGATGACAATAAATGGCGCAACTATGTTCTGCATTTTTAGACCTTTATTAACACTGTCTGTGAAATTAGTAATCCGTTCTAGTTCCGGGTGAAAGCATGCGTATAATAGTTGTCATGTAGAGGGCCCCTTTAGTACCGAATTTAAAAAAGGATTTTTTTTTATATTTTTAAAGAACAAAAAGGCCAGTCATATAACCAACCTTTGCAACACAAAAAAAAAAATTGTTCACATTGAATGAAAAAGAAGAAAATACAAAAAGCACATAGAGTAACAGCAAAATGGTAAGACATCGGTATGTAACTTACCCTGGTCATGTTCGGTCTGTATACTGGCGACAACTCTCTCCCCTGCCCGGTTGGCGTGCATCGCCTCCTCCATCTCCCTAGCTGCCGCAGCGAGGATATTGTTCACAGCCGTGTGGGTGGTCTGAGGGTCCTCCCTCCGACGTCGCCTGATCTCCTCAGCTCGCATCATGGATTGCTGGTACATGTGTATCTAGGAATTATTGGTGATGTCAGGCAATGTTTGGATGAAGGTTATTCAAGCGTAGGACAGGATTGAAGCGTTATTCAGGAGCGCTGGTGGAAGGTTCTTAAGGAGCTGTTGATCCCATTTGCTACCCATGATTTGTGAGTGAATGATTTATTTGTGATTCCAGTGTGAGTTTTGATGATAAACTTTGGTATAGGCAATAGTTTTAGTTTACTTCATAATAGCAGATTGTGTATGAAAAAGCATTAAGTACGCTTTTTTTTTAGAGTCGTCTAAAATATGTACAACCGAAATAAAAATTGTTAATTTATATTCAAGACTTTGGCCTCATAATTTAACTAGCAAATCATCAATACCTAGTAGTAATATATTAACAATTTTTTTCTTCATGACTAATTAACAAATCAAGAAATATAATTCGAAACGTTTCATTATTTAAAATTCAAAAACATGAATGCAAGAGGGAAATGCTTTTTACTACATTTTCCAATGTAACGAACATAATTATGTGACTCCTACATTGTTCTAGGAATAATGAAAATACACAATGCCCTTATCTTGCCCGCATGCCATAAAAAGTAGTCGGGAGAAAAAAGGTTAGTGCCCCCAGACCGAAGGCGGGAAGATTCGTACGAAGGCAACAATGTTGTACGGCCTAGGATCGTCTGGTCACGCTACAGGATTTTAAATAATGGCAACATTTGTATAAAACTGGCCTGTCTATAAATATACCATTGCTTTTATTCGATAAACATAATATAGTAAATTTTGTTTTGACTAAATTGAGTTCTGTTTTTTATTTAATTTTAAATAGAGAATGTGTTTTAGTTATAAAAAGGAATGTCTAAAAATTACGTGTTTTTAAAACGCCTGGTATATTATCAAATTGTTTTGTTCACCCACGTGGTTTCCTATCCTACTGCAAACATCGGCGATCTTACTGGCCGATAACATTTCCCCCTTTTTTAAGAGAGAGTAAGAAAAGAGGCCTGATATATACTTATATATGTATATTATGAAACAGTAGTAAATTAATTTCGAATTATTACAGTTTAATTTATACGTAGTCCAATTGTTTCACATTATGAAGGAAAGTGTGTTTTAATAACATTTATACAGAGCTGAAAGTTTTCTCCTTGTATCAACAAAATTATCGATCAGGCTTTGGAAACGTGATTTTTGACGCAAATTACGATTGTTTGTTAAAAAATAAAACAAAAACTTTAGCAATAATAGCAAAATATGATAATATGAAAATTCCATGACATTCTAGATACAAAGATACGAGTTTTAAAATAGACTTTATCTCGGAATTATTAAAAAATAAATAGGTACTCGTATACTTCCATAGCCAAAGTTATCTAAAAAACAATATTTATCTCGAATTTTTAATATTGTTTAATATTATTATATTGTGATAATATAATGATTAAAATAAATAGCGTAGGTACAATTATTTCGCCAACAAATTTTCAAATGACGTCCGTATAATTTCGCTCAGTCACGTAAAAGTACGAAATTATAATTAATATATTAACTAGAAATCTCATTAACGTATCTTTGTCCGTATACCTACATATATTTTAAATGTATCTATTTTATAAATAACTAAATAAAATAAACATAATTTTTACATTATTTAAAACAGCTACAATACTAAATTAAGTCCTTTAATTAATATACTAAATAACAAAGTAAATATATTTCACGCTTAACATTTTCTAAAACCAACCAATTTAATTTAACCTTGGAAATACCAAGAAAACATTAGTAGTTGCCTAACTACATTACAATTAATATTTTTAAATTACTAACCAAGAAAAATTACTTTTATTTAATCAAATGTTAGTGGAACTTCTAATAATTATATTTTTAATTAAAAATGGAGAAATACAACAACTGTTAGTCACCAACAATGGCGGCGCGGCCGAAATAGTAACGATTATGACTAAGATTTCTCTTTATTTTTATTACAAATGCATGTTAATTTTTTAATTTAATTTGTGTTTTACACGTGTAAGTAACGGGTTCATAACTGGTTTTTTGCTTCCACAAAAAACACAAATGGTCATAATTCTTTTAGGTATTTAATTTCCATGGTAATCGAGAGAAATATCGATTTTTGTTAATCTTCTAAAATCATTGTGAAGAGGAAGAATAAGGCTGTATATCCTGTTTCCGTTTCCTGGTTTTTTAATCTGTATTTTTTTCTTCTGTACATTTTTTAATTAGAGCTTAGTTTATTTCTGTTTTATTCCATTCGAAGCGTAATAAAATACGAATTTTTAAAAGTAAAAAATACTCATTAGAACATTTCCAATTAAATATTAATTTCGTAATAAAAAAAACCCGGATTTAACATGTTCGTTTTTGCTATACCTAACGACGTCAACAGCGAACAAATATACAAAAAAGTATTGCGCAAACAAAAGATATTACCTATAATATACCTTTACAAAACTATATTTATACATATTCCGTTTTCAATTCAAAATTTAAATAAGTATCGACAGTAGTGGAATAATGTTCAAGGCTACTTTTTTTAAGTAAAATAAGAATCTTCAAATCAAAATGGGCAAAGGAAATACCCGCGCAGCCACTTAAACAAATATAAAAAAGGAGGTTGAATAAGGTACCATGAGTCAGTAGTTAACTCTAAATTACGTCATAATATTTATTTAATGATAAATTATCTGATTACTGATAATACTTAGCACAAGTACTTCATGAATTTGTTATTAAAAGTAACTGTTAACTAGTCATATGCAAATTTTAAAAATTTTTAGTATTACTTTTATGAATTAATGAAATCGTATTTTGCAGCAATTACTGTGATTCATGAACCATTCATATGGAAGAAGGGTGTAATAAAATATCAGGAAATTCCTAGAAAAATGCTTGTAGAGTTTGCATCAAATTTTACTTCCTAAATAACCATACAAAATAAGGAACATGGTAAATTATTATTCCTGTAAAAAAATAGTTTTTGGTGCCGGTTTATAGAGTAGACACTAATTGCCCAGCAAGTGTTTTTTTCTATATTAATAATTTAGGCTTGTAACAAACAATGAATAACGAATTATTTGTATGAATCATAAATAATATTGATTGTAATCTACGAAAATATTCCATATTTTAATAACAACCTTTATCTAAAAGCCGTTAACTAACATAACTGTAAAAAGTATGGAAAAATATTTTTATTTTTGACCAATTAGCACTTAAAAGAATTAACAACATCATGAGAAAATAGCCAATTTAAAAACTTGAAGCTACTTTTATACAGCTTGTGTTTTTAAGTTATTTTTAAAGTAATCTCAGCTTGTAGACATTTTTTAAAAACAATTTATATGTAAAAAATGGAAGTGAAATGTTATGTATGTAAATAGTATCTTTGACTACATCTACATTTGATAAAGTCTAGATACTGGTCAAGATATGCAAATACTTTATTTAATAATACTATGACCGGATACAATACTAAGCCGCCAGATCTAGGTTCATATTATTATAGTTTTATGCATATTCTCACCTAAACCACCTGTTATCTAATTGTTAATTTGATAACAAGCCATAAAATTCACAGTATTAGGTTTTCTTTCAAATTTAATTACCACAATTTGAATAGGAATTGCATAAATGAATAATCTCATTTGTAATGAAACCATTCATCTTTTTTTAGGCATTCTATTCTAGATTCTGGTCTAATATAGTTGCCAGCACCAATGTTTATCATCAAATGTAACAGTTATAGTGACCCAAACACCACACAGGAACATCAACCTTCAGCACAGATGGATAAATATGAATGAAAACTCACCTGTTTCAATCTCTCCACATCAGTCCTGGCTTGTGAGTATGCAGGCTGTGCAGACACGGAAGTGGCAGGATATGACGGGTACTCCAAGTTGACATTCAACATCTGTGCAGCATTGTCTCTAGCCTCATACGCCAGCCCCCGGATCTCTAGCTCTGATGCTGTGTGCATTAGAGACTGCAGGTCCAGTTCTTGGACATCCACCGATCCCTTGTACATGAACTCCACAAGGAGGTTGATCTCCGAGAAGGGTATACCCTTCAGAATTACTATTGGATGTTGACATGGGTTGTCCCTAACAGAAAATAAACACTTTTATCTCATGTATACTGTAATTTAAATTGTATTAAACACTATCTCATTATTTATTAACCAGACATATTTTTTCTTCTGTTATCACAAGATAATAAAAGCAATTATTATAAATATTTGACTCCTATGACATTTATGTAACATTTCTTAAGTACATGTAATTAAATTGAATAGAATTATATTTAAAAATTGTTCATTATAAGTCTGGCAGAATGCAAAATATACTTTGCTCATGTCTGTATACATTACAGGGTATTATAAATAACTTCACTAGAAAAAATAATGATGTCATAATGACCAAATGGAACAGATTTAAAAGTGATGTGAACAAGATACACAATTTAGTAAATGGAAACCTAGGTGTAATATGTAGCAGGATGTAAAACGAGAGTACTCACTTGAATATCTGTTCGAAGTAGGGACTGCATGCTGAGAGCACGAGCTTGTGCGCCTTGAGGGTGCCGTCGCGGCAGGAGAGCGTCACGTCCGCGAGCGCCGACGACGAGTAGATGGTCGTGAACAGCTGGCTCAAGTTCTGCAGGTGGTTGTTCCACTTCAAGTGGAACGTCTTATCGCTCACCAGCCCCTGCATCTGCACCACCACATACACTTTTAAATCACAATTCACACTTGTTCACCGCTGATGGATAATCGACAGAAACCGAGTCTGCTGCGACCGCTACATAAAATTATAATTATTACAACTTATTTTTAGAACGATGCCCGTAAAAAACACTATACGTACGCGGTATGACAGTGTAATATACCGTAGGTACGCGCCGCTGACGGAATTTAGAGCTATAAAATTTTATTTATATTTTATTCGGCAAAACTGAATTTCGTCAAAAATCATGCCGGTGATATTTTCTTACCTCGCAAAACGCTTTACCGACTTCTCGATTTTTCACAAATAACACCGAAACATTTCACAAAATTAATACAATAATTATGTTACACAGAAAGCCGTGTCGTAAAAAACAGAGTGGGGCACGCCGTGGCCCCCTCCTTGCCCCGGCCCCCTCGCACACAATCAATATACGGAATATGAGAGCGCGGCGCGCCCCCTCGCCCCCCGCATGCTTTATTATACCGTAATTAATATACAACTTTATAAATTGTATTATAGCGGAGCGGCATATCTTCACTGTACGAATGTGTATAATTTTATAGATACTCTCTAATATTCATTGCAGAGCTGTGTATATACACAGATAAACTCTAAAATAACATTACATGAATATATCGGAAATACACAAGCACGTACCGTGGTGTTTTATTGACATAAACATTGAAGCAGAAATGTACTGCTTGACTTATTACTTGGTTTCTGGCTTTATTTCAAAAAAGATATTCTAAAATAGGTAGTTTGTTTTAAGTTTTTAAATTTCAACCCAATATAGTGCCCCTTCCTTCCTCAAAATAAATAAATTAGATAGAGTAGGTAAGTACGTAGGTAGTACATTGTTAGGTGTGCTGTGAATGTGTGCGTGAAGTACTTCAATCTCTTTCACATCGGCACACCGGTGAACCTACACATTCACACAACCACTACATGCGCAAACAAGAGAATAGAGGCTGACGGATTCGGATAGTTTTGTTTTTATTAGATTCCATCCTTCCGTCTATACGGTAGAATGAGTAATGTATTTATCATTATGTATGTTATGATGAATGTAATAAAATGAGACGAACAGCGCACATTTTGTTGCAATGATATTAAAAAATAAAATATAAATGTAGTCTAAGTATTCTATATCATATTACGGTTGCTGTACCTTTCGTACTTACTGTGTATAATATAGGTAGTCCAAGTAGGTAGCGAGCGTGGGTGAGGTTTAATAAATTAATAATGTAGGAAAGTACACATGTATACAATGTAGATGTGTTACTTTGTGCTGGGAATTATTTAAAAGCCAAGTAAGGTACGTTTTAATATAGAAAATGACAAAAAATCAAAATTCGTTCATGTGAGCTAGAAATGTCCAAAAAATTAAGATATGTATGAAATTAAATTTTAGTTCAAAGTCTTATTTTTGAAATAGTAACATATTATTTTGTTTTAGTCATTTCTGTATTTTATAATAAGCACACAAAAGGGGTATTAATTTTTATTCGTACTTACTCTGAAACTCAAATAGAGCAATAACACTTGAAAACTGTCTTAGAGTTAGAGTTTAGAGATAAAACTATACAATAAATTAAATAAACATGTGAATATCAAAACATGCATCATTTTATAACATAACATAACATAACATCACGCCTTTTTATCCCCGAAGGGGTAGGCAGAGGTGCACATAGAAGGAACACCCACTTTTCACCATTTATGTTATGAGTCCCATGTAATAGGGGGTGAGCCTATTGCCATATACCGGGCACGATTCCAGACTCCGTGCTACTACTGAGATTTTTTTAAAACCCAGTAATACTTTGCCCGACCCGGGAATCGAACCCGAGACCCCTTGCCCGGCAGTCGCACTTGCGACCACTCGGCCAACGAGGCAGCCATTTATAATAATTTAAATAAAAAATAATCATTTGAATTCCATCTGTAAATTAAAACTTCAGTTCTTATTAGTGTGCTATACGAGAATATCATCCGAAATTTACGATTACATCATAGAAAGACTGGAATTTTTTTATTTTATTGTTTATTAAATATTAAATTTATAATTCATTTCGTGTTTTTTAATTATTTTATTCATATTTTAAAATAAATCTATTTTATCTTTAAATTAACAAAGTAATAAACTGAACGCTCAAGTCCAGTTAATCAGGTCCACTCGTAGACCACCTCTAGTAAATTTTCTATGGTCAAGCAAAAAGCAAACGTCAATGTCACTTTATCAGCTGACACTGACACTTAACATTATGTCATTTTTCGCAATAAAGATCGTATGTTGCCGGAACGGAATAGCTCATAGCTTCATATCGAAGTCGATATTTGTTGGTGTCGGTGACTTTACATTTAATTAATATTAAAAATTAAAACTGACGCCACGTATTAACAAAAATCTATAAAATATAACAGACAACCTCTTATTTCTCTCTTATAATCTAACGCACTAAGTGAAATAGATTTTCCTTTCTGAAAATGGAAAAAACACCGACTTTAGTTGTTTCCAGCCCCAATATTAAATATACTGATGAGTATATTTATTCGGACTACGAATATGAGGAAACTCTGGTGACTAGGAACGGGGAGGAGATTACGGTAAGCATATAATTTGTTGATATTTTAAGGGTATTTTTCCCGGCATTTGCTGTCCTTGTGGTATCGATTTGTTATGCATGTTCCAGAAGGAACAGGTTGCTACAATGTGTACATACACCCGCTGTGAGCCAAAACTATGGTCCACATCCTGTAAAGTTATCTAATAAGAATTTAATTCATCATTTTATTTTAATAATGTATATAGAAATTGGAATCATAGACAAGTTTATTATCCTATGACTCTTGTTTAGAAACATCCTAGTTATAATTTAAAAGTATGTTTTAGATAATAATAGGCAAGTAATAAAAGTACTATAAATATATTTGGATGCTTATGGAATCCTCTGTTATAATTATTCATACTGAGCCATTGGCATGAATTTGTAATGAGTATCTCAATAACTAATTGATTGCACTGTTGGTGCGGTGGCTGGTGGCCGGTCAAGGTGTAGTTTAATTCCCTCACGAATTTACTCTTTGCGTGATCCACAAATTGTTATTTTGGGTATGGCTGTCATGTGTATGTGAATCATATCATGCCCTTTTAGCAACTGTAACATAGATATTTTTTTTTCTAATTTATTGACTATTCGTTAGTCAATTGGCGTGGTGACTAGTTAATCTATGATTTATTTTAATTTATGCCACTATTTTTTTTTTAATATAAACAACATATTAATTTATTGAGTATTAAAAATACCTAAATCAAGTATATAAATGATTTCTTCCCATACTCCATTTAATTAATTCATTAACAAGTCTCCTTGATAATGAATTTTTGTATGATCTCACATCAGCTTATCTTATCACTGACACACATGTAGTCATCAGGACAATAAACTCAAAATTATCTTAAATCTTTGAGTACCGTCATTATAGACACAATTAAAGAACGATAGGTTGCGGTCACCGGTGTCCTCGCGGTGTTTGACAGTTTAATCTTAGTTGAATTGTTACAAAATTTGTCTGGTGTATTTTAAGCACATATTACATAGGAGTTGTAACATAACAGTAAGGTGATAACTTGACTGCACGGTTGGTGCAATGGCGCAACATGTTGTGGGTTCTGTTTTTATAATAACTATCATGAGACATACCAAATTAACTAAAAATTGCTCTAGTAGAATAGGCTGCGCGACGTTGCCATGACCGCGCACACTGCTCATGAGGAAGAACCCCTATGTGGTTCGAAACTAGTAGGGCTTTTCTCAGCATATTCACGTGAGTTATCCGCAATTTCCGTGTTCGATTCCCACATGGAACAATTCTGACACAGACTGTGGGGTTTATGTAATCCACAGGGTTCTAGGTTTGGGTAGCATCTGTATGTAAAATAGTATGTTTGTAAATTCAACGAATTCTAATTCATTTACAAAAATTCTAGTATGGGTCAATGTTAAAAGAAAAAAGACAGGTAATATTGCTTCATCTTGTTACTTAACAAACACTCTGTAAATATGTTATTCTAATTATCAGATGATTCCACTTACTTAGTAGGTATTGTGTTAGTTGAATCACTTTAATTTACAATGCGCATGGTGTACAGCAAGCTTAGGGTACATGGGACTTATAACATTACTGGTAAAGAGTGTTTAAGTTATGTACCAGTCTTGTTACAACTTCCTTGTTCTTGTCTACGCATTGCTTGAACGAATAAATCTATGAGATTTTTTCAAACTCTTAAAGCTGATATAAAGTTAATTTCTTTCAATTATTCCTTAACCCATACATCCCTAAGCGGTCACCGGTGACCGCTCTCCACTAACTACATAATAGACCTTATTTCCAATGTTTAGAGACTACTTTTGTATGAACAAATTTAGAGGATGAATTTCAACGGGTTAATTTTGCTTTTGAAATGTCCAAAATTGAATTGTCCGTCTGTCTATCTGTCAGTGAGTGACATTACTACCTTCTACTAGCACGTTCGTACCATAGTTGTGCGTATGACCATAGTTTTCGCCTAGGGTACTTACTCTTGAAACCAATGACAATGTCAATGCAATTTCAATCTCAATAATTATTCAATGTCAACACTATACAACCCCAATCGTAGCTATTACAATAGCATTCAGAGTACGGACTATAAAAACAAACTCAATACCATTTAGTTCATTGAATATCCACGCAATACGGATGCAATGGGCGTTAGTGTTCCAACTCAAGAGTACGAAATTTCGCAAAACCAATGTCGTACGATCGGAATTGGATTCAAGAGTAAGCCTCCTGTTCCTAATTACATCCCGATCCTTTCAGCCATTTTGATATGATTGAGTAACAAACATACACACAAACTCACAATATTCAGTTTTGATATTATGAAATAACATAATATCATGTCTAAGGGGTAGGTAGAGGTGCATATTATGCCACTGTACAATGAAACACCCACTTTTCACTATTTATGTTATGAGTACCATGTAATAGGGGGTGAGCCTATTGCCATATACCGGGCACGATTCCAGACTCCGTGCTACTACTGAGAATTTTTGATTTGAACAAACCCAGTACTACTTTGCCCTACCTGGGAATCGAACCCGAGACCCCTCGCCCCGGCAATGGCTCTTGCTACCAATGAGGTTTTGATATTATGATATTGTCTTATAATATTAGTAGGAAAGTTTTGTGCATTTTCAGGAAAGTAAAACTCTCACTAAAAGTAAGGACAATGTTTTAACATGATAAAGCTTATTATCTTACAGTCGGAATTAATGTTAGATTCATGACCCTTTGATTCATTGGTGGAGTGATTCCTGGCTGAACTTTCAATTTTGGAAATTCTTAGTAAGACACATATCAATCTATCGCACAGCAAAAAAGATATGATAACTAAATGCCCACGTTTCCACCAGGCACGACCAATCCGCAAAACGCTGGGCATCCGCACAGACCGGCGCGTGGGCAAAGTGGGAGTGATGCTGGTGGGCTGGGGCGGGAACAACGGGTCCACGTTCACAGCCGCAGTGCTGGCCAACCGCCACCAACTCTCGTGGAACACCAAGAATGGGAAGATGGACTCGAACTGGTAAGTGGTGCTTCAGTTTGCGTGTTCAGGCCATTACGCAAACTGCTCGGATAGAATCGAACCCGAGGCCACTTGCCCAACGAGGCAGTCAATATACATACTTACATAATCCTTGACTCGCCTCTTATCATACCCGCGGGAAGACTGGACAAATGTGTTCTATTCTACCGTCTAGAATAGGCACACTGCAAGATGAAAATATTAAAAAGATAAAAATATGAAGTTCCTTTTAAAAATATATGAACACACGTAGAGAATTTTTCTCGCATGAATTTTTTCCGTTCTTGCAGGAATTTTCCGTTTCCCCGTACTCTATAGGGTAGATGCCTAATTTTTATTTTAATGTCCGTCTGGTAGATTATATTTTAAATCATTAGACACGTATTTTTTTATTTTCTTACAGAAACGAATACTTTCGACGATATATTGATTTGAAATGTCGCGTGACGTCACTTCTATGTACATTTTATACGTAGAAATGACTTTTTAGCCCCCACTCCTAAACTTTGATTCGTTTAATCTAAGTATTGTTTTATTATACGATCAAAATTAAAAAAATACGTATATAATTTGTTTTCATTACCTTACTTACGGACTAATTATATTTATAATTTTTTCATACCCTGTCATCATCCCAATTGCTATGAAAATAATAACGAGAGCTCCATTTTTTTTTCAACCGAAAGATTGAACCTTTCCGTTCCTAATCCTGTTAGATAGGTAGGTCCTATGGCTTCGTCCCTTTTAATTACGCAGCCGTGGACAATTGTACTCTTATATTTTATAATACTAAGTCTTAATTACCTACGTCAAGTTAATTTAAATTATAGTCAAAGTCAAAGCATTTATTTCAATTAAACCATAATTTGGTACTTTTGAAACGACAACGAATACAAAATAAATAATAGTCTGTCAGTCAGTCCGTCAGTGAAGCTAGGTGAAGCTATGAGCTGTATCTACTACGCAATTAGAGAATTGGAAAAATATAATCAAAATGTTTGGACTCTCGGCTTAAAGCCAAGAGAAGGCTTGTTGATAAGCAATCTGAATATCTTACATTAAATCCTTAATAGGACACCACTACATCAAGTATTGTTTTGTAACTTCACTTGAATCTCAAGTTTAAGTGTGGGAGAGCCATGCTTCGGTACGAATGGGCCGGCTCGACCGGAGTGATACCACGGCCCCACAGAAAACCGACGTAAAGCAACGCTTGCGTTGTGTTTCGTCATGTGAGTGAGGTTACCGGAGGCCCAATTACTCTCCCCTTCCCCAATCTCCCCAATCCCTCAATCCCCAACGATCCTCAAACTCCTAATCCCCAAAAGGCCGGTAACGCACTGGTAACGCATCTGGTGTTCCAGGTGTCCATGGGCGCCGCCGATTGCTTACCATCAGGTGATCCGTTAGCTCGTTTACCGGCTTATCCCATAAAAAAAGTTACTATTATTTTATAGGTAGACTTTGATAGACATGAATATGTAGCAATAATGTAAACCTTTAAGTTAGGGTTAAAGTCCTGAACAGTTAACAGTTTTATCACAGTAATAACTTTGAATATTTGACAATTCTTCCACACTAAAAACTGAAATGTCAATTTTATTCTATAGTTAAGAATTATCTGTTCATTGAAAAATCGACTCTAATTAAGTATTAGGTAACTTCGCGAAAGAAGTTACACTTATTTTAAGTACGTTAAGGCAAGTATTTCAGCTTCTTGTTTCTTCACATCACCGATAAGACTTCTACTGCTGAAACCTACCCCCCAAAGAGTCAAGGACTCAGGTTCTATGAACGGTATTAATTCCTGACACTTGTTTTTGGTCAGGTGGGGTTCAATCACACAGGCTTCGACAGTGCGTCTGGGCATCGACGAGAAAGGATGCGACGTGCACGTGCCCATGTGTCAGTTACTACCCATGGTGCACCCCGACGATTTGGGTAAGTGTAATAATTATTTTTGTTTCCACGTCTAGCTCGTGTTATTTGTATTTTTTTCAAAACTTATTCAGCTCAGCCTGAGGCCTTAGTACGAGTTTTTTACGTTTAAAGTAATCGAAACGAGTACGCGTTCGGCGCTCTGATTGGTTGCTTCATTGGCGTCGGCCAATCAGAGTGCCGAACGCGTAATCATTTCGAATACTTTAAACGTAAAACAAACTCGTACTAAGGCCTCTGTCCATCTAGCTAACTCGAGAATTAAAAAATAAACCAGTACCAATACCAGCGGTAACAGCTAGTAACACTTTCCTGAAACCTCTTTTGAGCTCTTACATTATTTTGACTAGCAAAAGTCACTAATGACAAAAATACATCGAATAAAATATGTAAAAATATCCAATCACCGCCTTTTTTGAAGTCGGTTAAAAATATTTTTTTGTTCCCAGTGATTGACGGTTGGGACATAAGTCCGATGAACTTGGCTGAGTCTATGGTACGTGCCAAGGTCATAGACTATGACCTGCAGCAGAAGTTGAAGAAGGAGATGGCGTCGATGAAACCACGACCAGCTATTTACGATCCTGACTTCATTGCTGCTAACCAGGTTAGTTTAGTAGATAAGTGATTTCATTTGTAACTTGAAGATGAACAGATAATGTGCAGTCAGATTACCTGATGATAATGGATCAGCACCAACCTGAAGAGTCTTAAGTGCGTTATTTATTTATTCGTATGGCATTTAGGGCTTTATCACCGGGACGCCATGGCGCCTCAACTAATCGCCGCTATCAACAAAATATATACAGCTCTATAGAGTTACGCATCTGGTGTCCGTTGGGTTGCTCGAGCAGCTCGGACGGGAGCATTAGAGGATTATAGTATGTCGTAGTGTGGTTTTGCGACTGATTGCGACGCCATTGTGTACTGGTGAAATAGCCCTCACAGTCGCTTACAAAATTAGAATATCATTTTATTCCATATCTTCAGAATACAAGTGGCAGGCCTTTTAAAAAGGATGTTGAATTGTATATTGTTTAACTTAGATAACCATTGTGAATGTGAGAGCCCTGTAATTAACTTAATATTAAATTAGACTAGTAGAATGCATTTGTGTCAGCGTGGAGTTGTCATGCTCACTCAAAGGTCTCATTAGCGGTGGCGCGTGCAGTGGATCGCTCGATTCCCTACAATATGGTTGAGTTGGGCGGTGCTGGTGTACGTGTCATGTTCGTGAACGGGCGCCGTCAACTGGGACTGGTCAGCTCCAGACTGTATTATTTATTGTCTTTAAGGTTATTTTCTTTTTCAATCACTTTGACTAGATTTTAGTGTTACATTGTTCTCGCACAATCCAAACAGCAAACTATGTAACTGGAGAATTGTATTGTGAACCTGATTGAAAAAGAGTAACCTATGGAGTTTCTTGCTCGTTCTTCTCCATAGGAATCTACACCTTGGAATGAGCAAATAGCTTCACTTCTAATTTTATTATTGACGTTCAAAAGTGCCTTTCTGGTCTAATTGAAATAAATGATTTTGACTTTTTTTGACTTTTGAAAGAGTATCTAACCTACGCTCTTTTCGTAAAGATCGTATTAGTTCGGAAATACCACTGATGACAGTTCGTTCCACAGTTTTGTTGCACAAGGCAGAAAGTTTCGTGAAAACACAGTTGTTGCCTGCCAACCATCTGGGTATATGATGAGGATAGAACTGCTGTCTATTTTTATGTAGAGAAGACTCATAGTCTGACGTCTGATGAGGACATTGCAACACTGTATGACTTTTTTAAGAGGGTGAAATCGTCAAATAATTGTGAAAGAGCCATGCTTCAACGCGAATGGGCAGGCTCGACCGGAGTGATACCACGGCCTCACAAAAGACCGACGTGAAACAACGCTTGCGTTATGTTTCGTCGGTAAGAGTCTGACACTCCCTTCCGCCTCACCCAGGCGGGAGCAGTCATTCGATGATTTTCCCCCATTAAAAAAAAACATGAACTAAATCCCTCTGGTTTCCCATGATCTCCACATCTCCACGCCTGGTTATATGGAGATAGCTGTTAAATAATTCAGGTTTATCCGAGAGCACTGCTTTTGGTCTCTGTAGTTCCTTGGTCGGTTCTTACTTCATCCACAACCAGTGGAAGAGTAGAGTGGCGGTGGCAAGAGGTACAAACTATTTTCTAAGTATCGTTTTCCCAATCTTCTTCTCTGTCGTTTCGCTCTTGGCAGAGCGGTCGTGGTCACGTTGAGGCGGCCGTATTTGTGTTGGTGGCAGATACAGCTTTCCTCACGATCTCCCGCCATTTCTCTCTGTTTGTGGATTGTCTGGCGCAGTCTGACACTGGGTTTCCCGCTGCCGATTTGACTTGATCAGTCCAGCGCATAATTGATCTGCCTCGTGATCTGGTTCCCTCTACTTTCCCCTGAACGACCAGCCGCTCTATGGAGTTGTTATCACGACGGGAGACATGGCCAAAGTACTGCAGTATGCGCGTCTGTACTATGGTTAATAGACGCTTTGTGATGGCGAGTTCTCGGAGTATGGATACGTTTGTGCGGAACTCAGTCCACGATACACCAAGCATCTTCCTCCAGCACCACATCTCTAGAGCATCTATCTTCCCTTTTTCCAATTCACGTACTGTCCACGTCTCTGCCGCGTAGAGGAAAGTCGGAAATACCAGCGCCCGCATAAGTAATTTTCCCGTACATTTTCTTAATTTTTTAATTCAATGCTCGTAGTTTCTAACACTCATAAATTGCAATATCCACATCTATGAAACCTTGACCTTCAACAGTTGTTTAAGTTTTATATGCTTATATATGCAGTATATTTCCTTATTATACAGGGTTACAGGAAAAGTCGTGCTAGATCCGTTAAGGGCGTGGAGTACTCATAATTTCTGACTTATTTCACTATGAAACACCCTACCCTAAACTTAACCCTTTTCGAGATATTCGACTTTTAATGTTTTTAATGAAAATTGACGATTTTTAGGCTACTAAATTTAATTTTGTTTATTTTATGTGTCTTATTATTATTATTCCATTTCTACATGTGTAATAAGATGCTTTAGGACCTCAATCATTAAAATAGTGAATAAGTTAATTCAATACGCCGTAGTAAAACAGAGAAAGTTAATAAATTAAAAAAAAAATAGAACGTTTATTATTCTCTCTAAAAAAAAGCTTATGGCACTTGATCGGCAGATAAGTTATAAAACATCTACGTTTCATCAGCTATCCAACAAAGTATAACAATCTAGGGTTTCATTTAAATGCATTGAAAAAACTTAGTTTCATAGGCGATAGTGGAGGAAAAAAATAATACTTAGCAAAAAAAAAAAGAAAATTTAAATTAATGCAAAGTATTTATTAAAAAAGGTTTTTACACACCTTTTTGTTACAATTCATGTTCAACATGGCCGCCTCTGTTTCTAATACACTGTCGCATTCTTCTACGGAGACCAGTCTTCACTACTCCAGTGGTCAACGTTGTCCTCATTTGATTGGCTGCATCCACAATCCTTTCTTTTAACTCTTCCACAGACGAAACTGGATTTGACTCGCTGTAGACAAGAATTTTCATGCGCCCCCACACATGAAAATCCATGGGGGTTAGGTCCGGACTTCTAGCTGGCCATGGCAACGGCCCACCTCGTCCTATCCATTTGTTTGAATAATTTGTGTCCAGCCAGTCTCTGACACTTCTCCTAAAATGTGCAGGGCAGCCATCATGTTGGAACCACATGTCCCTGATCAAGTTGAGTGGCAGATCATCAAGCAAATCACTCAAGTCTCCTCTCAAAAAATTTTCGTAACTTTCCCCATTTAAATTGTCCGGGAGAAAGTAAGGTCCAATCAAATGATTGGAGATAATACCCATCCACACCCATCTAGCACGACTTTTCCTGTAACCCTGTATACTTACATTGCTACCATATAATTTATCTAAATTGCCGTGTCCGTCCGTAAACTGTTGTTTAATAGATCTGTTTAATGTTACACTCACTTTTCACTATTTATGTTACGACTCCCATGTCAAAAGGGGTGAGCTGGGTACAATTCCACTCCGTGCTACAACTGAGATTTTTTTTAAAAACTCAGTAGAACTTTGCTCTACTAGGGAATCGGACCCAAGACCCCTTGCCCAGCAGTCGCACTTGCGACCACTCGGCCAACGAGGCAGTCATTTACTAACAAATGCAACAAAATTGTTTATTGTAAATATTATACATTTCCTCTGTCATCGTACTTCCGTAAACGCCTGGGTGTCATCACTGCGAGGACCGCCCTGAGGACACGGTGGAACACAAAGTAGGGAAATGCTCCGCGTGGGTTGAGCACCGCCGTGCCCTCAGGGACGTGATCGGCGATGACTAACTCGCGCGTCCGGCCCTAGTGCGGGTCATGATGCGGACCGAGGGGGACTGGGTTGCCGTCTCCTCCTTTTGCTAAGCAGTCATGCTAGCTAAGGAGGAGGCGGGATGCATGAGGCAGCGAAGCGCTGCCTCCTTACAACCCAGCTATCGCGAAGGACACTCCGGGCCTCGGGGATCGCGGGACGATCTCCCGAGCTCCAACCTCCGTAAGCACGGGCCTGCGGACGGTGAACATGGGTGGCTCGCCGCCCGACCAGAACCAGACCCGAGCGTACGGCGTGTCGCATTCCGCGCGCGCCCCAAAGAGCCATCAGACCACCATCGATGGGGCCCAATAGAGTTGATACGGAGCCGCGGAGGACTTAACGGGTTGCCGGGGCTCCGGCTCGAAGTGCAGGAGTAGGAACGTGGTGGTTTTTAGTCAGTAAGAGTCTGACACTCCCTCCCGCCTCACCCAGGCGGGAGAAGTCATTCGATGATTTTTCCCCCCTTAAAAAAAGACTATTATATCTATGCCAAACTCCATTAAGATAATCGAACCCGTTCAGCAGTGTTTGCTGAATAATAATTCTTTTATAAACTCGTTTAAAAAACCGACTTCAACACCTATTTTGGAAGTCGGCTAGTTAATATAATAAAACCTTCTCCTAAATGTTACAATTACTTTTATGAAAACCGCATCAAAATCGGTTCAATCGCGCACAAAAATACATACAGGTCCAAATGATAATAGGTTTTTTTGAAGTCTGTTAAAAAGAAATAACTTAACGTAGCGTAGGTAAATATCACTAAAAACGTAATACAGAGAATCTGTTTGTCTTCTTATGAAGATTACGCAAAAGTAGGTACATATATATACATATGCATCCTATACTTATATTTTACCGTGGAAGTGCAAGTACGTAGAGCCCTGAAGGACAGTCCAGTCTGATAATTGGCAGAAATAGCCCGCACATACGTAATGTGACGTCACACGCGTCACGTGCCACAGTTGTGACGTCATACAATATGGCGTGATTATGGTGTGTGCGAGTGGAAGAATGCTGAATATTTTGTGCTCGCATGTTTTTAATTTATGAAACAGTTGCAATAAATACGGGTCAATGTTCGAAGTCTATTAAGTCTATAAACATAGATTTTGATGTTTTTAGGATTTTAGTTTTAAATTAAATCGCATAACATAATGTCTTTCTTTTTTTATCGGTGGAAAGTCTTAC